ATTGTGGAAAAAAAGATACTTCTTGACTTTGTGAACGAGGCCCAATTTTGGCTTCAAAACTACTAAATATATTCAGTGAGTTGTATATTTGCCATATTCAGTGAGTCAGTCCTACTGAATTTTTGAAGTGTTTTTGTCCTCTCTATGTCCCCAATTTTGACCTAAGGTACATTGTTATGGTAAAATAGATGAAGTCAGTACTATTATTAACAGAGTTATAGAGATTTGTCATTTATAAGCTATTGGTACTAGTAATGACTCAGTAATGATAAATTAATTGCATTGAATATAGACCTGAATCACACCCTACAGCAGTGGTAGTTAAAAAACACTCTAAATTACCAATGATTCACTTCCCTTATTCATCTCAGTGGCTGATAACAGTTGTCAAGGAAAAACAAGGTTTTTGGTGTTCCTTTGGGAATCTGGCTCAATAACCAGACTGACTTGTAAAAGAGGAAATAAAGTTGAGACTTGTAGAAAAAACACAAAAACATTGCCTGCAGGACAAATCAATTTCCTCGATATTGTCTGCTTGTGCTTCCCTTGATCTTTATATTAGTATTCACACTTGTTTAACATATTTCTGTTATACTTGCGAGAGTATAAAAAAAAATTTGTCAGCTTATCTTACTGTTGCCATCCAAAAGCAAAAATCATTTGAGTAAGAATAGAATTGAGTTAAGTTGATATATAACTCATATAAAATGTCTCCAGGAAATGATTATCATACAAGGAACACTTACAAATACGGAGCAGGTAGTGTTAGTTACTGTTAGTTGTGCTTATTTAAACAAAATTAAAGGTTTCATTTATGTGTCAAGCTCTTATCAAAAGACTTTTACTGCAAAGAATACAGTAACCTCTATTGGGCGTTTAATGTTGTACAAATTATGCACAGGTATTTATACATTGATAGCATAGCCAGTGATCAAGAAGTACTTTGTACTTGAAATAACCCGAATAATTTAAATACTTCCTCTCAATCACAATGACTCATCAAATTGGGAAAGTTGGCTCGGTATCTTTATTGATAAGGGCTTAAATTGTTTATAAAAATCTCTCCAACTTCATAATATAAATATCAACACCCAACAGTTTTAAATAGTATTTCACATTTAGCGTAGGGAAAATTGATGAAATATACATGTTACCTTTCAAGTTGTGCAAGAGATGACTGTATTCTCAAATAGAGCATGGTGAAAGGTGTATAAACTTGCAAAAAAAATATTTGAAACTGCACATTTGTATCGTGATTAATGTAAAATAATTTACACCCAAATATGTCATCATCCTCATGCTGTTTTAGAAATGACAAAAAGATTTGATGGTCCAATAGATTTGACTAATCTTAACTTCTGTCATTTACTGATATCCTTGATAAATGAATCGATCCACTCACTTGCTCAACATTTATACGGGTAAAAAATCTAAACAACTAAAACACGTCAATTTTATTGACATAATTCACTTAGCGTAGCTGGATTTAACAAGTGATAATGCATTATGCATACTTGTGCATCTGTTATTGGGTTAATAAAATCCTCTTCAACATTGATTAGTATTGTTGTTTGTAGTGATCCAGTCCTATCATAGGAGGCGTATACCACTTGTTGCCGTTTGTAGAAATTTCCAAGACAATACTTTAAACTATCGAAACTTCACATATTTATAAAGGCTTATGAAAGGAGGAAACATAAGTTTACATTGCTGGTTTTTCAATCATCTCCCTTTATAACTTTTGAAGGACTTTGACGAAAACTTCACATAGTGATTTAGATTACTAAGAGGAGTAAAATTAAGGTGTTTTCATGAAACGAATTTAGTTATGACTCATTAGATCAACCTCAAATCAATTTTGTTACTTTAAGCTTGATAATTCAAAGAAAATCAGGACTTTCCTCACCTGGGCGTCAGTGTGCCACTTTAGTTTAGTTTTTACCTGCAACTTCTGGTATAACTTCATATCTCATCAAATATTTGTCTTTGAAATCTTTAAAAGGTCACTGTCAAAGGCCCATAACTAGCATTGAGTTTGACTTAAATGTGGTCCTTTGTAAACTTATAAATATTTCTGGAACAATATCATCTTCAAAAAAGAAATAAATGTATTACTATTAACTTAAGACCTGATACACAGATGTTAAGTATCATAACTGACATGGATTTTGACAGAACTGTGACTTAATTATTATTATTTTTACATTTGCAATAAAAGATCCTTCATTATATATTACCGGTACCTTAAATTTCATTCTGACAGAAATGTGTCCAAATATCAAAATTAATTTGGAACTATACTTGACTCTTCAGTAGAGACTGTCAATTAACATACTACTATTATTGTGCATTTTGTAAAGTAACCAAATGATATGTAAACGTTTTATGCTGTTATTGCAGTCTGTTTCATTTACCCTAGTTATGTATGACTTCCGATTAATTGGATTTTAATATCAGCATAACTATGTGATATGCATTGGTTAAATTGAATTTAACATAATGCATTAAGAAATTATTGTAAATACAGTTTCAAATTTATTTATTTTATCTCAAAATATTATCTTTTGAAAGTGGATTTTGCATGTTAAATAAGATTTTTTAAGAAAATTGTAGATTTTGCAAGCTCAAAGTTCTTAAGCACAGCATGAAATGTAACATTGTATAAGATTGCTAAAATCTGCAGAAATAGATGGCTTATTGATGGCTCAAAGGCATTTTATACCAGGTAGCACTTTATTATTCTAATAGATCTGTAATGTTATTTTTACCGAAGTGTAAAATGTCTTGAACTTGAATGGGAGCAACTAAGGATCAAGAAATCAAATAATTGTTATAATGACAGATTATTATGATACTATATAGCTATAGTGTCTGGCTAGTTGGTACCAGTGTTGCCAATACTGTCCATATTGTTTGTTGCTCAAGTAACATAACTTGTAAAGTCCCATAAGTTAATAAGCAGTGTACAATTCTGACATTCAATGCAGGACAAGTCTCCTATATATGATTTAATTCAGGCTGAAGGTTAAGGTGATCTTGTTTAATATGAAAGAAAACTGAAAAAAAAAAGAATTCTAAAGCTGAGCTGTAGGGCATTACAGAATAATCAAGATCTTGTTACAAATCGGGTCACCTAATATAGATTCTACTTGTAGCTAAAAGCAGACACTAAATTGATTTTTATGATGTCTGTTTCTAAAAATGGCAGGCAAGTTCTAAAATTAGCAAAGACATGGGGTGATTATCATCAAGCTGTTAAATGCTATAAAAATAAAGTAAAATATTGGCTTCTGTTTATTGCATTTTGCATTTAGATAGTGTTTAAACTTTCCAAAACTTGAAAAGATTCTTTTCTATAAATATTCTCCTTGTATTTGATGTCATAGAAATGAATCGAAACAAAGAAAGTACTACTTGTGTAGAAGCTTTTTTTTTTTTTATAATCTGGAAATAGATGTCCGCTTGATGAAGTTAGCAATTATTTGTTTTAGTCTGTAGAGGACCACAGCTCCTTAGACAAGCACATTGTTATGAGAGATTAGTTCAGACAATAAATGCAACATTATTTTACTTCTTATCAAATATGAAAATTTGACATTGCTATTAAAACTAATGCAACTAGAAATGTGTCCATAGGACACGGATGCCCCCACACGTCACTGTTCTGTCAATCTTATGACTCTAGGTCAAATATTTTTGGACTACATGTGCCACAAGTTGAAAACTAAAAATCAACAAAGGGCCATAATTCTGTTAAATTTGGACGCAGCAAAAATTCCTTCCTTTACTACCATCTACACATTAAGGTTGTTAATCCCTGGAAGTTTAAGCAAAATCTGCCATCCGGTTTAAGAGGAGTTGCGTTCACAAAATTTCTACATAGTATATAATGAAAAAATCAACAAAGGGCCATAATTCTGTTAAATTTGGTTGCAGCAAAAATTCCTTCCTTTACTGCCATCTACACATTAAGGTTGTTCATCCCTGGAAGTTTAAGCAAAATCTGCCATCCGGTTTAAGAGGAGTTGCGTTCACAAAAAAATTTCTACATAGTATATAGTGAAAAAATCAACAAAGGGCCATAATTCTGTTAAATTTGGTTGCAGCAAAAATTCCTTCCTTTACTACCATCTACACCTTAAGGTTGTTCATCCCTGTAAGTTTAAGCAAAATCTGCCATCCGGTTTAAGAGGAGTTGCGTTCACAAAATTTCTACATAGTATATAGTGAAAAAATCAACAAAGGGCCATAATTCTTTTAAATTTGGTCGCAGCAAAAATTCCTTCCTTTACTACCATCTACACATTAAGGTTGTTCATCCCTGTAAGTTTAAGCAAAATCTGCCATCCTGTTTAAGAGGAGTTGCGTTCACAAAATTTCTACATAGTATCTAGTGAAAAAATCAACAAAGGGCCATAATTCTGTTAAATTTGGTCGCAGCGAAAATTCCTTCCTTAACTACCATCTACACATTAAGGTTGTTCATCCCTGTAAGTTTAAGCAAAATCTGCCGTACGGTTTAAGAGGAGTTGCGTTCACAAGATTTCGGGACGTACGGACGGACTGACGGACGGACTGACGGACGGACAAGTGCAACGCTATATGCACCCACATTGTGGGGGCATAAAAATTGGGAACATTCATTAAACTTTTTAAGAAAGATAACTGCAGCTTTAGTAGAGAATATTCATGGACTGGTAATAAGTAAATTACATGTAAATGTACATTGTTAAAAATAATTATTTAAAATAACATGTTAAGTGTGCTATCTTGTTAAATTTGTAATATTTGCTCCTCAATTTGATATTATTTCTTTTTGATTATTGTGATGAGTGCTAATTTGATTAACCAGCTTTTATTTTTTTGAACCAATCAAGTTGCAAGGTTCCTATAAGAATGTTCATTTTATATAATCAGCTAGTGTTAATTGTGCATCATGGATAAGGTTGTATAATTAGAAATTAAATTTTTTTTTTGATAGAATGTTTGTTTATTTTCAGGTCGTAGGAAGCGACCCCCTGGATTAACTATTCAGAAGATACCTGAACCTCAACCAGCCACGTATGTTAATATTTATTTGTCTCTTTGTTTATATTACAGAAGTGATTTATTTATCAGGAAATGCTCCATAAAACACACCTTTTCTAATAAATAGGTTGTATGAAATTAAATTGTATAATGTTATTTCTCCAATTCAAGTATCTGTCATGCAAAAAGAAAATGTGTACACCTATATTACAAGAATTGATACAAACCCGTTTACTTTTTTGCAATTACTTTGGAATCTTATTAATGCTTTGTGTTGATTGAAAAAAAACAGAAATGTTCCTTGGCATATGTTTTTGTCTGACAGTAATTGGTTTAATTTTGGTATGTATTTAGACTTTTTATGTAAATGTGTCCATATCGTATGTTTGTAAAAACTTCAAGAGTAATTCTTTGTTTGATAGGATGATGACTTAATATTTTTTATGAAGTTAATTCTTTAGAGCGTCTTATCAGGTTAGATTTATTAGTGTAGATTTCTCTTCCAGACCTCCAAGAGATCTTGATTCAAAAGCTACAATCAGAATAGATGAAAAGGAATTTGAAATTGAGGCAAATGACTTGGAGTTTATGTGCACACTTGGCCGAGGGGCATATGGCGTGGTGGAGAAAGTTAGGCATAGGCATACAAATACAATTATGGCAGTTAAGGTATAAAACATTGTATAACCTACCCAATTAATTAACACATTGTTCTGTTTCTCAGTGCACAAAACAAAATATGTCTGTATGTTCATACAGACCCCCCTCCCCAGCAGTTAATTGAAATTAACATATTGTTGGAACTAGCAACTGATGTTTCATACATAATTCTTTGATTAGACTCAACTTTTATACAGATAAGACTCCACTTTTAAACATACATAATTCTTTGATTAGACTTGGCTTTTAAGTAGAATTAGTAATGTTCTAAAATGAAGAAGTCCACCTTGGGAAAAAAAAGTTGTAAATCTTGATGTGATGAAAAGATTCTGTTCTACACAAAGCACATTCCATGTAAAATATATACAAGATTGTATGTTGATAGATGAATAAGCTATAACAATATTTAATTTAGAGAATAACAGCCACAGTTAATACGATGGAACAGAAGAGATTGTTGATGGATTTGGACATATCAATGAGGAGTGGATCCTGCCCATATACAGTCACATTTTATGGTGCACTCTTTAGGGAGGTAAGTGCCAAAATGTCATTCAACATTTCATTTGTCATACTAAGGGAGGCAATCAGTTTAATTTTATAAAGAAGGCAGTAGATAAGTGTATTCACCAAAATGCCCCTTAACATAACTTTATTTAAATAAAAATGAGTTAGCTTGTATGTCATTGGGGCTATCCAAGTGCCTACTTGTGGTTTAAATAATTTACAGAAGAAATTTTAGGGTCTTCCTCCATCAGTATAGATTGAGTGGTGCTATATGACCTTGTCAGTATATTTTACCAACAATTGCAATGGTCATTGATAATGAAATGTATCTGGAAACTTTTACGGGTAACTCCATATTGATAACAGCTGGCCTTAAATGCCTAGTTACAGACTATTTTGTAATTGAGTCAGAAACTCTTCTTAAAGTATAAGTGTTATATATCTGCATTTTATTTTCATTGAAACACAACAGCAATAACTAAAGTCAGTGTGATTCCATCATTTCACTTGAAAATGAGAGAAAAAAGGGCAAAACCTTGAAACTTGATGGGTTTGATTTACAGAAACAAATGAACTTTTTTTCACAGCCTGTCCATATTTTTCCAATCAATAAAACAACAGTTTCAGGTTCTTCAAACTTTTTAAAGTTCATCATTGAAATTTACAATGTCATGTTCATGTGAAAGTGAGAAATTCCTATAAATTTTTGTTGACAGATATAATTGAAATTTTCCATTAGTATCTGGTAATTTGAAAAGGGGGAAATTAAAACACATACAAAGGTACTTATGATAAGGAAATTGGTAGTATTAATGTCTGCTTTCAAAAGTCTTTGTTAGGTAATGGATTTCAAATTGAATATTTCATGTTGCCAGAATTGTTTTCTATATGTTTATTTTTTTTGTTGATATTTTTCTTATGCCTAAGTATATATTGGTTGAACAAGCTGAAGTTCATTAGCATATACCCTTTGATTAATATTGAAATTAGTCTTTACTATGCTTTCATTGTTACCTTCCCAAGGTTGAAGTAACATGACCTTGAAATTTCTGAAATTTACATTTGAAAATAAGGCAAATCAATCACAAATTAAACATAGATGGAGCTTTAATGTTGCTGCACCTACATTTAAAATTAAGGCAGTTTTGTTATTGTCTATGTTTACTTTTTATGTGAATCTTTGCTTGCCTATATCATTCCTATAAAAGCTAGCAGCAGTAGAGATTATGTCTCCATGAATGGTTCAGACACACTACATTCATTGTTAAATGGCATGTTGACTATAAATGTTTATAGAGCTTGTATCGAGTATAATGTCTATGGACCTCAAAATGAGATGTACAGACTTTAAATTGTTGAGTTTAAGACTTTGAGTTTTGATATAGCACAATGTTTTACTTGTGCAATTTGGAAGTCCATTTGACCACTTGATGTAATTTATTATGTAGAGAAGTATGGGATAACTAACATAAAAACAGTTAATTACTGGTATAGGTTTATAACTTTTGTTATGTAACTACCAGAGGGTATATGACTGGAATAATGTTAAAACTGGTGCTTTGCCAAAGTGAAATAAACATTAATTCTATTAAATCATGTTGTAATGTGCAGGGAGATGTATGGATTTGCATGGAGGTGATGGATGCATCATTAGACAAATTTTACCAAACAGTTTACAATAATGGTCAAAGTATACCAGAAGATGTCTTAGGCAAAATCTCATATGCTGTAAGTACTGAGCACAAAATTGAGCCGCGTTACGACAAAACCAACACAGTGCATTTGCGACCAGCATGGATCCAGACCAGTCTGATCAGGATCCATGCTGTTCGCTTACAAACCCAATAACAAGTAGAGAAACTGATAGCGAATAGCATGGATCCTGATCAGACTGCGCGGATGCGCAGGCTGGTCTGGATCCATGCTGGTCTCAAACCCATTATGTTGGTTTTGTCATGACGCGGCTCATTAATCTAAACTTTATCCAAATGTTACGTTATCATGTATGACCTCACTGTGACACAAGGTACAAGTACAGTCCAGGACCAGTATATCATAATATAAATGTTTGGTTAGGTTAGTTAATCTATTGAAAGCTAAGGGCCATATCTGTCTGCTCCTGTGTTATACTTGTTCTTTTATTCTTGGAATTTTATGGGTTTAAGAAAACTGAAAGACCATTAAGTCTTTAACCCTTTCGCTGCCAGAGGGTTATTGTTTTATTGTTCACCTATTTGCCAGAGGATTTTCTAAGAAATTAGTATATTATTAATAAATATAATTATTATTTATTGTTATTAGTATTATAATAATTATATATGTTTCCAATTCTTTCAGTATAATAATAATTATTGTCGATGGTACAATTTTCTTTATATTTATTATTATTAGCTCGACTATTCGATAAGAATAAGAAGAGCTATTGCAGTCACCCGAGCGTCGGCGTCAGCGTCGGCGTAACCACTTATGTTAAAGTTTTTGTAATAGTTCAAATATTTTCAAAGTCCATTGACATATGGCTTTGAAACTTTGCACACTTGTTCACCATCATGACCCCAACCTGTAGACAGGAGGAGGTAACTCTATCAAGCATTTTGACAGAATTATGCCCCTTTTTCGACTTAGAATTTATGTTAAAGTTTTGTAATAGTTCAAATATTCTCAAAGTCCATTGACATATGGCTTTGAAACTTTGCACACTTGTTCACCATCATGACCCCAACCTGTAGACAGGAGGAGGTAACTCTATCAAGTATTTTGACAGAATTATGCCCCTTTTTCGACTTAGAATTTACGTTAAAGTTTTTGTAATAGTTCAAATATTTTCAAAGTCCATAGACATATGGCTTTGAAACTTTGCACACTTGTTCAACATCATGACCCCAACCTGAAGACAGCAGGGGGTAACTCTATGAAGCATTTTGACAGAATTATGCCCCTTTTTTGACTTAGAATTTACGTTAAAGTTTTTGTAATAGTTCAAATATTTTCAAAGTCCATTGACATATGGCTTTGAAACTTTGCACACTTGTTCAACATCATGACCCCAACCTGTAAACAGGAGGAGGTAACTCTATCAAGCATTTTGACAGAATTATGCCCCTTTTTCGACTTAGAATTTACGTTAAAGTTTTTGTAATAGTTCAAATATTTTCAAAGTCCATTGACATATGGCTTTGAAACTTTGCACACTTGTTCACCATCATGACCCCAACCTGTAAACAGGAGGAGGTAACTGTATCAGGCATTTTTTTTACTATCAAGCACTAAGAATAGTCGAGCATGCTGTCCTACCGACAGCTCTTGTTTTTATTATTATTATTATTAATTTATTATTATTACTATAATTATTATAGAAACGGCTAAAGCCGTCCATATGGCAAATACGCCGTTCCTATGGCAGTGAAAGGGTTAAATGGCATAAGGATAAAACATGTATGAATAAAATTCTATTTAGATTGGCATTGGTTAACTTAAAGAATTTTTTTTCCAACTCCAATTTACTTGCTAACTTGTGCTTTTCCAGTTGTCAAAGTGAGCATTTTCTTAGAGCTTTATTTCTTTATTTCACAGATTTATAGTGGTAATTTAACGCCCAGAAGATAAAAGTACACTTATAATTGTACTTCAGTGAATATGATTGATCAATGCAGGGTCTTCATAATTTGTTATAAGTTTTATATGATTTGAATATATAAACTGTCTTATGAAGAAATGAAGTGATAAACAGTTACATCAAAGAGTTCATTTAGAATGAATTATTGTGCTATTGGCGACTTTGTTCTATACTTTATGCCTTTAACTAGGAAGTCCATTGAGATATATGTATTTGTTGTTGTAGGTTGTAAAGGCCTTGGATTATCTACATACAGAATTACATGTTATACATAGAGACGTTAAACCCTCAAATATTTTAATAAATAGAAAAGGACAAGTAAAAATCTGTGATTTTGGAATTAGTGGTTACCTCGTAGATTCTGTGGCTAAGACTATAGAAGCTGGATGTAAACCCTACATGGCAGTAAGTTTTTACCTTAAATGTTTCCTTATTTATCTCTATCCAGAGATAACGGTATCAGCTCAAGTGTTTTTCTATACCTTTTATTCATTTTCAAGTAAATTTATATTTACTGAAAATCTTAAATCAAGTCTTTGATTATTTTTTTAGCTCACCTGAGTTATCATGATCGCTTGATGTCTATGTAGTGTTGTTTATTGTATAAAAAATATTCTTCTCTTTTACTACAATTTAGCATGATCCTTTTAGATGCCCTCTACAAAGTTAATTAAATGCTTCCAGTCTAATGCATACGTAAGTAGGTGAGGGAGCTTAAAGTGAAACTTGCAAAAAGAGATTAAGAGAATGAGATTAAATCTTGTGGTGGTCCTCATCATATTTTATACAAATTACATAATGCATAATTGTTGTTGAATTCTACAAAAACCTTGCTCAAGGGTCATCCATTGCAAAATACATGTAGTTAAAGTAGTTGACTTTAAACAATAGACACAAGAGTCTGCACACACAACACACCTATACAATTGGTCCTGCAAACATTTGATATAACTTTCTGTAGTCAAGTGCTTTTATGTGTGCACTACATGTATAGTAAATTTTCATGAGGTCAGATAAGTAATGTAGGGCCTTCATGGACCTCTTGTATCTTTGTATGGCTAGTAAACATATATGTTGTCCTGGTTGAAATACAAAAAGTCAGTTTTATAATGTTGTAATACATGTTATAGATGTTTTGTTTTTACATTATAGCCAGAAAGAATAGACCCTCAGACAGGGCAACAGGGTTATGATATTAAATCTGATGTCTGGAGCTTTGGAATCACCATGGTATGTGTTACAATACTTTATTGAATATATTATATAGCGAAAAATAATGACTGCGTCTATATCATCAGTTCCAGCCAAGCCGGTAGGTATATCAGTGCAGTCAGGACTAGATGCTCAAATTGTGACTTGGATACAGAAATCACATTAATTACCTGTATCATGATGGAACATAATCTTTATTGAAGAAGCACAGATTACAGGGTTACAGTTTGTAATTACATGTGCACAAAATTTTATATCAATCTAATATTAATGTATAGTTATAATCCAAGCATGATGAGTCCAATACACAAATTGTGTGTCATACAGATTTGAAAAAGACTGATTAGTTTTACTTTATTCCAAGTTTTTTTAGGAATATAAATTTATATCAGGTTGAGTGCTTTGTCATAAATTTTACACAATGGTCAAATGAGTCATTTATCTTTTAAACAATAAAAACCATGTTACATATATATATTTATGGTTTGAAAATAGCAATGTACTAACTTTATAAAATATGTTATAACAGATGTGTTGAGCCCTTTGAAACACACTTATGTAAAGTGCTAAGCATGTTTGATTACCTCCATATGTAAACTGCTTGTTCAAAAACCATAAACATTGTATGTACATAGTGGTGAACTCACTGTGGGTCACTTAGTTTACATAGACTAATATAGAAGAAAACACATTTATATGTTCTTCTGGAAAACTACTCTGCCCAGAGCTTAGGTAAATAGGAATGTGGTATTGTGTAGTACATGACTGTTGTCCTCTACAAAAGTTATTTGAATGGAAAAAAAAATAGACGATTCTAAGTAGTCACTTAGTATCATAGATAATTAATGGAAACACACATTTCAAAGTTCATGAATAGGTGGTTTAAACATATTTATTTAAGCTCAATTGCGAAACAAGTTCTTGCAACTTATATTAATCACTTTCGAGTCCGCTTCCTGGAACCAACCAGTACTGGTGTCATATGAAGAAACATGGTCGTGACCAGAGTAGGGCTCGAACCCATGATCTCTGGGTTGAGAGGCAGACACCTTAACCACTAGGCCACCGCTCCCCTTCGGATGGACTATGAAAAGGTCTCTTCATTAATAAAAAAAATTGTGTTTGATTACTCAAACAAATTTGCATTCTGGGGCATATTTTTTACCTGTGGGGTGCTTTTGTCCATGATATATTACCAATTGATTCAATTGATAAATCCATGCTCTATAAAATGTTAGAGACTTCAAACAAAGTAGCGTTTTGAAACTTCACTATGCTCGTTATTATTCTTTATTTGAAGAAAATGCATTCAGTTTGGTAAAATAGATTCACAAAAACCCTATCTGATTTAGTGCTATTTATAGTATTTTCTGTCGTGCACTTTGTCAAAAAGTGATATGGATATAGTTTATGGGTATTGTTCCTAAGTTACCTAACACCATACTTTTTAATGATTTAAAAGATAATGTGGACAAGTTAGTGTAAAGAAATTACATTGTTAAATTGTATGCTTACTGGTATAAGAACAAATAAAACTTCAGCAGATAATGAAATAAATCAGTGATTCATAAGATTTTAATCAAAGTTGTGATAAAAAAATCCCCTGAAAAGGCCCACATATTACATCATTGTAGTTGATGATATTATATTTAAAAATAACATGTAGGTACAAACTTTTACAATAAGGCATAACGTATGTTGAGTGTCATAGGACAATTTTCTCAATAAAGAATGCTTGTATGATATTTTATAGGTAAATGTACTTTTACATATCTTTTATATCTTTGTACTTTACGTTGTTCGTTGTCATAATATCCATAGTCAGTCTCATCATGAATCAGCAGGTGGTGCAATACACATACAATAGCATAGGGGTTTATTCGTACAAATCTTTTCTAAAGGTTTTAGTATCATTTATTTAGTTTTTTTAGTTTATATAGTTTATATAGAATTTATTTTAGTCTGAATGTGTAGAAAGCTGAGAGCTTATAGTCACACTTGCAGATTCATTCCTTGAACCAACCAATACTAAGCAATGAGTGTAAAATTTCTTGCTCAAGAAATCAACAGCTTGCCCCTTACAGGGTTTGAACCCATTTGTCTAACAATCCTTAGATTACAAGTCTGACGTGTTAACTGCTCTGCCATTTTATACCAGTAAAAAATCAAATATAGATAAAAAGTGATAAGTGAATTATCAAGCATTCCAAAATAACTTTATACTTTACTTTATATGTGTATGGACTTGTTATGCTTGGAATTTGATTTGGTTCATTATTGATTTAAAGTATTTTAATATTAAAGTATTGAAATACAATTTATTGACCTGGCTTCATGCTTTGGGCAAGTTATTGGTTTCCTACCGGTTTTATTGGAGGGGAACATAGGTTTACCCCGCCTGTTCTAGAAAAAGTGTAGATCTTTCCATAAACTAAAAAAAAAGTATGTTGATGATATTTAGTATGTGGATAGAGGACCATGTAGAGAATATGCACATCATTTTAATATCCCCTACCTTTTCGAAGAAGAAAGGGGGTCATACAAATGGGCTCCGTCTGTCCATCCATCACACTTTCATGTCTGGCCCATAACTAAGTCAATTATCAAAGGAATTTGAAATAACTTGGCACAAATGTTTGTTATAATAAGACAATGTGTCATGCGCAACACCCAGACCCATACTTCCAGGGTCAAGGTCACATATGATGATTAAAGGTCAACTATTTGAGGGTATATGTTGTTTCCAGTCCATCAGTCTATTAATTTCTTATTCATGAAGGGATTTCGAAAATGCTTGGCACAACAGTTCACAATAATCAGGCGAAGTGTCCTCCACAAACCCAGTGGCCTCCCTCAAAGGTCAAGGTCACACTTGGGAGGTCAAAGATTAACATGATCTGTTATAGGATATATTTTGTGTCTGTCTCATAACTTCTTCATAGATCAAGGGATTTTGAAATTACTTCTTACTATAAGATGATGTGTCTTATGCAACACCCAATAATAAGACGATGTGTCATGTGCAACACCCAGACCACTACCTCCAAGGTCAAGGTCACATTTGAAGGTCAAAGCTTAATATGGTCTGTTACAGAGTATATTTTGTTTCCCTTAAATAATTTTCTCATCCATCAAGGAATTTTGAAAGTACTTGGCACAAATGTTCACAATAACAAGACGATGTGTTTCCCCAAGATACTTGGTGATTAAGGTCAACATTGTCTGTTCAAGGGTATTTGTGGTGTCTTGTCCAATACTTTCTAATTGGTCTAGGGATTTTGAAAATATTTGGCACAAGCTCTTGTTAACATTGCTACAATTGACATACTTTTAACAAAATTATGTTTCTCATAAAATACATTCATACAAACAAAAATTTTATTTCTTTGAAATGTTAGACCTGATTTTTCACTACATATTCATTCTTTCTTTGATCATGCAAAAGAGATATTGCATAAAAACATCTTTATTACATTAATATAAAAAACACATACATATTTCAATGCAAGAATTTATTTTTAGACTATTCAATTTGTGAAGAACTATCCATGTGACTTTGCTTAGTAACAATAGAAATGTTTATATGTTCACAGATAGAATTAGCCTCAGGGAAGTTCCCATATGCTGCCTCTCCTACTCCATTTGAGCAGCTTAAACAGGTAGTCAAAGATCCACCACCAAAATTGCCTGTTGGACAATTTTCGTCAGACTTTGAAGACTTCATTGCTGTGTGGTATGATAACTCTTCATTTAATTTAGTAGATGTTTTAAAATTCTACATGTAATTTGAAAATAGTATTTCCAAAGATAGATTTAAATAACTATGAAAGAAACATTTGTCTCTGATACTAATATTTTGGAATTTATTAAAATTGACTTTTAGCAAATGTATGGCTGTGCATTATTGTTTGTGTTGTTTAAGATAATAAAGTTATTGCTAAATGTTTAGTTAAATTAGTCCAATGATTTAAATTTCAGTCAGATGATCTTGATCAATATCAAATTGTGATTTATGTTGAAATGATTTAACCAGATATTTTGAAAGAAGATTGGTGGATGTTGGTGGGCAGTGGGCAGGCATTTGGGTTTAAAACAATTTATTGTACGAACAACTCTTCAATTTTCAACACATTTAAACTGGACTTTCACAGACCTATTTTTATTAAGTGCTATTGATGCATATTGGAGGGACTTTTGAAGTTAGGGGAGATAATTGTCATTTGTTGTTATTTTCTCATATGTAAGTTATAGAGGAATACTCTTCTGTGGTCTGGGATTCTGACTTTTCTGAGGGGACTTGATGAAGCACAAAACCTGGTTTTGTGACAATATATGTCTTTAAGACCTTACATCTTACGTTGTTTAAGTTTTGATAGTGAATTGCTTTCTTTTATTTCAGTCTGAAAAAGTCTGTGGCAGAGAGGGCCAGCTACCAGATGTTATTGCAGCATACATTTTTACAGAAAGCAGAAATATCTGAAGTTGACATGTCAAGTTATGTGACTGAGGTGCTAAAGGACGTGAAAACAAATGACGGAGCATCAGGTCAATGATGCCAACATAATTATAGTGTAGTGTTTTAAATGAGATCATCTTAATTATATAAGATAGAATATATTTATTTTTGGAATCAGTATGTTATAGTACAGTTTGTTATACACACAAGAGTAGGACATCTTGTTGTAGACTTTATCCTAACAAGGATAGGAGATAATGTAGCACTTTAAAGCCTTAGAAATTCTATATAATGGTTTGCTTTACTTACCTTTTGTGATTCATTTAAAGAGAGTTGTTTGGTAAAAGCTGATTTTTTTCTGTTATAATATATACACACAGTTGGTTACACATGGTTACATTTCCTATCATGTCATAACACCATTTACTGTAAGGTTGATACATTGAAAGCAATTTTTGAAATGTATGCAAACTTCTTCTGTTGTTTTTTTATCCATATATGTGTGTAAGAATTAAAGATGTTTAACAGTTTATTTACTACATAGTGTGACTGTTATTTTATTTCTGGGTATGTGATTTTATGCTTGATATGTTAAAAATTATATATATATCAACATTTGTGTGTGAATGAATGGAGAACATATGTATTGAAAATAATAGCATTCAGGTAGCAACCATTTTCATTATACAAAAATTTTCCTTCAACTGTTTATTGATACTTGTTAAGTTTGATTCTTAAAATATATGCCATGAAACAGCCCTAAACATCTTATGTTACCAGTGTTTTTTCTGCTAATATAAGAGAATACAAATGTAAAATATGCAGTAATATAGCTCTTTAATAATGCTTTACTTCTAATAAAGCTCATTTTGAATAATTACTGAATCGATGTTTATGCCCAAACACAAAATTATAAATTTTATAATGTACATGTATAAATCTGATAAGGCCCAACCTTAGGTTTATTTGATTGTAAAATAAATGGACCTTAAGGCCCCATTCTTAGCTTATTCCGGCTAAAGTGGGAAAAAGTCAATTTTCAAATTTTAACACAAAAGTTTGAGCACAATGTGCATTGTTATGATTGTTTAATGATTATTTTTAGGTTTTTTTTTTTCAAATTAGTGTTATTAAAATGTGTATGTAAATGAGGTACACTTTACTTGTTCCTGACAGGGAACAAAATCTGATGAACACTACTGAGCAGTTTGGAAATAAGATTTAGTTAAAATTGTTAGACAGCTTCTTGAGAAATTCCAGAAGAACAGATTTTTTTTCTGTCCCATAGAATGTGCATGGGGCTTGTCCTACTATGCAATCAATTCTTTTTGAAAAAAAGTTTCTAAAAGTGAAAATTTTAGGAAAAATACAGTTGTGCAATTCTTTTATTTCATTTTTGGCTTTTTCGAGTTTGAATAATAATTTTATACTCTACATGATAGGATTTTATAAGACACCATATATCAATTTGGCATTAGAGAACGCCAGTAGAACAGAAACTTTCTTATGCTTGTACAAAATCTTTGCCTGCTCAATGTCAACAAGGTTGGGAAATAAAAAAGAGTGGTTTGGTCAAAGGTTTTGAATTCCGTGCTCGAGATATGACCATATTCCAATATTGTTTTTAATTACCTCAGATCATTTGTTGTGTGAAATATCAAGTTCTATTGTATCATCACTAGATCATCACTCTATTGTAGTAAAAGAATGCTCACAGTTAAACTGATTCATTACCGGACCTACTGGTTCATCTGATGTAGATTAAATAATATTCTAATACAATTTAATTGTTAAATTACTATACTTAGCTCTATGCTGATTCATTGTTATGTGTACATGCTGGAAATTCTGTTTTTAGGTCAAAGACATTGTTTTGACAACTATAAGTAAGAAAAACGTTTGTTTCTGATTTTGTAAGATAAAATCATTTAGTATGTTAAAATCCATAAGTTATCACACATTAGTTTTATATTTGAAATAGAATTGAACCAATTTACTAGTTTTCATTGATATTTTATTTTTTTATCTTTGTGATTTTGAAACAAGGAAGAAATTGTTTCACTGTGCATTGTTTTGGCCCTATTGTTGATATCCACCCAAAGTAATTAGGTCCGTGATTTTAAAAAAACCCTTCGAAAATTTATTGGCATTGTTTTGCCCCCTGGTATAATTTGAATCTTTTAAAAGATAATTAGGCAAAAAAACCCATTTTATGAAAGGATGATTTAAGATAATTTTTTCCCCCTTGCTTTTTAAAATTCCCCAAGTTTTAAAAAAATTTAAAGTAAATTGAACATATATTGTAGTAAAAAATTTAAATTTTTACCCAAGGGAAAGATTTTAAAAATTTGACAGTTTTAAAAGGGTTTTAATGATGTCAAAATTTAGTTATACATTATACATATGCATGTTTTATCATTCTCTATGAAAGTTATGTAATGGAATTAATAAAAAAAAAGATGCCATTAATTCTATGTTTGGTTTTGATTTAATGAATACATAAATTTTAATAGAACAATATTCTGTGAGCCCTTAAGAATGTTGTTTGAAAATCAAAGACCTTAAAAACTTGGCCATTGACTTCCCTTTTTTATGAATGCAAATCACACATTGTATGACTTGACATACTGGAATTAATGAAATGAAAAATATGTAGGCCTATTTGTCAATGTTATGAAATTTGAAAAAGTAATAAACGCTATAAATTCAACACAGGAAATTTTTCAACTCAATTGCGTATATTTTAAAGAAAGAAAAAAATCAATATAGACTAAAAAAACAAAACAATACTTGTGTAATTGGTCAGCTACACATGCTGACCAACATAGTTTCATTACTCCCGGTCAAATACTTTTTATATGCCGAAAGAATTTCGGACGTATTATGTTATACCCCCTGGTATCCGTCCATCTGTCCAAATTATTAACAATTTGGTTTCTGGAGCATAACTAAAGTTCCATTTGGCCCACAATATTCAAACTTCATATGATGATTGTCAGTATTGAGTAGAAGACCCTACTAAATTTTTGGTCACAAGGTCAAAGTTACTATTACCTTAAAACTGAAAATGGTTTTCCCACAATAACTTGAGTATTAATCAAACTACAGCTGTAAAATTTTATAGTATGAACAGCCATGTCCATTATATGACCCCTATTGATTTTAGGGTCATATGGACAATGACCTTAATACTGAAAATTGTGCTTTCTGGAGCTAAACACAAGTTCCATTTGGCTTACAGTGTTCAAATTTCATAGGGTGATTGCCTATATTGAATAAAAGATCCATATCTAAAAGATTTGCTTGTATCATGTTATACCCCTGGCGTCTATCCTTCGTAGCATTTTTATGCTTCCTGAAGGCAGAGCATATAGTTGATACTTTGTCAGTCTGTCTGTCTGTCCGCTATTCTATTCCGGGACATAATTTTGAAACAACAAGAGAAACATGAAACTTTGTAGGTAGATAGATCTCATTAAGTAGAAGTGCAGTGTAAAAGAACCATAACTCAGACTTGCAAAAATTTTGTTTATTCCCTTTTTGTTTTTTTTACCCCTAAATTTTTGTCGGGACTAACTCAAAAAACTATAAGAGATATAAACATAAACTTTAGTAATAGATTTTTTTGGTAAAGTGCAGGAAAAAAAACCAAACTTTTTCCCAAATTTTTTTATTCCCTTTTTTTTCTTTTTTTACCTTGTCAGTCACTAAAAGGGGTATATTTTCCCTGTTCCAAAAATTTGGGGGAGCTCACCCGTTCAACCCGGTTTTTGTTTTACAATAACATTTGATGTGGTGTTTTGGGAAAAAACCCAGCAATGTAAAATTTACAAAGGGTTCTTCAGCTAAAAAGGGAGTTTGTTTTTTTAAAGGGAGTTTTCAAATGGTATCTTTCATCTTTTTTTCTTTTGCCAAAATTTATTAAAAAATATATTCATATGAAATTATTCCCATGTCTTACAAATGCTTACAACAACACTTTTCGCCTAGTGGTGCTCTTGTTGAGTTATGGAAGATTAGCAAATTTATAGAAAGTCAAGGGCAATAACTCAGGTGCACAGCTTAACATGCTGGTCAACATCCAAAGATTATTGATTCTAGCTCTAGCAATTTGAGACGCACAAGGGACACAACAATTCAAACGTTTTTTAGCTCGACTTTTCTATGAAAAGGGGAGCTATCCTACTCGCCCCGGCGTCGGCGTTGGCGTCACACCTTGGTTAAGTTTTTCGTACCACCCCACTTTATTTCAGAAGTATTACAAGTATGGCTTTGAAACTTACCATACTTGTTCACCATCATAACCTCCATCTACAGACAAGAGTACATAACTCTGTCAAGGTTTTTGACAGAATTATGGCCCTTTTTTGACTTAGAAAGTGTATTGAGCTTGGTTAAGTTTTTTGTACCACCTCACTTTATTTCAAAACCATTGGAGGTATTGCTTTGAAACTGACCATACTTGTTTACCATCACGACCTTCATCAACAGACAAGAGGACATAACTCTGTCAAGGTTTTTGACAGAATTATGCCCCTTTTTGACTTAGAAAATACATTGAATATGGGTAAAATCCACTTATTGCCTTAACCCTTTGAGATATTGCTTTGAAACTTTTAATGCTATTTCACATCATTACCCCCATCTGTACGCAAGAGAAGGTAACTCTGTCAAGGATTTGTTTTAAAAATTAAGGCCTTTTATCGACTTAGAATTAAATTTATTTAAGGCTCAACTCAGTTTTTTTTTCTTTCTTACCAGCCCTCTTTTGACTTAAACATTTCAAACTTTGCTGCAGTGTTCAAGGGTATCACACAATTCAGTAAAATAATTCTTCACTAAATATCTTAATGCTCATGGCCATTGTTCACTTTAAAAATACAGAGATTCTTGTATTGCCTTTTACTGCAAAAACTTTTTTTATTGGCAAGCAATAAAAAAGTCGAGCGCGCTGTCTTACGGACAGCTCTTGTTTATGCCCCCCCCCTCCCCTTCGTAGAGGAGGGGGTATGTCAGTAGGTCGGTCTGACCGTCGGTAGATCACATGGTTTCATCTGATTATCTTAAAGGTCACAGGGGCCGTAGATGTCAAAATGGTTTCCGCTCATTATCTGGAAAATCATTTATCACAAAGTCTTCATATTTCACATACTGATTGGTCATAACTAGTAGACAACCCCTATTGATTTTGGGGTCAAAAGGTTAAAGGTCAAAGTCACAGGGGCCTTAAATGTCAGAATGGTTTCTGCTCATCATCTTGAAACTTTCAAATATTAAGACTTAGTGATAAATGGCTTTCAAGTTGAAAGCCATTTATCACAAAGTCTTAATATTTCACATACTGATTTGCCATAAATAGTATATGGCCCCTATTGATTTTGGGGTCACCAGGTCAAGGTCACAGGGGCATTAAATGTCAAAATGGTTTCCGCTCATTATCTTGCAAACTATTTATCACATAGTCTTCATATTTCACATAGTGATTGGTCATAACTAGAAGATGACTCCTATTGATTTTGGGGTTACTAGGACAAAGGTCAATGTCACAGGGGCCTTAAGGGTCAGTATGGTTTCCGCTCATTATCTTGAAAACTATTCATCACAAAGTCTTCATATTTCTCATATTGATTGGTCATAACTAGAAGATGACCCTATTGATTTTGGGGTCACTAGGTCACAGGGGCCTTAAATGTCAGAATGGTTTCCACTCATTATCTTGAAAAGTATTCATCAAAAAGTCTGCATATTTCAGATAGTGATTGATCATAACTAGTTGATGACCCCTATTGATTTTGGGGTCACTAGGTTAAATAGCTAATAAACACCGCTACCGATTAGAATCTACATATCATTTCTTAAATGTAGAATAGACGTGACTCGATTAGACCTTACATTAAGATTGGTTTAAGATCATTATTTCAGTCATTTTCTTATCTTCTTGACGTCATTTAATATTTTGAAACCTAAATACAGTTTTCATCTCAAAATCTTTACTTCCGTTCAAAACAGATGGATTTTATTTACTTAAGTTCTTTCTTTAGTGCAATTTTGATTGTATGTTCGGCTTTCCAGAATGTGCCCCAGACGTCAGGTTACCCGAGCCAACTGTTGGCTAATATGATGAATGATTTAAAGAAAGCATACGATGCTAAGTTAAGTAATATACAGACGAACTTCAACAAAAGGATGGCTCAGCAAGAACAACGCTATAACCAACTGCTAGACATTTTAAGAGGAGAACCTCGTATGTTGATTTTACTGTGAAGAGTTTTCAGCACAGATCTATATAAATTGAACAAATGTTCTGTTTTGGTTGCATAGAAATAATAATCGACACTATGCTAAGTTATGGCAATATTGTTCATTTAACGATATTTTATTGTAAGTTGAACATTTCAAGCATTTGCATTTTTTTTTTGTAAATGACTGATTTATGCCATGCTGTTATTTTTTTCGCCAATTCGAAAACAAGGAGATAGATAATTGTCTTTTTGCATTTTCGTATTCTCGATGCGGAAAGGTAAAAAATACATTTTATGCGCCTTATTTTGCCTGGTTATATCGTCCTCAAGCTTTTTAGCCTCGAGAATGCGAAAATGCAAAAACAAAGATAGGAATAATTGAATACGTCAAAATTGGACTTTCTCGTGGCATACAACATAGCGTAAAACAATCGCCATACTAAACAGCTGTCATAAACAACAAAATATTAATGTTCATGATTATAGTTAATAATCATATAACCATTATAATTAACTTTAACTTTCTTTGTTCCTCTAGGTGAAAAGCGTCTTCTTGACGGACTTGTACAATCGACGGCCTCCTCCCCCACCAAAGTCGCCTTCTATGTCCAACTGTCGCATGATTTATCAGGATTAGGTAACTACCAGGCAATTGTGTTTGACCTTGTTACAACAAATATCGGTAGCGGCTACAACAATGTTAACGGAATGTTTACAGCACCGTCGTCAGGTACTTACGTTTTCTCGTGGACATCTGCAAGCGCCGACAATCATCATATACAAACAGAACTTGTTGTCAATAGCAAAATAGTTGGTACAACTTGGTCTGATTCAGGGAATCATGCTGATTATGCTATAGCTTCAAACACTGTGGTCGTTGACTTGAAACCAGGAGATGTTGTTTGGATCCGGAGTAACACCATACACTGGCACACCATTCACGGTCAACGAATGACAACATTTTCTGGGTGGCTTCTATACTCGCAGTAAATGTATTACGTCATAATAAAAAAAATAAAGTAATGAATTTGATAAATCTGACAAAAACTGTCTACTACTACTGTCTTTCTTATATCAACACTTATGTAATCAAGTTCATATTGATTTATTTTGGTAATTTCGAGTATCTCTAAAGGACGAATTCGGAGGATAATTAAGTCGGTATTTTATAAAATGCCATATAACGGCATTAGGACTTGGACCAAAATGTCCCTATCCCATGTACTGTCCACTCTCAGTTTCATAGTTACTAGTAAACTATTTGAACCTCATTTATGACTTCAGAGAATGATTCTTAAAATTGCTTACAGGATTTTTATAGGGTGTAACATTGGAGCAACATATTCTAAAATAAAATAGAGAAGTAGTTTACACATTGCAAACAGCACTTACAATCCAAAAGATATCAAACAGAGGTCAAAACATGCAAAGTAGCCCTTTCTTCGTTAGTCATGCAGTAGAAATATGGTAATAAATACTGCAAAATCAGTCATAAATCGCACATTATATGTAAATTATTACTTGAGTCTTAAATTTTTTTAGTTTTCTTAATATCTTAGTGCATTTTTCTAAAGTTTAATCTTAAAATATTTTGCTTCGTCTGATGGCATGCAGCTTTAAATGTTTAAATCGTTGGAAAAAAATAATCAATTTTCATCCATCGACACGTAAACAAATGTTCTTCGTTGAAAACTTAACTTGAAAACAGGTTATAATTGTCACAGTGTCAACGTGGAAAACGGCTACAAATATAGTCTTTTGCCCTATATGCACGGTGAAATGGTGCTTACCTCACTTTTTTCCGCGCAACATTAAACTCTTACTTTTGTCTGCGACACTGTATCTTTCTGTTATACAAAATGAATGTCAAGCCTGCATACGAGAAGACAACCTATCATAATTTAACAAAGTAAAATCAACAAACTTTTCATTCCAGTGAATGTGTCATTTAATTTGAAGCTTATGTATGTAATACGTCACGGAGCTTATGAAAACCTCGAGGACTTCCTTCCCTACATGATTGAATCAGAAGCTTAAGGGCTTATAACGTGCCGTAAAAGCAAAGAGAGTAAGAACATTTAAAGTACAGAGAAGACGTTGCGCTGAAGGTAGACGAATCGACGTTTGATGAAATAAGTGTTAAGTTATTAATTTCTATGTCTCATACATTTGACATTCCTAAACCTGAGACAAGGAAGTCCAAAAGGAAAATAGGTCAATATATCAGACTACAGAATGCCATCACGAGACACCCTGCCAGTAAGACAGTTTCAATAGACAGATTTTTCCTAATATACGACATTTGCTTAATTATGAATAGTGGTTAGAAAAATAATTTGTAAGCACGTAAATGCCCAAGTAGTACAATAGTATTACATATAGTTAAATAAACAAATTGCTTTTATGATGTACGGGAGAATATATAGAATGGATGAGAGTAATATTGGTCAAGGCGCTTGCCTGATATTATATTTGTCAGTCAGACTATATTATCCCGTTGAACCCTTCAGCAACTTGTATAACTGATTTTTAATAAGACAAATTTGTCTTCATTTTCTCAAGATAATAGACGACTATCAAGGTGTGATATAACGCCCTTTCATTGAAGCTCGACGAAAGGCGCGCTGAAACAGATAACAAAAACAATTAAAATATGCATGTAAATTTTTATATATTTTAAAGGCACATATTCCACAGAAATAAATACATATAATTTTCTCTAAAAAGGGCAAAACTTGTTTTGAAATGTTTTAAGAATGGGACTGAAGCATGATACGCGCTTATCATTTGAACAGAGAAGTGTTAAAGTTAAATGATATGTCATAAATATAGCAAAATACTAAATCACTATAATTATACTGATTAGTTATATGCCACAGAAGCAAAAGGCGACTGCTATTTGGCCAATATATAAGCTCTATCTAGGAAACTTAAAACTTTAAAAGTGAAAGGCTTTTGAAAAATATGAGTTTTAGCTTTTTTGGGGCTCAAAGGGCCTGAATTAATGACATTTGAATCGATAAATATGCCTTAGGAAATAAAACGCTATTAGATAATTGATATGAATATTCACAAGTCTATATGAAGCAAGGAAAGAAAAATGTAATATGTGCGACTTTCTAGTCCTTACGGGAAAAACGGTAGGATACAATTTGAGATAGAGTATATTACAATGAGAAAGCATCAACCATGTTCCAAGAAATGTAAGGCTTATATAGTGTTGTTTACTCTAGGAATGAGGTCATGATTTTTCTTAGTAAAGTTCAAGTTTTCAAAATTTTCAAGAAAACATGTCCAAGAAACATTAACTTGAAAACAATGTTAAAAGTGTTCAATACTTTATAGATATTAATTTAAGCTGCCCTGAAATGTAAGTAAAATAGCAAAGTTGTTGTCTATGATAAACAAGCTCGCCCGTTTTCTTTTATGAACATGCACAAAAAAATACTGAAGTCGAATACTTTATTAAAAAAACGCAGATAATTTCTATACATAATCATAAACTAAATTTGTACGATTTTCACGGATAAATACCTGCTCATTGTTGTGAAATGAAAACATTATATGTGTTTGGGTTTCTTTCCGTAGAGAAACATTCTCGTTACTCCCGTCAAGACCCATTGAAAACAATCAGAATAGATTCGATGCAAAGAAGATGTCCTTGCTTCTAGTTTTAATTTTGCAAATGCCTTGAACAAGTCTTCCCCTTGAATGCGATTTGGATTCTACCATCGCGTTTTCACCATCATACCATCGCGCTTTCACCATCATGCCATCGCGTTCTCACCATCGTAATATTGCGTTTTCACCATCGTATCATCGCATTTTCACCATCGTATCATCGCATTTTCACCATCGTGCCATCGCGCCATCGTACCCTTGCCTTTTGGTCAGTATGACCAGTACACACATACAGAAAGATGTCAGATTCTGATATGTAAGATAGTAAAAACAAGTTTAGAATACTAACTAATTAATTTGAGTTATAAATAATACATTTCTATATATTTTTATGTCATTATACTGTTTATAGATCAAAGACTATTTATATATGCTAATATACATGTATGCTTTATATATGTTTGTATGGTGTTCCCTTTGGACATAAGTGACTTTTTATTTCGTCCTTACCCGCGATGCACGATGGTAAGATGGTGAAAACGCGATGTTATATATTTCATGCACAATCGTACCATCGCATTTTCATCATCGTGCCATCGCGCTTTCACCATTGTACCATTGCGTTTTCACCATCGCACTATTGCGCCATCGTGTTTTCACCATCGTACCATCGCGCTTTCCCAATCGTGCCCTCGCGTTTGCACCAACGTAGCACCGCGGTTTCACCATCGTGCCATCGCGCTTTTACCATCGTACCATCGCGTTTTCACTCTCGTGCCATCACACCATCGCGCCAGCGTGTTTTCACCCTAGTATCATCGCACCATTGTGCCATCGTGTTTTCATCATCGTTCCATTGCGTTTTCACCATCGTGCCATCGCGTTTTCACCATCGTACCATCGCGTTTTCATCATCGTACCATCGACTTTCGGTCAGTATGACCAGTACACATACAGAAAGATGTCAGATGCTAATTAGGCAGATAGTTAAACAAGTTTAGAATACTTATTAAGTAATTTGAGTTTTAACAGAGGCGGATGCAGAACATGGATTCCTGGGGTGGGGGGGGGGTGGGGGGCTGACATATGGTTGAAAGATTTTGATAAAAATAACGATACAGGTGAAAATTGTGCATGTTTGAAGATTGGGCCAGCATCTTGTTAATGTGACAAAAATTGTAATTGATGCGTTTTATAGCTTATCTTATGAGTGGCAATGTACTTTGCTTATACATGTATATGTGTTTACTATATGCCTTTTTGTAAATATTTAGATGATATGGAATTAAGACAAATATATGTAATTGGGGTGGGCCTGCCTCCCCTCCCGTAGACTGAGACAATTTTGAAATATGAGGTTGAAAATGGTGTTATTTCCTTGACTTTCTAGTGCTGTTTATGGTACCCTTTGGATGGTTTTACATCACACTGTATTTTGTAGAGGTTTGTGTTTGCAGGATCTTTCAAATAGAATTCCCCTGGTGTTAAGTAGTGAGCATTTACGAAATAACAGCCCACTTACCAATGTATGCGCGACCGCTGATAAAAATAATTTCAAACACTTGATCAATTTACTCATCTGAATAATAGATGATTTTCCAAAGAAAAGTGGCATTTATAAAATAACAGCACACTATCCATGTATGCGCGACCGCTGCTAAAAATAATTTCAAAAGTAAAGTGGTATTAAAATACTCCTTTCTATTGTACAAAAACATAATTTCAAACACTTAATTATATTAAATAAGAATTTTTTTCCATCAATGAATCCAGAGGTCAGAACAATTTAAATATTATTTAAAAAATATAACTGTCATAGAAAGTTATTAAAAGCAAATGACCATGCAGTCATTTCATCTTTATAAAAATCTATTAAAACTAGTTATTAAACGTGATCTTCATAAAACTCGCCATCTTTTTAATTCACAAATAATAATTTTTAATTTCTTAATTATAGGGCTTTCGCAAAGAAAATGGAAAAAACAAAGATAGTAAAATATGGTGTACAATATAACACATCTATTTGCCACTATCTGTGACTATTTTTTACTATAAAAAAACAAAAGGTTTATTGTGCCTATGCATGTAGACTTCTCACAATGTTTTGATAGAATTTGGCGATTTGGACTCTGGCAAAAACTTACGCAAAACCTTATCGATGGAAAATTATTTCGAACAATTTTTAACATGTATCAAAATATTAAATCTTGTGTAAAGCATAACGGTAACCATTCTCGATTCTTCTCTTCAGAAATCCGAGTCCGACAAGGCGAGAATGTAAGCCCGATCCTCTTTTCTTTATACTTAAATGGTTTACAAACATATCTATAGAGGCACACGGTGCCGCTGGTATCTAGCTGGACGCTATATTGACCCACCATTAGCGGTAGCTACATTGAACCTTGGTTTAAACTTGTAATTCTTCTCTACGCTGACGACACCGTGATAGTCTCGGATAATCCTGTCGATTTTCATCATAGTTTAAATTATTCTAACTCGTATTGTATTCAATGGAAATTAACTGTTAATCCAAATAAAACAAAAGTATTAATATTCGGAGCTAGAAATAGAATTTCGTATCATTTTAATTTAGGCGAACATGAGCTTGAAATAACTGACAAGTACCATTATCTAGGTTTGACATTTTCTGCGTCCGGTTCATTCCTTAAAGCTAGGCAACATATATGCCAACAGGCAAATAAAGCAGTATATCTTCTATAAATTACAAAAACAAATAACGCAGACCTACCCCCTGATCTTATAATAAAGTTGCGATCCTTACATATGGTTCAGAAACTTTTGGTTTTGAAAATCTAAATTTACTTGAAAAAAAATCCATAAGCTAAAATGATCTCTTTTTGGTCACGTTTAGTGCTTGGAAATGAAAATAAAATAAAAAATGCAATTTTGAGCAGCGATTCCCTTCGTTTGTAGCCAAATCTCAATAAATGTTTAAATCAGGATTTGTCTGAATGTTAAGCATCGGTCTGTAGTGCGATTTAGTAAAATCTCTGTTTTTTGAGTCCATTAGTGACATTTTCTTCATTCACATTGCATGTTTTGGACTCACCAGAGCCCACGACGGAAAGAATATCTCCATGAAGACTGCATAGAAATCCAAAACAAAAATGGGTCGTATAGAGGAGAGTCAGGAGGGCAGAATCACATTTCGATTTTCTTAAAAAAGGATTGAATTTTATATAAATGTTTAAAAAGATGAACACTTACTCTTCTTACAGTCACGTACATCTGGTGCTATGCTTCCCATCTGGTGCAGCGGAAATTCACATATAATTTTTACCGATGCTCATTTTTGATATACATATGGGGTTCCACCCCCGTGTATGTGTCTATTACATAACTTTTGATAACATGTACTTTACAATGTAACTAAATTTGAATTCATAAATACTATAGTATATGAATTCATGCATATGTAATGAAATTGATATACACGGTCGGTCAGCCAAGTAGTCCCACTGCGAGACAAAAAAAATACTATAATGAAGTTAGTTGTCTTGTTTCTTTTTGTTATGTTAATAAGGGATTTATTTATCCGAAGTATGACGGAAAGGGCCGAGAAGATGCGATTGATCCGTTAAAATGGAGTCTCACAGGTAAACAGTTACGTCCTTAACAGTTATTTTTAAACTACACTTCATGCATGACAATGTATATTGTCTTAAACTATATATAGCACTTATGTTATATGTAAGTATTCTTTGTAATTTTGTTGGTAGAGTGATATATTAACATTTCAGGTCAAAACATTTATGTTTGCACCTGGCAAGACTCAGCAGTTTATTTATGTCAAGATAAAGTAGAACAAATACCAATTTGGATGAAAATGTCCAGGCCCAGAGGGCACTGCATGGACTGTTTATTTAAAAACAAGAAAGAAAGGCATATAAAGCTTATATAAGTAAAAACATGACATAAAGTTGGACAGCAATTTGTAAAACATGTATGTCTCTATTATTATACATGGCATAACATTGTATATGGCAGTTGAAGCATGATATTGAGTTCGCCTGTACATGATACATGTATTTTCATACAGACTGAACAAAAAGGAAACTTCCCCTGTATGTAAGTGCAGATACATATACACAAATGTGAAAATCAGGATTAAAGTATATTTTATATACATGTATGTACTGAAAGAGTAGTTTATTGCATTTTTGTGTGTATTGATCATGAAGGTTTATCCAAAAGTAGTGAAATGGTAGTTAAAATGCAGACGGGTTCGCCCAACAAAATCACAAATTAATATCCGGAATGACCACCTTCAATATGATGAAAGGACTGTCTGACATCGTTGTTGGCGCATAGAACGGATCAGCGTATTTATTTCGGCTTGTTTAATGAATTAAGACTTGTCTCAATTACATGCATATTACACGGGTTTTGCACTTGAATGAATTTTGCCCAGTTATGGCCCTTGAATGAAAAGGGTGTTGTACCACTGATGCAATTTCAATGAAAATTTATTTGAAATCCAAGTACTTGTGCATAATAAAAAAGTTTTTCGATTTCCTTTGAATAGTGTGGCAAGCTACACAGAGGTTTGTCTGGACTACTCCTCAGAAAGTCATCAAAACTTTAGGTGAATGATCAATGATTTCTTAGATTCAGTTTACCTGATTTTATCCTTTATCCGATTGATGCCGAACAGAAATTGTTTGAGTCGCATAAATATATTGACATAATAAAATACTATAACACACTTTTTATCATCCGGTTCCTCGTAACACATGTAAATACACGCCACACTATTTGTCACTTCACAAAATTAATAAACATTAATGAGATTTGTATAGTCCTTAATTGATCGAGATTTCTGTCTATGTTTTCAGTCATCACAACAAGAAAACAGTCGGTAAAGATATTTGGTTTGTATTCATCAGCGTCTCTGTGGTAACGATGTTAGATTTTGGAATCATTTTTGCTTTTGGTGCACTGTTCGTGGACATGATGGAAACATTTGAGTCAGACCGAGCTTCAACGGCAACAGTTCAGTCACTTTTAATCGGCATTTCTCTAGGATTTAGTACGTATAACCAGACATTTACGAATCTACCCCTGTCAAGGATATTTAACCATTTACATTATTAAAATATGTAACTGATATCGAATTGATTATTTGGGCACAAAAGACTTCCTTTGCAAACACAAATAGCTTTATTGTAATAGTTTAATGGCTTTATGTACAAGGTTTCATGTTTTAACTATCTTAAAAGTAGCACCCCTGTCAAAATCGGAAGTACGTATTACTGTGCCAGTTTCTGTCTGAATATTATAAATCTATATATATATGGATGAGGTAACGATCGAGGCTCTCAAAATTTGAGGTAATTTAGAACTTACAGTCCTTATAAATAAGTTTTTATTCCGGATTCTTTTCATTACAACTGCCGTATTGTTAAATTTTATTTTTTAATTTTAATTACACTAATAAGTGCATGGATTGTTTGAAATGATGCCAGTCAACTATGATTAAAATCCACCTTTCTACTTATAGCCCAAATTACTTTAAAATAAAAATGTTAGATTTTATGTATGTCTATGTTAGTAATGTGAATAATTCACATTAGCCTAAATGTCACCCATCATCACATCATGGCAGTTGTAATTTTTTGACAAAAAAAATTAGTAGAGGACCATATCTAGAATGACATAGTAAGTTAATGTTAATATCAATTTATAGTTATTATTGTATTGTTTGTTCAAGTAACGCAAGGTATTGATCTATGCCACATATCTTGCATTAATGAAATGCAAATAAACCAACTGCTGTTAATGCATATCATTATTAGGCATTATTAATGCATATCATTATAAGGCATTATTTGGATTTCATTCACGACATTGCATATCTAATTGCCATCATAGCAAGAGAGAAAAAAACACCTTGAATATAACGGTTGAGTATAACAAGGTATAGACTAAAAAAGTACTACATATAAGGTAAACATGAGGAAAGTGGTAACTTTTGTATATATATTGACAGTCAACTTTTGTATTTATTGATAACATCGGTAGTATTATGGTATGTAACTTGTCCGTCCGTCCGTCCGTTAGCCGTATCGATGTCCAGAACTGTTAACTTAAGTAGGATGACATCATATTTGGACGACCCACTAACGAGGTCAGCATGTAAAAGGTCAAAATTACAGTGACATTCAATAATGCTCAATAACTTACAAAGTTATCAGCCTACATCTGTGAAACTTAGTTGGGAAATTGGCTTGGCCAGTGAATGACCCGTATTTATTTTGAGGTCAGTGGTCAAGGTCACAGTGGAATAATGAAAAATCCTTACCCGCTAAATGATAATTTGAGAAGAAATAAAACTTGCTTTATGCAGCTTGATATGGACACTACCTATGGTCAAAAGACAACCTTTCGATTTTTAGGACAGTAGGTCAATGGTCAAGGTCACACTGACACTTAATTCAAATACGAAAAAAAGAAATGTTTGTTAAACTTGGTTGGGACATAGCCCATGTCCAGAAGTTGACCTCTACCTGTTATGGGATCATTATGTGAAATTTCAAGGTTACAACGACACTTCATGTTAAATACGTTTATATGTTTTGTGATGTAAGAGCTGATGGTCTGAATCGTCCGAATAAAGAATTGAAATGTAAAATCATTGCCAAATTACGTTAGAAATAAATGAAATCAGGTTTGTGAAAGTTGAGGCGATATTGATAACCCATATTGATTTTAGTTCGTTATGTTAAAGGTCAGGGTTACATTGATCCAATCAATTATTTGAGAAGGAATAAACATACAAATAGAAGGAATAAGCAGCCTACAAATGTTTGTGAAACTTTGTAGGGATAATCATTGCCTTTGAGGTCATTTGAGAAAATTTTTGATAGGCAAAACCAAAACTGGAACGATCTACCTTCCGATTGAGAAACTTATTGTGTTCTTTCCAATGTGCACTTAAAACACACTGTTTGAATAGCCTTTTTTATAAGTCATATTCTCACACAGTTATTTTTGCGAAGACTCTGGCCATAGTTTTATATTAATCATGCGTTGGTTCTACTATGCTATTATAGTACAGTTATTGTTTCGACTATAAGTGCAATTAAGATGCCGAGTGTATCTCCATTTTAATTTTGGATTACATACAGAAACGATGTGCTTGTGGTATGCACGTTGTCAAACCTCTATTCAGTTGACTTTAGCGATCTACAGTTTTTTCTTTCTCGATCAATTGCTAAGAAAAGTATAAAGACATAGGTTGCCATTTTAAAATTTGACCGTGTTTCTTTCCATGGCAAACAGGACATACTGTGTACTCTTATATAGTGTCGCAACAAACGCTTAGAACTTTGCTCACTTAATTCTGAACTAAATATCGACTATCAAAGTGCGACCCATCAATTTAGAGGATTTTCTACATCATTTTTGTAGAATGTTCAAAGTAAGAAGTTAAGGAAACTTTGGAAAATGTGAAATGAACGTCCAGGAGAGCAGAATGGGCAGTGTCTTTATCTGATGTTTTCATTAACTGAGAAATCCGAGATGATTATTTTACCACAGTACTATTTTTCCATATAAATTGAAGTATCCATGAGCTCTGCTCCAGGGATCTATACTGAATATATTATTTAACTCATTCAATAAATTCAGTATTAAAGCTTCACTCATTCAGTATCATCTATGTGTGTATATGCATTTATAGGTATAGTAAGTGGTGCACTCATATCAAGATTCGGACTTCCGGCTGTCACATGGATATCATCATGTTTGGTTCCTCTGGGATTCATTCTCTCATTTATCGTGCCACAAATCCAGTATTTGTATGCCACCATATCAATTATTTCAGGTATTATAAAAACTAACACACAAACTCTAAAGGTCGTTATTTCATTGGTACGCGATCCGTGATACGCGTCCGTGATGCGTGTCCGGGTTTGTCCGTGAGTATTATTCCATATACTTTAAATCATAGTATAGCAAATACAGAATAATTATTTATAGAAAATGATATCATTTCCTGCTAGTATCAAAACCATTTGTACCATCACAGAATTCATGTGGAACGAAAAAGGAATAAACATTAAATATCAGTAAGGTTTTCATCTCTTTTGCAACCGAAGACCGGATGTAATTTAGTCAATCTGTCAGCGATGCATCATACAGTTGTGGGTTCTCCCGCACTATTTCAATGAGCTTTTCAGTTGTTTTTTAATCAATAGAGCATTCAATTTTGTTCCAGGCATCTTGTCGTGAAGAGACCTCTTTTCGTGGAGAGATAAATATACGATACTGTCCGCGTCCGTCCTGCGAAACGTCACGGATGCCGTCGCGAACGCTGATGAAAAACGGACAAAAGGAATTGTTTGTCGGGCGAATTGGTCGCGGGCGCGGATCACGGTATCAATGGAATAGCACCCTTATAGAAGTACAAGTATATATTTGCATGTTTTGTGGTAAAATATGTATTATTTGTAAAGAACTTCTTACTGCTGTATGAATATTGAGCATCTGAGTATATTGATTTCTCATTTTCTTACGGCATTCTGAATAAAGTTGGTCTGGTCATTTTTGTTAGAACTCAATATTAATCCATTTTTAATGTATTGTAAACACTAGGCTCATTCTAAGAAATACCAGTAAATGATGTAACCAAGATTTTCTTCTCAAAAATTATTTCAAAAGATTAGCCTCTAATCTTGCTATTTTGTTAAGAAAATTAACGTGTAAGAATTTGCCGTTTCCTTAAAAAACGTTTAAATTCAGGACATTCAACTTGAATCAAGGGCAGGTAAGTCTGTCAAGCATTTTCACAGAATAATGCCCCTTTTCTATGTCTTTAGTATTGTCCATGAATAGGTCCTTTTTTCAATACCAGTTATAGGAAAGCCAGCCAATGTGCAGTTATTGGATCACTATTGGTTCTGTTGGTAATTATCTTGCCAATAACACAGCCGGAGTGGTAAAATCCGATCAGAGTAAATTACAGCGGATATCTGTAGTACTAGTATATACTCTGAACGAACCAGACACATCGTTTATATAAATTGTTGGACTAAACAGTATTGTTATTCAAGAAACATGTGAAGTTGTGAATTTATCTTTCATTCACAGATATCACCAGTATTTTAACAAATGTTTTATTAATGTGTTATATGGCCTATCTCTTGTTGCCTAATACATATACATTGTATTGACGTTTATTTCAGGAGCCGGTATCTCCATGATACACGTAATGAGTATAGTTTTCATTCAGCACAACTTCCCAACAAATCTACAGCCCATATGTTTCGCTATACACGGTACTGGTGTAAATATAGCTGGTATGATATATCCGTTACTCATAGAGAAGCTGTTAGATAAATATACTGTTCGTGGTACATTTCTTATACTCGGAGGAGTGTTTATGAACAGTCTAGTAGTTCCAGTTTTGTTATTAAACAATGATAACTTTCGCAATGGAATGGAAGGAAAAAATAAGCAATTAAAAGACCTGAATAAAAAGCTCACTCATGATAATGGTGCAAGTACGGAAATGGTTGTGTTAATACAAGAACCGAAACATAATTCAGTGAAAAGTGACGACACTCTAGATGAAGCGCAAACTCAATCGGAAAACACATGCAATCACTCTGACTTAGAAATTAGAAAGACGTTAAAATATCCCTCTATAATAGAATGCCAATTCTTATTATTGCTGTTAGCTTCAGCAAGTTGTATTCCTGCATTGAATTCATATCTTGGATTAATAGTGGATATATTTATATGGAAAGGTTTTAGTGTTTCCCAGGGTCAAGTATCATTTGTACCATTCAACGTGTTCAGCATTTTGTCTAAATTTATCCCTGTTCTCGCTAAGAGCTACATGAAATCATTAAGTTGTTTTGTAATGCCGCTGTGTTTCTGTGTAATTGGACTGATCAGCCAAGTTTTGGTGTATGTGTCTAACAATTATATAGTATTGATGATTGGCACAAGTTGTGTTGGACTATCTCTAGGTGGTGTTTTTCCTGCAATGTTAATTGCTGGGGCTAAAATAGTTCCAAGACGAGAATGGCCAGTTGTTTCGGGTCTTCTGATGTCCGTCATAGGCATTATGTCTTCTGGACTTGGTCCACTTTTTGGTGAGTATGATAAGAACGTTAATAACATAGTATAATACATAAGTAACAAGATATAAAACTGTTTGATATGCATACACTCTTCAGCTATTGTGTATACTAGAATCATCTAGGGGTGATATGGAATGTGGATCGATATGAAGAACATTAGCACATTGTTTCATATATATTAGTAAAAATAACGAACATATGTATATTTGGACTGAAGATTTATTCTTACACTTATTCAGCAATATTTCTACTTGTTAATACATACTGTAATTACTAAGTATAGATGATGCGATTGTTCATTTTGGCGGGAATAACGATCATATAATTACAAGCAAACCAGCAGAAAGTATATGATACAGACATACAGATATTGTTGAAATAACAATTCTAAAATAAATATGACTATAAATAGACATGATTTATTTTGCGAAAATCCAGATTACATAATGTATAATTACTTCAGGATAAGTTAGATAAAGACTTACCAAGTCTTTTTTTTTCCTTCGTCATCTCGCTCAAAACCTTTTGTTGAAACTGAAACTGGTTTTTAAACGATAACACATTATAATTTTATTTTAGGATTTGGACGAGATAAATCTGGAACATATACATATGTTATATTTACAATCGGGATTCTTCAGACAGTTGGTATTATGCTTTTCATGTGTGCCTTGATAACACGGAAACGAATCAACCGGTCGCGGCGGATGAGTGAGTAACACGGTCGAGAACTGTTACAAGAAAGGAGTTCTTCTGAAAAATTGTCATATCTTCTTACTGTCATGGAGTTCTTCTGAAGATTTTTTTAACAAAGAAAAAATTACAATGGAAGTTGTGGGCGTCCGTGGCCGAGTGGTAAAGGTCGTTGACTTCAAATCACTTTCCCCTCACCGCTGTGAGTTCGATTCTCGACCGGGACTTTGGATTCTTTCATGTGAGGAAGCTATCCAGCTAGCTTACGGAACGTCGGTGGTTCTACTCAGGTGCCCGTTCGTGCCTGAAATAATTCACGGAAGGGCACCTGAGGTCTTCCTCCACCAGTAAAGCTGGAACGTCGCCTATATGACCTATATTGTGTCGGTGTGATGTAAAACCCAATCAAAATAAAAAACAATGAAAGTTGTAATTCTTCATCTTCAAAAGGAGACTGCGGTGTTATATTCAAGCGTGATGATGAAGATTGCCAAATGCATTGCTCTGTGGGTCAAAAATATTATATGGTCTAAGTCTTGGTGCCACATCTTAATAATTAAAATACTGTTCTCAATATTTTGAGAGAAAAAAATCGAAATCGTTGGCTTATTCATCTCACTCCGTTCAAAAACCTGCCAGCCACATGTTCCCTAACAAAGAATTAAGTGAATCACAATTTGTAGTCCTAAAATCATGAAAACCTTCATAAATTGAGTTCTGGACCCGGTACCCTTTTATGTAAAGAACAAATTACCTGCAAAAAGGTTCTCTTCGTTTCAACACTCTGATTAGGAAATATGACAGAGTTGTCCAGTAAAGAACAGTAAAGAGTTTTCGAGTTACCAGAAACGTTATCGAGATAACCAGTTCAAAAAACGTAACAGATAAAGATAATTATATTAAAAAATATGACAGAGTTGTTGCCGATGGAGTAGTTCAGTTAAGAAATGTGACAAAGTTGGCTTGTTAAAAACTATGGCAGAATCGGAAACGACCGAGTTGTCAAGTTAAGGAACGTTACGTTGTCCATTAGAAGTGTTTCTAGTTTTCCAGATAAAAACGTAACCACCTGAGTATTTAATGAAAGTGTAAAATAGTTGTATTGTTTAAAAGATACGACAGAGTTGTCTGGTTAAGAAACGTCACTATGTTATCTAGTTAAAGTTACCCAGTTAAGAAATATGACAGAGTTGTCGAGTAAAATATGGCAGAATTGTATATATTGGTATTATGGTTGAGTTTTCTATTATGTTTCTGGACTGAATAATCTAATAACAAATATGATTGACTGAGTTGTTAAGTTAAGAAAATAATTTTTTTTTTCACTCATTTTATGATAATTCCCAAACTAGCTGCACTCTTACCGAACATGAATGCTCCTAAAAATATTTATAGTTAATAACTACTTATAGTTCATAACTATGATGTTTGCAAAGTAGTACATATCTTATCCTGTTAGGCTCTATTAAACATGTTATGGTTATTTTTAAACATGAACTGTTGCATCTAATTTATTGAAGTTCATAGCGCAAATAGAAAAGGACAAAACGAATATAAATCTGAAGCGTTTTGTTATCCAATCTTTCTTACTCGTCTTGATAATATTTATTCACGACTTTCTTTTGTTTGAATCTGATAAACGTAAATTTATTTATGACATTTTCAGTCTTAATATTGAAAGTACTCCGATTTTATTACGGTTGTAGCATGAACTGTTTTGAAAATAAGTACCGTCTTACCAAGATATTAATTTTAAGTTTGTTCAATATATATGAAGATTTAGAACAGTTTTATTAAAGAAGTTAACTTTATAATTCACCAATATCCATAAACTTACAAACTTTTTGTCTGAGTAGATCAGACTTATATTTAAGTAGAAATGTTCATAAATTCAAAAATAACGTAGATTATCTAAAACAAGAGACCGTTTGTTTGTACACAATGTTGCCCCAGTGCTAGCTGGCTTGAGAGATATTCTTATAATGTAAGCTTCAATTAAGTTTCCTCACTTTCAAGGTAAATGAATTATTTGTAATGTATGCTAAATGAATTGAGAAAAGACATCCACAGTTTTTTTTAAATCTCTCTACTGGAATCACTAGAAATCTGTTAATGTTCGGCCGCCTATGACAATAGAACTTACTGATTTGTTTTTTTTTACCTCAAGATACCTAGTGCAGATATAACACGTTAGGCTTCAACTTAAGTCAACGGGCGAAATAATTTAACATTTTAACTTTTGAAGAAAAAAAGAAAACATGCCTAGAGATATTGACTCTAGGGTTAACATGAAATTAATTTAGATGAGTTTACTATTATATTTGATAAAAAAGTGAAATTTTTAAATTTGATGGTACAGACTGTAGTGAAAATGATATTCACTTACAACCTGGTTCATACATGTAGTACAAAATACAAAGACTGTCTGTGTAAACTTCCAGGTTTACTGATAGAGGGAGACATCAGGTGCGCCTCCGTGCATTAATTCGGCCACCTAGAGGCGGAACCACCGACCAACCGTAACCTTGCTGGATAGTGGATAGCTTCCTCACATGATAGTATCTTCATAAGGTAGCACTCCACAGTTAATTTCAAGTTCCTGCCGTCAATGTCCTACAAGCAATACGTCTAATATTTCTAATACCAAACTACACAACCTGGAAAAAGAAAACACATTTTGCTGAGAACATATATGACATAAGATTGCAGATCTACAAAGAAATTATCCCATCTGCAATAGGCAGGCAGTCAAAAAATTTGCAATTCATTCCGTTGAAGCCCAAAATCTACAGTGGCCCGAGACCCAAAACAACACATTTCGACCCTCTGGCAAAAAATATCTGCAAATATACAGGCTAAAGGAACACCGTCTCTGCTTTAGCAACTCCCTATACATGCAAAATATCACAAAGAAACTAGTCCTCAACCTTGTAGATTTTTTACTACTGCTAAAAGTGTGTACCCCCCTGTAAAATGACTTCTTTTTACCGTGCATGCTGTATAAAAGCAATGTTTACAAAAAATGGCGGCCTTGACATTCATAATCAACAGCATGTGATTTCTGGCCATGTTTTCGAATTTGCCAGTGATCATATTAGATGTCACAAAAACAAATTTTATGCTGAAAATGCATTTTAAAGACAACCAGTCATTTAAATCCAGAATATTCACTATATCCAAGAAATCCTAAACCCTGGCCATTCGAAGCTGTGGCTTACATTACTGTGGTGTGCTACCTAACCTCTCCGGTCCGTTTAAGCGGATTTACTTTCCGGGTCGTTACTCTTAAATTCAAATTCAATTTGACCTGCCAGGATCCCTAATTTTGTCAACTCTGAAATACTTATAAGGAAAGTTATACAGAAATCATGTTTAAAGATTCGCTAAAATAAAATGTTTACAAATACCTTTTAATTGAATGTTTTCCGCCAATTATTGAATCTGTAATATTAACAATAGCTAATCGCATTAATTATTTTAATGTTTGCTGTATAAAACTTTGATGTTTGTTTTAATTAAACCTTTATATTAATTAGTTTTTCGCACTTAATGTGCTAAGTCATTGAGATGCATACTCAAGTTTCTCCCGCGCTGCACGGATGAATGATCATTTCATTGTGCAGCATAAGATATAAGCACGCGGCACAGTCAATTTATCAGATTTGTGTTGATATAATAATATACGATTGCGTCATAAAACAACATTGTAAATAACTAATTTCCCTTCGGGCCATAAACAAATAAAACATTCTTGCATCTGGACTAAACTTACTAGATAATCTTAAAAAGAAGCCGAACTTGAAGAAAGAATGAACACTCCAAGAAGTGGTCTTATTCGAGCAACTGAAGGAGCTATTAAAGAATATATTAGGGTAAGTTATTTCATTTTACATTTTTGAAAGCACGAACATATTATGTGTGTATAAAAGGTATATTGTCATGTTCTTAGCATGAAAACTGTACAGTAACGAATATCATTTTGAAAGATGTACATTAAGAAGGTAATCAAAACTCGCACGAAACTATATCGTAGTGAGTATATAGCTAATGTCATTGCAGTGAAGCTATATCTAAAGGTACTATATATACAATGTATGACAATAGTTCATTGCTATACCATACATATATATAATTTCCTCTGTCTATAATCTACATCCCTACTTTTCATACAGAAGTTAATCCCATTCGTTCATATTTAGATTTTCTTCTATGCACATAGTAATACTTCGTGACATTCCTCTTAGTTATATCAAGTAGATAACTGCTATGCACGACATTCACGTGCAGAATTATTACTTGCTAGCGCTAATGATTACTAATTTTCGTGCTTTACATAGTTACGGGTGCTTATTTTGAACTATCACGACAGAAGACAACCTCCATATTTTTCCTAAATGAAATTAGATTAATAAATTAATGGCGTATATTGACTTAAAAGTAAACCCACTGCTCGACATTTCATAGTTTAGAAGAAAATTGTACATATCCTTTATTCTCTAATTTTTATTCCGCATTACCGGAGCCATACATTTCTGTTATATACACATTTTGTAAAATTATGTTCCCCATATTGTATTGAAAACTGCGTTGGCAAAAATAAAAAAATACGTTCTGTTCTGTTTTGAGAAATGTACCATAATTAAAATACAATGTTTGGCTTTACAGGATGGATGTGTAGAAAACTTGCCCATGATACGACAACTAGAAGATGTCGCCTTCCAGTTTTGGTTAGAATCGGTATGTAGTTAACGTAAGAATTATTATTTTCATTTATTCGTAAAACGTACCGCTTCTTCAGCTTAGTCTAGAGTTGGGGGACGTGAATATAAGATAAATGTATGTCATACATAAAACAGGGGTCCATTGTCTTATGACGTTACAATGGCTGCTTATGACTTTGATTGATTACACGCAAACGTAGTACGTTCATGTTTGATGTCGGTTGGGTGACAGAGTCACCAAGATGTCGGAGATATTGAATTGTTGCATGGTTATATTATATAATGATTGAAATAAATCAGCCATTTTTATTACTTGCTTATTTCAAGAATATACTATTTCACTAAATACGTACCAATTAAATCCATCTAGTGCATATTGATTGGATTTTAACATACGAATCCAGTCTTTTAACTAATGGTATATCAAACGTAAAAAGGAAAACATTTAGGCCTACAAAAAAAATAATTATAGATTATTATATTCACTAGACTTAAAGATCTACTACCTGAATTCTTTCATTTTTATATTTCATATGAAAACGATGTATAATATAAAATATTGAATTTCAGAACACGTCATTTCTGAACGAGACGATTGAGACTGTGGAAGACGAAGATGACTGGATTTGGGACGAGGAATATTTATTTCAAAGGTAGGGACTAAGAAAACTTACTGATCATTTTACAGTATTTAGAACTCTGATCTGCACAATGATTTCTAGAAGAACAATCTCGAGACCGCTAGTCGAGCAGAAGTCAGCTGAAGTAGTATACCTCTACTTTGAAAATTGTTTCAAATATGCTAGAAGTTTGTGCCTTGAAACTGAGGGGCGTGGGTTCAAAACCCGTAGGGGGGGGGGGGACAACTTTTTTTCGTTCCTTTATCCTTTTTAAAAGTTTTTATGTATCTTTCAATCTCTCAGATCCCTTATGGAATTTCAAATAGGCTAGAATCACTGTCAACTGTATTGAAACTGAGGGGCGTGGGTTCAAACCCCAGAAGGGGCAACTTTTTTTCTTTCCTTTTTCCTTTTTAACATTTTTATGTATCTCTCAGATCCCTTTTAAAAGGAAAAAAGTATTTGATTTTAATTATATAATTATTGCAGATATTTATTTGCTAAATAATGCCAAATTAATAGCAAATATGGCACCAAACTACGCGGTAAAAGTATTTTAAATTTTGCAAGACTAACCAATATACTTTTCAGAAAAGTTAGGCAACTTTGAAAACAGCCACTCATTGTGGTAAAGTTTAGGGATATTTTGAATAAGGCTTTTTACATAGGAAAATGGTGAAATAAGTGTTTAAAGTGGGTGGGGTAGGTTACAATTTTTATACATATTAAAAACAATTTTTTTCGAAACAATCATTTTGTTGGTTTAATTTGTTATCTGAATGTTATAATTTGTTTTGTAAAGAATGAGCAATAGGAAAACATTTTTCATAATGATGATATTATAGAATATTAAGAGTTTTCTCATTTCTGAAAAAAGCCCTTCTAATAGCAAAGTTTTAGTTCAGAAAAATGACCATAACTCATAAACCACACGGTAAAGTTTGTTTAAATTTTCCATACAGGTGACATTTAAGGCACATAACTGTCCTATGTTGTTAATTTTACAGTTTCCTATAGTGCCCATTAGGGTGTACTATCTTAAACAGCATACACTTAATATTTAACTACTGTTCACTGGGAAAGATAGAATTTATTTCTGTTTAATCAGTTAAATGTCTCTCAGTTTTAACAAGTAAAAGGAATCGAAACTTATTTCTCATCGACAGTCTCTTGCTGTCTTTTATTATGATGTTATTGATTTTAAATTATACATTAATTAAAGTGTTTACTGTATTATGATGAAATTTCGCTTGACTCTGAGTCATAAAATATTTTGATTTTTTAGTTTTACAGGACATGCAGACGACAAATTGATAGACGCAATTGATGATTCCAACAGCTCTATCTGTAGTTCTATCAAGCCCTGTGATGAAACAGATTGTTCTTTTGGCTATCTAGCAAGTTGTGAAGATAACAACATTTTGGATCTTTCTGAAATTGAAAACTGGGATCTGTTAGAGAATAATGTTATTGACGTACATGTAACAGAAAATGTCGACTATGAGAACAAACGGAATAAACATGACAATCGGGCAGAATTGATTCATTGTCTATCAACGAAGTTGAACAAAACTGAAATCGTGAACGATATATCAACAAATGGTGATACAAGCTACGATAGTCGTGATCGGGTAAACGATGATATGGATATAATAGAGTCAGGAAATACTAACGAAGATGAGTGGGTAGTTGTGAACTATGACGTGAACGATTGTGTGCCTAGCAGTGAATGGTTCATTGTATCGGTTAATGAAACAAGCGAGAGTGCTGTAGAAACAATGAGTATGAGGCAAACGTCTCCTGTTGACGTAAACCACAGTTCTAGTGAACAAAACGTGAAGAAGTTAAACGACAACGCAACAGACGATATAGATGGTGCATTTGATATAAGTGAATGGGCAGTGCTTTCAATGAGAATATCTGAGATAGATACTAGTTCTGACAAACAGGAAATAGATAAGAAACAGGCTGACTTTTCTCCTAGATTTGAATCACATGATATTATGGAAGCCTATAAACAAACTGAACAAATGGAATTTATTCAAGGAGCATTTGGACTTAAAAAACAAAGTTCTTGTGAAAAACATGTTGATAGATGTCCATTATGTAGAAATAGAAAAGAAAATTATAAATGTGCTATTTTTTGTTTACTTTTGGAGTAAAAGTTGTAAAATAAAATTATATTTCAATGTATTACTGTGTAGCATTGTTTATTTAAGGTAATATCGATTCAGTAAAACTTCGAAATTAAATGCATATCTGGGCTGTGGTAAAACAATAAATTAAGAATTAAGACCAATTAAAAGGAGGAATAAAAAATTGATATAACCCTCTTAAACAACTTGATGACAAACGGTTGCATTTAACTCTGTCTTTCCCCCACCCACCCCCAAGATGTATGATCCTGTTTTTATTCAATTCAATATTTATATATTTATTAATATTTGGCGATTTCGGTTCTTAATTAAACAATAAAAAATTAACAACTCAAATTATTATAAAAAGAAAATTAAAATGTCATACAATTGCGGGCCCTATATATAGGATGTGACTGTGAATGCCAGATCCTTTTTATCGTGCCTGAAATAATTGAGTAAAACAATCCATTTATAATACCATTTCACATACCAGTGCCACTTTTTCAATAACGTTTTTACGGAGTCGCAAAAGCGACGTGGGTATGTAATGAAAAATTATAAATGGACTGCACGTAAAAATTTTCATAAAATCTCGAAACAAAACGTAAAAAAGAGCAGTTTCCGGTCCAAAATTGCAATTTTTACAAATAGAATAAAAATTTGTCTACGGATGATTAAAGAACTTTGACAGAACACAGATATTACCTGTACAGCATTGCCTGTTTTCGATGTTTCTCTTTTACTTTACTTATAAATTGAATCATCTTTACAATTCAAAAACTTACACCTGTTGTTATAGTAAGTCTACTTTTTTATTTGCAAAGTTATCGGAGTAACTGCAATTAGTTCGCCATACAACATACAATGAGGAGTACTTTGCTTGAGGTTCATATAATTTTGTAAAATTTGAGGTGAAACTGATCAATACACTTTAAATTTTCTATTCCAAAAACTTCAGAGCCATATAGCAAAGAATAGGAACAATCGTTGTATTAAACAAGTGGGCCTGTAGATCTACAGATAGTAACAATTTTCTAACTTTTTTTATCAGAGATACCATAATTACCTTCTTCGCTTGATCAATAAGACGTTTTTTAGTTTTAGAAAATTTACCATTTCCCATAAAATGAATACCTAGATAAAAAATCATTTACTATTTCTAAGTTCTCATCATCAAAAGAACATTGATCGAGGTGCATCTTCCATACGATTCCTGTCCCTAGAAAATATTAGAACCTTTGTTTTTGCAGAGTTCACATTTAAATTCCAATCATTACACTATTCTAGCATGGCATTCAATGCAGTTTGAAGCTCATCTGCTGTCTCTGCTAAAATTACAGTATCATTAGCATAAAGGAGCAGAAATAATTTAAAAACACATCTAAATCCTCATTACGTAATAAGCCTTTCACATCACCAGCAAGTGTATATAGACAAGCATATTTTTCAGACATAAACTGTGCAAGATCATATAGAAATAACGAGAAGAACACGGGTGAAAAGTGTCTACTTGTCTTTCGCCAGCATTACTTGCAAAAAATGAAAGCTTATTACCAGCTTTTACACATGACGTTGCTTTATCATACATGTTATGCAAAATTTTCAAAAAATACGACTAATATTATTCTTGAGCAGTTTCTGCCATTGGGCAATTTTATGAACAGAATCAAACGCTTTATGAAAATCTATAAAACACAATCTTGATAAAAATCAAAATCAACCAACATTTTCAGAGTAAATAATATGCTATTCTTCTTCTAAATCCAGCTTGCTCTTCCCACAAAATATCTCTAGACTCTAGATACTTGTTCAGACGGTTATTTAATACAGTAGTAAAATTTTGCCAAAACAACTTAATATAGTTATGCCCCTGTAATTATATACAATATACCATGGTAAAATCACTCCTTTACTCCATATCTCTGGAAAAATACCAGAGTACGTCAAGCATACTATTAAACAATTTGCAAAACATATGAAGAAAAACAACTTTCAGAACTTTTCAAATACTCATTCAAAATGATGTCAAAAACTGACGACGCTTTGCCATTCTTTAAAGATTTTATGGCTGATGAAACTTCTGATTCGGACAATGGTGCATTAAACTCTTTGTTTGATATATGAAGGTCTTCAAGATTGACATATCATCATACTTAGTGCCAACATCATTTTCATTCTGATTAAGTTTAATAAAATGCTTTATTCAAAACAGTTTTCCTTTCGCTTGAATATTTGTTTAAAAGAGCCCAGTAAGATTTAGGATCCGAGTTTCGTAAACCTTTTCACTTTTTGCTAACATCAGCATGAAATAACACAAACTTTTTTTGTGTCATAGTTTTTAATAGAGCGAAACCTTCTACATATATTTACCCTTTGCATTCCAATACTTTTTGCGATACATTCTACAAGACTGATAAAACCATGGTTAGCTATGATTAACAGAAACATAACTTGCCCTACCTTTTTACTAGACAGTTTTTGCTTTAGAAAACCACTTTAGCAGCATCTGAAATGATTCTAAGTCATTCTGTAGTTTCATATCTTTTCAGTACATTTCGGTCTTTTCGGTGGTTATTATAAAAAAAAAGGCTGACAGATAGAAGTAAAAATATACCCATATATAACACAAAATTGTTGTCAACCGTTGCCAGCTATAAAATCTGATAAGCCAAGAGAGACTGTTTATGCTCTATATAAAATATTTGTCAATTTTATTTTGATTAAACATTTTTATTCGTTTGTTATATATTTTCGCGACAATTTGCGTTGGACCTCAAAGTGCGGTGTTACAGAGCCTGACGAAAGCGACTTACAGTACTGTATATGAATTTGTTTGATATATATGATCAGTACATGTACTGGGATTGACAATTATACAATTTATTAGGATTTTAAAGGCGTTTTAAGCTCCACACCCCAAGTGTCTGTGATGATTGCAGTCGTCCATTTTTTTTTCATTTTTTTGTTTGTTTTTTGCGTTTTACGTCACATCGACACAGTATAGGTCATATCGCGACGTTCCAGCTTTTTTAACAGTGTTTACATCTACATCTATACATTAAACTGTCAAACTTGACATTTCTTAAATGGTGCACCAGAAAAAAGACAAAAGAGAAATACACCGAGAAATAAGAAAGGATAGAAAAAAAAAACGACACGCACATAGTTTTTGCTAGATAGATAATTAAAAAAAATGAAGTAGCAGAAAGTAGTTGTACACAGTTACTTTTCAGACATCTAGGCAAGACCAATCCATCTTCCGTGGCGCTGCCCAGGTCCGAAACCCTGCTGGCATAGCTCAAGCCTTTCACATTCTTGAAGGATGCCAAAGAATGAGCCTCAGCAACAGATGCTGGCAGGTTGATCCACAGAGGAATACAACAAGGAAAGAAGCTGAACTTCATAACTTCAGTGGACGTTGAATATTGCAGGAATCCTGTACTGTGTGGCGACCTTGATCTTGGTTTAGTTGGTATTAAGAAGTGGCCTGGATCTATCTCCACAAGTTGATGGATGATTTTGTAAAACATAATGAGTTGGAGCTTTTGAGAGTGTGTTTCCAATGTTTCCCAATATAGATGATGTAGCAAATCTGAGACGCTGCTGGTGTTATGGTACCTGTTTGTAGTGAAGGGCGCTGCTCTTTGCTGTACCATTTCTGCTTTATGTATAAGGTCTTTGTGTTAGGGGTTCCAAACAGTGCAGCAGTATTCTAAGTTAGTTAAAACAAGAGATATGCAGTCTTCGAAATTAACATTTTGAAGTTACTGGCCATTCGGGCCAGTAACATTTGAGAAGTTATTTGCCCGAAACCAACTTTATTAGCCAGAATAAATTTTTCAAATTTTGATGTTGTTTTTTTTACCTCTAATGCTGACGATAATTAAAAGAAACAAAAGGAAATCCAATACAAGTCTTGTGTCATAATTTATTTTATTTTTATTCCCTGCTGTACATGAAAAAATTAAAAAAAAATTTTCACGGTTACTACAATACGATACTTGTCGTTTGACAATGGAAAATGGACGATAAACAAAATTGGTTCCCAATAAATTTCTCGCTTTACATGGCTAACGGAAGTAAGCCAAGAAACAGTAGTGACGTGGCAAAAAGTGCGCGGTTGAACACCACTATAATGAATTTGGCGATAGGAAATTTTACTCGCCAGGAGGGCGAGCAAAATTGGATTTTGTAGTTGCCCGAATTTAATATTTACTCGCCTGGGCGATCGGGCGAGTGCTAATTTCGAAGACTGGATAAGTAGGCGTTTGTCTTAGTTTCAAAGCTTGTGTTTATCAAATTAGGTTTTAGGAAGCCTAGCATGTTGTTAGCTTTTTTGGTGATCTTGTCAATGTGTTGTTTCCAGCCAAGGTCTGGTTGTAAGTCCACACCAAAGTATTTTGATGTCTGTTCTTCAACCAGAGTTATACCTTTCAGGATATAGTTGGTCCGGAGAGGAGATTTCGCCCTGGTTTCTTGTAGGACGCTGCATTGCTGATGGTGAAAGTCAATGCCCCACAAGTGTTCCCACCTGGTGAGAGAATCCAGGTCTGCTTGAAGCAGCTGCTGGTCATGGAAGGACCTGACCTGGCGATATAGGATGCAGTCGTCTGCAAATAATCAAGTCTTTGAGAGTAGTCCCTCTGGAAGGTCTTTATGACTATGAGGAACAAAAGCGGTCCAAGTACTGAGCCCTGAGGGACACCGCTAACAACTGGGGCTTCTTCAGATGACTGGCCTTGGACCAGCACTCTCTTGGTGCGGCCATTTAAGAAGGTTGGGCCATAGTGTTGGGCCTTCTTGAGGAGTCTCAGATGTGGTACCCAGTCCCCGGTCAAACGCCTTGCTGAAGTCCAATATGATCATGTCTGTCTTTATCCTCTTGTCAAGTGATTCTGCCAACTCATGTGCAAGGGTGAGAAGTTGACTTTCCCAGCTTCTCCTTGCTCTGAAACCATGTTGGCAATCGTGTAGGATGTTATGTCTTTCCCGATGTCTGGCTGACAATGACATGCTCAAGCAGCTTGCAGCATAGGCTTGTCAGGGAGACCGGCCAGTAGTTTGCAGGATCCTGCCTTGAGCCTTTCTTGTAGATGGCTGTGACATTGGCTTGGGTCCAGTCATCCAGTACCTTACCTTCCTCCATGGAGGTTTGGAAGATCATAGTGAGGATTGGGGCCAGATCAGAAGCTTAGTCTCTTAATATGTGTGCTGGGATTTTATCAGGACCTGGAGCCTTCCTTGGGTTGATGTTGAGTAACAACTTCAAGATGCCCTCTTCATTGATCTGTATGGTGTCCATATCTGGGAAAGGTGTTTCTGTTGGTGTTGGGATATTACCATCTGCTTCATGAGTAAAAACTGACTTTAAGATGTTAGCCTAGTCATGTGCAGTGTTGAAGAGTCGACCCTTATCTTTAAGTGAAGAAATGTCTGAGTTGTTTTTCCGATGTGACTTGATGAAGCTCCAAAACTTTCTCTGCTTCGGTTGTTTGTCTTTCTCAGTGTCCTCAACTTCAATAATATTGTTGACATATGAATGGTAGGATTGTCTTTCTAATTTTTGGAATTTTGATTTAAAGTTTTTGTATTTATTTTTATCTGATGCTTTCCCGGTCTTCTTCATTCTCGTGTACAGTTTTGATCTTCTTAAGATATAAAAAATTGAGTACATAGATATATACATGTAATTATAATGTTTAAGCGTGAAATGCTGAATGTACTACATGAACATGATTCCAATATCGCTCGTGCGGTTTCACACCTAAACGTTATTTATGTACTCAGTATTAATATACAAGGGATAAAACTGTAGCCTGAAAATATTTGATTATTTATTTTATCTTTCAGAGGAACAATGAGCCTTAGACGTATAATTTCATCACCTTTGCTGCATAAAACAATCAATCACTACAGAGGGTCTGCAAGATGTATGTCCACTGCTGCTGATAAGTTACTTGTTGACATGGATACCAAATCAGGTGAGTTACATTATATCTATATCAATGAGTGAAATATAGGAAGTACCAAATACATTGGGGGGGGGGGGGGGGGTGGCCGAGTGGTTTAGGTCGTTTGACTTCACACCACTTGCCCCTCACCGCTGTGGGTTCGAATCCCAACAGGGACTTTGGATTCTTTCATGTGAGGAAGCTATTCAGCTAGCTTATGGAACATCGGTGGTTCTACTCAGTTGCCCGTTTGTGCCTGAAATAATGCAGGTAAGGGCACCTGAGGTCTTCCTCCACCAGTAAAGCTGGAACATTTGCATATGACCTACTGTGTGACATAAAACCCAATCAAACAAACAAAGAAACCAAATGCATTGATATCTCAGATAACTTGAGTACCTATATCAACAAGACAGCTTTGAGGTTTCTATGCTCTTAACTGTTCACCATTTATAACCTAGAACACTTGTTTGCAATCAAAATAAAATGAAAATCAAGAAACCAATTTCAGTAAGGCAGGTAAAACAATAACAACAACAAAAAAACATGAATAAACAAAATAAGTTTTAACTTTATAAAAGTGTAGGATATTGTCTTACAGCTATTCAATTATTTTTAATAAGTGTCTCATAGAATGAGGTTTTATCTTTTACAAATTTGAGATATTCAATAACTTGGTAAGATAACTCATGATTATGTTAAAATTAGCAAATGTTTTCATCAGTTAAACCACATAATGTTTTTATGCCCCCACAATGTGGGAGCATATAGCGTTGCACTTGTCCGTCCGTCCGTCAGTCCGTCTGTACGTCCCGAAATCTTGTGAACGCAACTCCTCTTAAACCGGTTGGCAGATTTTGCTTAAACTTACAGGGATGAACAACCTTAATGTGTAGATGGTAGTAAAGGAAGGAATTTTCGCTGCGACCAAATTTAACAGAATTATGGCCCTTTGTTGATTTTTTCACTAGATACTATGTAGAAATTTTGTGAACGCAACTGCTCTTAAACCGGATGGCAGATTTTGCTTAAACTTACAGGGATGAACAACCTTAACTTGTAGATGGTAGTAAAGGAAGGAATTTTTGCTGCGACCAAATTTAACAGAATTATGGCCCTTTGTTGATTTTTATGCCACCGCAGCATCTGCGATGCGGTGGCATATAGCGATTCACCTGTGTGTGTGTTTGTTTGTGTGTGTGTGTGTGTGTGTGTGTGTGTTATATAGATTATATAGTGAACTTAAAAAATCTTCTTGTGAAAAACCACTTGTCCAATTTCAACCAAACTTGGCAGGATTGATACTTGGGTGAAGGGCTTCCAAAGTTGTTCAAAGAATTTTATTCCATGCAGAAATCTGGTTGCCATGGCAACCAAAAGGAATTATAAGAATAAATTTAAAAAATCTTCTTGTAAAGACCCAAAAGGCCAAGAGCTTAGATATTTTGCATAAGGCATTGTCTGGTAGACCTCTACCAAGATTGTTCAAATTATAACCCTGGGGTCAAAATCGGCCCCGCCCGGGGTCATTGATTTTCACTATATGTACATATAGTAAAAACTTAAAATAACTTCTTGTAAAGACCCAAAAGGCCTAAAGCTTAGATATTTTACATAAGGCATTGTCTGATAGACCATTACCAAGATTGTTCAAATTATAGCCCTGGGGTCAAAATCGGCCCCGCCCCGGGGTCATTGATTTTCACTATATGTACATATAGTAAAAACTTAAAATACCTTCTTGTAAAGACCCAAAAGGCCTAGAGCTTAGATATTTTGCATAAGGCATTGTCTGGTAGACCTATATTCAGATTGTTCAAATTATAGCCCTGGGGTCAAAATCGGCCCTGCCCCGGGGGTCTTTGGTTTTCTTTATATGTATATAGTAAAAACTTTATAGTAAAAAAATTTCTTCTAGCAATTGACAAATGCTAGAGGTTAGATATTTTGCATGAAACATTGTGAAGTGAACTTCTAGCAAGATTGTTCAAATTATAGCCCTGGGTTCAAAATTGTCCCTGCCCCGGGGGTCATTGATTTTCAATATATACATACATGTATAGTAAAAAATCAAAAAATCTTATTGTCTGAAGGTACAAGGCTTAGAGCTTGAATATTTGTTAAATGATATCATCTATAGGTACTCTACCAAAGTTGTTCAAATTTTGCCTCTTGTGTCAAAATTAGCCCCGCCCCGTGGGCCATAGGTTTTCCTTATATGTATATAGTAAAAACTTAAAAAATCATCTTCTCTAAATTTACAAAGGCTAGAGTTAAGATATTTTGCATGAAACATTATGTAGTGAACCTCTAGCAAGATTGTACACATTATAGCCCTGGGGTCAAAATTGGCCCCACCCCCAGGAGTCATTGATTTTCACTATGTACATATAGTAAAAAAAATAAAAAAAAATTTGTCTGAAGGTACAAGGCATACAGCTTTGATGTTTGCTATATAATATCATCTATGGGTTCTCTACTAAAGTTGTTTTAATTATGCCCCTAGTGTTAAAATTGGCCCTGCCCAGGGGCAGTGATTCTCATTATGTTCACATAGTAAAAACAGAAAATAAAACAAATCTTTTCTGAATGGGAGAAAGCTACAGCTTAGATATTTGACTTGAAATGTTGTTTGGTGGACCTGTATCAAGATTGTTTTGAATTAAACCCTTGGGTCCAAAATTTTGCCTTGCCCAAGGGGACAGTGACCTACTTTCTTGTCCTTTGATGTACAGCAATGAAATTTTGACCATGTGCACAGTTTTAGTTGTAAAATTGAACTTTGATATCTGGTGACCTAGATTTTGATGATGTGACCTACTTTCTTGTCCTTTTATGTACAGCTATAAAATTTGAACCATGTGTACAGATTAAGATGTTAAGTGAACTTTGTTTTCAGCTGACCTAGATTTCGACAAAGTGTCTTACTGTGTTGTCCTTTGATGTAGTCATGAAATTTAGGCTGTGTGAAATATGACCATCAAATTCACTAGACTCAAGTGCATTGATATATTCCTACTCTGATCTTTTATTGAGTTAACAACAGATTTGACCACTAATCTGATAATAAGAATTAGATAGATCAGGGATCTATGCATTATGACAATCTTCAAAATTGTATAGAAACAAAAAAAATCTGTTTCCACACTACTATTTAGTGTTGTATTAATGCGGTGGCATAGCATTTTTCTCAAATGCAATCTTGTTTCACTATATACTATGTAGAAATTTTTGTGAACGCATCTCCTCTTAAACCAGATGGCAGATTTTGCTTAAACTTACAGGGATGAACAACCTTCATGTGTAGATGGTAGTAAAGGAAGGAATTTTTGCTTTGACCAAATTTTACAGAATTATGGCCCTTTGTTGATTTTTTCACTATATACTATGTAGAAATTTTGTGAATGCAACTCCTCTTAAACCGGATGGCAGATTTTGCTTAAACTTCCAGGGATGAACAACCTTAATGTGTAGATGGCAGTAAAGGAAGGAATTTTTGCTGCAACCAAATTTAACAGAATTATTGCCCTTTGTTGATTTTTTCATTATATACTATGTAGAAATTTTGTGAACGCAACTCCTTAAACCGGATGGCAGATTTTGCTTAAACTTTCAGGGATTAACAACCTTAATGTGTAGATGGTAGTAAAGGAAGGAATTTTTGCTTTGACCAAATTTAACAGAATTATGGCCCTTTGTTGATTTTTAGTTTTCAACTTGTTGCACATGTAGTCCAAAAAATATTTGACCTAGAGTCATAAGATTGACAGAACAGTGGCGTGTGGGGGCATCCGTGTCCTATGGACACATTTCTAGTTTTTTGTTTGTATTGCTTTGCATAGAAATTCATTTTTGGTGAATTGTTGTTTATTCTCCATTGAAAATATTTAAGACATGTCATTACATTCAAGTTGATTTATTTCAAGAGAACTTCGAAAATCATTTGAACCTGACAAGTTATGAAATTAAATACATGTACATTTCAATTTACAATAATGAATAAATCAAATTTCCATATTGAGTTCTTGTATATGTATAAGAAATTATTTCCAGGTGTTGCAATTGTGAAAATGAACCGGCCCCCAGTGAACAGCCTTAATCTGGAGTTTCTTACAGAAATCAATATTTTGTTGGAGAAATTAGAAAATGATAAAACGTGTAAAGGCCTTATTCTGACATCAGTAAGTAAATTGTATATACAAATGTACATACATGCTACATAAGGTTGGTACTTGTATCATTTTAGGAATATAAGAATCAAAATGCATATTGTACCAACATAAGTGTTAAACGGCCTTACTATTTCTACTTAGGTAAATGCAGATACATAAGATAAAGCAAAATTTGGCATCTTTTTTGGTAGGGTTTTTCTCTAAAAAAGCTGGCGATGTCACAATATTTGTGCAAGCCAATCAAAAGAGGAACTACTAGTCTTCCAACAACATAAAGCTACATCTATATAATTTATGAGAATGATTGACTACATAAAGAACCATTACATTTTTGCTCTCATATAGTTGTGTTTAAGGGGCAATAAATGTTAAAACAGAATTCTATATGTTAAATGACTTTATTGCATGAACCAGTGGATGAATGCTTGTCAGTCTTAATCTGATTAGATGGTCCTCACTTCAGTCAACTTTATGTAAATTAATATTGTTCTTGTAAGTTTAATTCTTTGTCATTCAGATCAATATTAAACTCAGTAAAAATATTGAGATATATACTCTGCATGTTGTTATTTCAGAGCAACAATAAGATATTTTGTGCTGGTTTAGATATAATGGAGATGTATAACCCACAGAGAGATCGTCTGACAGAATTCTGGAGGATGTTACAGAGTGTTTGGATCAGCTTGTACAACACCAGACTGGCTACTATTGCTGCTATCAATGTAAATATATAGAGGAAATTTGTTTTGAATGAATATGTGACATAAATCACACTGAAAATTGAGAAAATGAAAATATGTGAATATTTTCTCTTTTTGATGTGAAATAGAAAACATTCATGATTTTTTTTTCATTAAATGCATGACAACTTAAAATACTGTTCACTGATGACATTGAAGCAAAAACTATTAACTGTTTCCATTGAAGTACAAGGAACAGATACAAAAAAATGATTATGTCAGACTAAAACAATTGTGCAATTTTTGTAAACAAAAGTTTAAATTTAATTTTAAAGTGATCATTGCAGTATAACATTTTAAAATTTTAATTATGCCCCCACTTCGAAGAAGAGGGGGTATATTGCTTTGCACTTGTCGGTCCGTCCCGTCCGTCGGTCCATAGACCAAATGGTTTCCGAGTGATAACTGAAGAACCCTTAGGCCTAGGAACTTCAAACTTGGTATGGTGATTGGTCATGACCAGTAGATGACCCCTATTGATTTTGGGGTCAAGGGGTCAAAGGTCAAGGTCATATTGACCTTGTAAGCAAAAACGGTTTCCGATCAATAACTAAAGAACCTTAAGGCCTAGGAACTTCAAACTTGGTATGGTGATTGGTCATGATCAGTAGATAACCCCTCTTGATTTTGGGGTCAAAGGTCAAGGTCACATTGACCTCTTGGGTAAACACAGTTTCCGATCAATAACTAAAGAACTCTTAGGCCTAGGAACTTCAAACTTGGTATGGTGAATGGTCATGACCAGCAGATGACCCCTATTGATTTTGGGGTTAAGGGGTCAAAGGCCAAGGTCACATTGACCTTGTAGGTAAAAACGATTTCCGATCAATAACTAAAGAACGCTTAGGCCTAGGGACTCTAAACTTGATATGGTGATTGGTCATGATCAGTAGATGACCCCTATTGATTTTGGGGTCAAGGGGTCAAAGGTCAAGGTCACATTGACCTCTTAGGTAAAAACGGTTTCCGATCAATAACTAAAGAACCCTTAGGCCTAGGAACTTCAAACTTGGTATGGTGATTGGTCATGACCAGCAGATGACCCCTATTGATTTTGGGGTCAAGGGGTCAAAGGTCAAGGTCACATTGACCTTGTAGGTAAAAACGGTTTCCGATCAATAACTAAAGAACCCTTAGGCCTAGGAACTTCAAACTTGGTATGGTGATTGGTCATGACCAGCAGATGACTTTTTGATTTTGGGGTCAAAGGTCAAGGTCACATTGACCTTGTAGGTAAAATCGGTTTCCAATCAATTAACTAAAAACGCTTAGGCTTAGGAACTTCAAACTTTGTATGATGATTGGTCGTGACCAGCAGATGACCCTATTGAGTTTTAGGTCAAGGTGCCAAAGGTCAAGGTCACATTGACCTTGTAAGTAAAAACGGTTTCTGATCAATAACTAAAGAACGCTTAGGCCTAGGAACTTCAAACTTGGTATGGTGATTGGTCATGACCAGCAGATGACCCCTATTGATTTTGTGATCAAGGGGTCAAAGGTCAAGGTCACATTGACCTTGTAAGTAAAAACGGTTTCTGATCAATAACTAAAGAACGCTAAGGCCTAGGAACTTCAAACTTTGTATGATGATTGGTCATTGCCAGCAGATGACCCCTATTGATTTTGGGGTCAAGGGGTCCAAGGTCAAGGTCACATTGACCTTGTAAGTAAAAACGGTTTCCGATCAATAACTAAAGAGCGCTTAGGCCTCGGAACTTCAAACTTTGTATGATGATTGGTCATGATCAGTAGATAACCCCTCTTGATTTTGGGGTCAAAGGTCAAGGTCACATTGACCTCTTGGGTAAACACAGTTTCCGATCAATAACTAAAGAACTCTTAGGCCTAGGAACTTCAAACTTGGTATGGTGAATGGTCATGACCAGCAGATGACCCCTATTGATTTTGGGGTTAAGGGGTCAAAGGCCAAGGTCACATTGACCTTTTAGGTAAAAACGATTTCCGATCAATAACTAAAGAACGCCTAGGCCTAGGGACTCTAAACTTGATATGGTGATTGGTCATGATCAGTAGATGACCTCTATTGATTTTGGGGTCAAGGGGTCAAAGGTCAAGGTCACATTGACCTCTTAGGTAAAAACGGTTTCCGATCAATAACTAAAGAACCCTTAGGCCTAGGAACTTCAAACTTGGTATGGTGATTGGTCATGACCAGCAGATGACCCCTATTGATTTTGGGGTTAAGGGGTCAAAGGTCAAGGTCACATTGACCTTGTAGGTAAAAACGGTTTCCGATCAATAACTAAAGAACCCTTAGGCCTAGGAACTTCAAACTTGGTATGGTGATTGGTCATGACCAGCAGATGACCTATTGATTTTGGGGTCAAAGGTCAAGGTCACATTGACCTTGTAGGTAAAATCGGTTTCCGATCAATTAACTAAAAACGCTTAGGCTTAGGAACTTCAAACTTTGTATGATGATTGGTCGTGACCAGCAGATGACCCCTATTGAGTTTTGGGTCAAGGTGCCAAAGGTCAAGGTCACATTGACCTTGTAAGTAAAAACGGTTTCTGATCAATAACTAAAGAACGCTTAGGCCTAGGAACTTCAAACTTGGTATGGTGATTGGTCATGACCAGCAGATGACCCCTATTGATTTTGTGATCAAGGGGTCAAAGGTCAAGGTCACATTGACCTTGTAAGTAAAAACGGTTTCTGATCAATAACTAAAGAACGCTAAGGCCTAGGAACTTCAAACTTTGTATGATGATTGGTCATTGCCAGCAGATGACCCCTATTGATTTTGGGGTCAAGGGGTCCAAGGTCAAGGTCACATTGACCTTGTAAGTAAAAACGGTTTCCGATCAATAACTAAAGAGCGCTTAGGCCTCGGAACTTCAAACTTTGTATGATGATTGGTCATGACCAGTAGATGACCCCTATTGATTGGGGTCAAGGGGTCAATGTCATATTGACCTTGTACCTAATGACGGTTTCTGACCAATAACTCAACAACTCAAGTTGCCTTGGTTGATATTTTTATATTAAACTAAAAATGCTTTTGGTATACACATTTGAAGGTCTTATGTAATATAACAACTTGGCTGTCATTAATGAGGCCTACATGATTCATAAAATTTATGCATATATTATTTGGTAAGATTTGTAATAACTTAAATTGCTGCACACAACCTATGGGGTCACAATAATTATTACCTTGTGACTAGTCATGACCAGTAGATACTAGATAACCCTTATTAATTGTTTGTTCACTGGGTCAGAAGTCATGCATAATAACCTGATCACATGACTAATTGGCTGCCGATAGGGGGCATACATGTTTTACAAACATATCTTGCTAGTATAGACTTATAATACTCATAATTGTTTTCAGAAAAGTTTAATTGTTCAAACACAATAAATATTTCAGTGTCAAGTTATATGTACTTAATGTACTAGATGTTATTTTTGATACTATTTCAGGGCCACAGTCCAGCTGGTGGATGTTTGTTAGCTACATGTTGTGACTATAGAATCATGGTTCAAAACTTCACTATAGGGCTAAATGAAACACAATTGGTATGTACAATAGCATAGACATGTAGAATAAAGTAAAAACAGTCTCATAAAAGTATTGTACATTAAAATTTTGTTTATTGTACATTACATTGGTCTCTTTATTAGTCCCCTACCGGTTTAACCGGAGGGGACTTTAGGTTTACCCTCCGTCCGTCCGTCTGTCTGTCTGTCAGTCCGTCCGTCCGTCCACAAAACTGGATCCCGCGATAACGCAAAAAGTACTGAAACTATTTTTATGAAACTTGATATATGGATAGATGGCAGTATGGAGATTATGCACGCCTTTTTTTTCTTCCTGTGTTGAAAATTCTGGTTGCTATGGCAACAAATAGTCTGAAAATATGGCAAATTTAACACATAAACTAGATCCAGTGATAACTCAAAAAGTACTGAAAATATTTTTATGAAACTTGAAATATGGGTAGCTGGCAGTCTGGAGATTATGCACATCTTTTTCTTTTCTTCCTATGTTGAAAATTCTGGTTGCTATGGCAACAAATAGCCTGAATTTCAAGATTTCTGATTTAAAATTTTCAGCTTTTTCACTATAAGTTCTTTATTTCTTAAGGTGTTTACTTCAAACTTTAAATATAAGATTCTGGTCATCAACCACATCATATGTGACAAGGTTTACAACTCTAGCACAAAAATTATCAGTATTACCTCCCTTGAACTTAGAATTTTTATGAAAAAAATGTTGTCTTTTTTAAATAACTTCTTTATTTCCTAATGTATCTACTTCAAACTTCATATATATGTTTCTTATTATCACTCAACATTTTTGAGAAGGTTAAATACTCTAGCAAGACTATTTCCAGAATTATGTCCCCCTTGAACTTAGATTTTTTTTGAGAAATTGGTATTTTTCACTCCAACTTCTTCATTCCTTATAGGATTTACTTTAAAATCCCACATTGTAATAATATGACAAGGTTGTATTAACATAATTTCCTTACTAGGCATGGAAACTTAACACATTACAGTGATATAGACAAACTTAGAACTCAAAAGATTTAAGTTCATTCATGTCATTCATTCACTGGTAAAATTGAATGGCCAGTGGCCCATCAGAATGTTGCTGGGGTTCTAACCGGTAGGGGACTTATGGATTGCTTGCAATACTATGATAATTGCTTGTTTTCTTCTCCTTTTTGGTTGAGTTTCACATTGCACTAACACAGTATAGGTCATATTGCAACTTTCCAGCTTACTGGTTGAGGGAGACATCAGTTGCCCCTCTGTGCATTATAACCACTTACATTCTGAAAGCTAGCTGGATAGCCTTCTCACATGAAAAAATTTGAAGACATTTGCAAAGCTTGAACCTAATGCGGTCAGAGGCAAGTGGTTTGAAGTAAAAAACCTTGACCAATCGGCCATGGACACCCCATTTTCATGATAATAATAATGTTTTTGTTGTACATTTGCAATCTCTCTACAAATATTTGTGCAGAAGAATTATAGTGAAAACATTGGAAAGCAAATTGTTTTGTAAAAACAAACACATGTAGTTATCCTTAATTTAAGTGAGTTCTTAAAAAAAAGAGAAAAAAATGAAGTAGTAACATATTTTGAAGCAAATAAGCATAAATGAAGTTTTGATAAATTCAACTCTCTTATCTGTATATGAGTTTTTTTTCAGACTGTTACTGTTCTATTAAAGTTGTGATGTTAATTTTCATGATTTTTTTTATAATTATTTATGTTAATTTCATCTTTATTATTTTAGGGCATCATTCCTCCCTTCTGGTAAGTGATTTGTTATGTTGTTTCTTCTTTAAACAATTAAATGTATAAAGTTGTTTGTTTCAATTTGACCATCATAGAAATCATATTTTGTAAGACTTTAAATGAATATTTAAAAGTATCAGTTTTGCTTTAATATTTAAAGGATTTTTGTACAGCTGATAGTAGGTGTTATGATGGTTCGAAATTCTAGAACTAAGTGACTGAATTATTTGTTAATTTGTTTAGACACAATGTGTTTTACAGTCAATAAGGCAGTGTTTTTTATGAAATTAAATTTGTGTAAAAACTTACCAACAGGTTAAAAAACATAACCTTTGAATCATTGAAAAGCGAACTAAGTGATGATAATATTTCAGGTTTGTAGATTCTATGGAAGGTGTTATAGGATATAGACAGACAGAACTGGCCTGTCAGAAAGGTTTAATGATGACCACAGAACAAGCTTTCAAAGTTGGTCTTGTAGATGAAGTAGTAACACCAGACATTGTGCTGGAAAAAGCTCAAAATGAAATGAAATCCTGGCTAAAAATACCTGGTAAATATTGTTATTATACGGTGAATGATTGAAAAATAGAGAAATTTTATATATTAGGCCAATTTTTTTTTTATATTTTGGTTTACTGATTTTTTCCAAAAAAAGGTAGGGTCGGCGGCGGGAAAAAAAAAAAAAAAAGTTTTCATAACTATAAATGTGTAGCATACATATACATAGTACTTACTAGAGCAATGGAATTAAATACATCGCCGATTGTCTATTCCAAAGATTGTTTAAATACACAAAAAAAAACTTTTGCTCATATTGCCATTGTTTAAAAACACACATGAAATATACACACAATGACTTATGACAAGTGGCAAGCGAGCTCTTCAAAAGAATCTGTCATTCTTTGATGTTTACACACTGCTGTGTAATCTGAATCATCAAAGGTGCCGAAAATCAGCTGACTTGCACTCATTTCTTTATAGATCAGATGTTAAAAAAAAACTGTCAAGAAAAGATTACACAAAGTCATGTTCAATTTTGCCCATTGTGAAAATATTTTTATCGGATAATTAGCGGGTCAATTTTTGACATAAAAATCTATTAAAAGTAAGTGCGGGCATTTTTTTTTATTTTGTTTGTTTGAAACCTGTATTCAATCTGCTTTTAAAGACTAATTTTTTTGTTAAATCTGAAAATACTGATCTTGTCAATTGCAGCAGATTTCCCTCGCTCTGTCCTTGAATGTAATTGCTTACGTAATTTGGCGTGTTTTTTGTTTTTGTTTGGTTGTTTGGATGTTTTACATTTTTACGCATTTCGACCTTCAATGCATTGATGAAATATGATCAAAGCCTAATTATAATTCTGTGAGAATGGCTTGACCCCATTTAACAGACATTCTTTCATAATACACCAATAAACACTTTGTCCAACTAGCAGACGACAGGCTATTCTCGAGTAAAGATAACCGGTTGCCTATCTCACTGTATAAATCGTAGGTAAAATAGTCTGGCATGTGGTAGGTTTAACAGTTAATTAAAATACTTACCGCGACATTTCTTTGACAAGTCGTATTATTAGCAGCGTATTTCAAGACAACACAGAATTTTTTTGGGGGCAGATTTTTTTTTTTTCATTTTCCCAAAATACAGAGTCGGCGGGTCTGTAAACCGAAATATCAAAAAATAATGGCCTTATGTTAAGGTGGCTGGCTATAGTTTTTAAATACAATGTACAGAAATAATTGGATTGAAATAAAGATCAATTATAAAAACAGTATTTTAAGATTTGGAACCCCCTTTTCAAGCACATTATTATAAATCAAAAAGATAATGTAAAGTTTCAAGTCATCATGTCATAAAGTCCAGTTTATGATCACAATGAATGTTTAACTTTACAGTATGGACTGACATATGTATTTAGTTTTTAGCTTCATCCATAATTGTTAACCTAAAGCCAAATGTTTAAAAGGTTAATTCACCTATCAAACCAAGTAACAGAAATGCTACTAGAATGGTAGGAAATTATTTGGGTGTATGTGTGTGGGGTGGGTTCTTCCACAAGTTGATGTGAGTTTATAAAGTATAGGGTTTAACTGAAAACATACTCAATTGACTGAATTGACATCTAAGTGATGGCATAAACAGGTAAGACAAATGTCAAGGTCACATAATCCAATTTAGAGTTACAGGGGATTACACACTTTGACTTTATATAGCTTTGACATGTTTTTTCATTGAATTTTCACAACTGCTCAGTTTATTGTCCCTTCTTTAGAAATGCTGACATGATAAGTGTATGAATATGTTATCTGGATTTGTTTGATTTTACAGATTTTGCTCGACAGTTAACAAAGACTCAGATGAAGAAACCCAAAGTAGATAAACTACTGTCAAGGAGGGAGGAAGATATTGAACATTTCGTGAACTTTATTACCAAAGAATCAGTACAAAAAGCATTGGGAGCTTACTTAGAACAAATGAAAAATAAGTCAAAGAAATAGAGAGAGAATATGTGGACTATTAAAACAGATATAATATAAAAAGAATAGTGGCTAAATTAGATTTTATTAATCAGGTGATTTGTAAGGAACAAACAGGAATTATTAGAATAATTTCTATCACAGGAATGAAAATTATTATACTTTTAGAAATGTAACATGTAATGATTATAATTTTTACTCTGTGATTAAATGCATGCTAAAGATTGAAATTGTAAATGTTTGTAAATACAATGTTTGTTAATTTGAAGTAAATACTGTACAAATTATATGAACAAAATATATATAGTAATAATAAAAATTATATAATTTTTCAAGCACAGTATATCAAACACAAGATGTTTTTATCTGGGAGAAGTCATAATTAATAATCTAGACAATCATTGTATACTGTGTGATATTTTATGGTACGCAAGTACTGGCTAATATTGAAGGACTATCTAATAGGGCAGTTCAGGATGTTTTCATTAAAAACTTGGTAATTTCTTGTTTATGTAATTTATAGAAATTAAAAATGAGGATTTAGTAAAGTAGTAATTTGAATGACCTGACATGGTAAAATGTAAAATTTGACGTTCAGATTGTAGCCATAATGTATATTTAGAGTCCTGTTTTCCTAAAATATAATTTTAAATGCCAGTAAGTGGGTAACATTTTGCAGTCTTTCATATGAACTGGTTTCTGCACATTTCATGATATTAAATAAGGGTTACCCTTACCCTGTTTATATATAAACAACAAATTATGTGTCGGTAATCAAGACAGCAATGAAACATTTCCTATAATGAAATAGATTTTGGTTGGTGCTGTATAACCAAATTTGTCATGTTTTTGATTTAAAATAATTTTATCATATTTCATAGTTAAGGTATAACCAAACTCTTAAGGCATGAATGGTTAGAAAAAGCATGGTATTTAAAAAACACATAATACTTTATACATGTAATATAATAAGCAATTACATGTGCAATGTTATTGTCGTTAAATTTCCTAGGAGATAAAATTGGAAAAAGAAAGGTTACATTGTTCTGGTTGGAATCTTAGTTTATGTGTATAATAAACAGATCTATCTGAAATATTTTTGGTGTAACTATATATATTTTAAACATTGAAAGAACTATTTGGAAGAAGGTGTTATTGTTGTGCAAGGCCTAAAAACTGCAGGTTGTAATCCAAATGTCCCAACATAATGTTGTGTTTCATTAGAAACTGTCTTGTTTGTATGATATAATTGTTAATGATATACATAATATGTGTATTTCTATGAATTAAATTCATATGTAGTATAAATATATATGTGTTGTTTATATAAGTTTCACAAAGGCACTAGAGTTAGGCTTTTGAAATCATTTTCAATTTACTATTGTCTTTTAGCCAAAGCACTCAGCCGAGGAAAGAATGGTTTAACATTCTCTACAGTTACGGGTTGGAAAAAAATTACATGGTAAAGGGACTGTCTGACCTCAAAATCTATAGGAGTCATGACTAACCTTCTCAACAAATCTTAGGACTGTTTCAACCCATCAAGTTTAAGAGAATATTTTTTAGTTGTTTACTATGTATAATAAGGGAAAACCCATGATCTGCAGGGAAAGGGCAAATTTTGACCTCAGAATAATAATTTGAACAATCATGGTACAGGTAAACTAGACAATGTTTCATCCCAAATATTTTAGCTTTACTCTTAAGAGAAGACCATTTTCGGAAGTTTTATTTATAAGGAAAACCTCTGTAGTTTGAACAACAAAGCCAATTATTTCTTTTCACATTTATTTATTTCAAAATAGAAATACATACAAATACAAAGAAATACTAGTAATTCAGAAATCAATAAATGTTAACCGAAGTCCATTATAAGAAAAGGACATACTTTTTCAGCTAATCTTTCATGTAACAATTAATTGAAAAGAATATTTCGACAAGAAGATCTAGATCACTCATTTGAGAATCGTTGTATAAGGTTACAATAGTAGGTCCAAAGTCAGTTGTCACACATTCTGTTAAAATCCATGCAAGAGTTATGGACCTTGGATATTGTCTACAAATTAATATTTTAAAGACATGTGTTTAAAGCAAAAACCATCATTTGTGGTTGATGAGATAAGATGTCAAAAAAGTTTTACAGAAAACCTGAAGAATAGTGGTGCTAATACCAGTCAAAGATTGAAAAGGAAATCCCCAGTATTCTTTATGAAGTTCATCTCACATAAAAAGTGACAACAAGATTTCTTTTTAAATAACTAGGCATTAAGCCAAAAACAGTATATAAACATGTATTTATGTATCAATTTCTATGCCATTTTTATAATCTAAAACATTCTTTACTTATAACTTTGACAAAGTTTACTCGTTTGTGTGACAAACCTAAAAGGGACAATTTTATTTTTTATCATTTTAAATATTTAACTCCTGTTGATTAAATGACTAATTCCTCTGATGGTACACTATAACCAAGTATACACATGGTGAACTATAATTCCTCTGATGGTACACTATAACCAAGTATACACACAGTGAACTATAATTCCTCTGATGGTACACTATAACCAAGTATACACACAGTGAACTATAATTCCTCTGATGGTACACTATAACCAAGTATACACACAGTGAACTATAATTCCTCTGATGGTACCACTATAACCAAGTATACACATGGTGAACTATAATTCCTCTGATGGTACACTATAACCAAGTATACACATGGTGAACTATAATTCCTCTGATGGTACACTATAACCAAGTATACACACAGTGAACTATAATTCCTCTGATGGTACACTATAACCAAGTATACACACAGTGAACTATAATTCCTCTGATGGTACACTATAACCAAGTATACACATGGTGAACTATAATTCTTCTGATGGTACCACTATAACCAAGTATACACACAGTGAACTATAATTCTATTGATTGATATACCTCTACCTATTACAAACAACTAACACCATGGTAAATAATTTCCCTTCAACAACAGAATGATAACATAATTTCTGTTAGAAAACAAAATGTATGAGTCAGTCAAAGATGGTTAATATGTTAGCAATTCAACATATTTCTATAATACTTTGAATATATACTAAGGGTTAAAGTTAATCAGGTACACATGTTAAAGCTGCATGCCTCTAGATTAGCCCAAAATATTTCAAGAAAATCAATCTTGTGAAATAGGAAATAAGATTTTAAAAATATTCACAATTCACATAATAACTTACATGTTATATGCAATTAAAACATTTCAACAATTTCATGAAAATTAACATAAATCTGAAGAATTGTTTTAACATATAATATATTACACTTTCAATGTCATTTTACATGAAAACACACAATACTGAATTAACAATTAGTCATACTTAAGTAATACCAATAAACAAAAATAAAATTTTCCATCCATAAAATGATGTTAGGATAAATAAAAGAATGGCACTGAAAATGATTTAAACAAGTGTACACATACAACAAAATCTCACTCAACATACAACATAATTTTATAGACATTGGAGAAAAAAAACACTGACATATTCCTTCAAGAGAAGATAATATAACAAGTAATTTGAATCTTTTTTTACAAACAAATGATAATGATTTGGAGAATATCATGGCTTGAACACATCAAATAGAGATTTCTTCGAATGTTATACCTTATAATAATCTAGACTTCACTGCCAAACGCAATTTAATATACTAGATGACAGACATGCGGTTATTATAGTATATATATTATAGTAAATATATTTTAATACATTGTACATGTATATACAGTAGAAACCCTCAATTAAGACCACCTTTGGGACTGTACCAAAGTGGTCTTAATTGCGGGGTGGTCTTAATCGTGAATATTCTTATAGATGCTTACACACTTTTTGACCATGGTCTATTTTAGTCATTTTGTATGAACAGACAATATATATACCGGCAAATACAACATAAAACTATGTTATAAATAATCATCTGATGGAAAGAAAGAAATTTAACATCAAATTCTATTTTGTCTGATTTCAATATCAATTTCAATATTTATTATTATATGATGTACATAATTCAACCCTCAAATAAAAAAATAGTTTTTTGCATCATCAATGTGCTTAAAGCAAGATTAAATCACTCTAAAATTTACTTTCTCACCTTATTTCATACAATATCCCAAAGATATAAGGTGTTTTTGACACCTTGTCAAATTAGGTGTCATGACTTAGGGCATTCAAGCTAATAATAACAGCAAATTTAAGATCTAGGTAGGTGTTAATCAGTGGTCTCTATACTGGGGTCAAATAAAGAACAAAACAATGAATTGGGACTGAACCTGGTGGTCTTATAAGTGGATAAGTGAGGTGGTCTTAATTCTGGATCATGAAACCATTGACATAAAGAACAAAAAATTCTGTACTGTTAAAAAATGGTCTCAATAGCGGGGTGGTCTTAATTCCGGGGTGGTCTTAAGTAGGGATTATACTGTACTTAATATTCAATGTCATCTATGTGATATTTGTAGGTTTTAATGAAGATTTCTCAATTGTAACACAACATTATCACATTATTTCAAGGATTTCAAAATTAAAGCATTTAAATATAGCATTTATGACCTCCATTTAGAGTCAGTATGTGCAAATAGGTGAAGCTGATGGATGACATCTGTTACCTCCAGAAGAAAAATCCTTAACATTGAATTCAATCTGATTAAAATCGGCTCTAAATAACAATCCGCTTTTAGATCTGACTGTAACCAAATACAAAGTTATTTCTTGTGACCTTTCACACAGTCAATCATCGGCGATCTTTCATAATTTTGAAAGCAATGTGGTTTCTAACTCTTGGGAAAACCAAAACTGAGTAGCACAATGTCGAGAACTAACAAGGCATTGTCCATATAGCCAACAGGTAAACTAGCAAGACAAGAGCCCACTAAAAATTGACTATTATTTCAAGTTAATTTGATAAAAATTACTTCAAACAATTTTTTTTCTAACAAAAAACAAATAATTTGTTTAACTTCCACAGATAACAGTTTTTTGATATGCCTTTTTATGTCTATCTGTAAATACCACTTTGATTGCATGGCTAAAAATAGCTTTCCCAATTATAAAGAAGGCAAAACAAATATAGTCAATATCAGATCTACATGAAATAAACAAGTAGATCTGAACTTTAGTCAGATTGCATTGAATTCTACTTCCTCTGTCTTGATGGGGAAAATAAGTACGGGTATTTATAAGCTACCACATGTTAACTGATCTGATATTATCTGACATTATCACAATTAACAATTAATATATTGATTAATGATGTATAATATAGTGGCATTTTATAAATAATTTATGAAAATTAAAAACTTACAATATTTATGTATAAAGCAAGAAAACTTTTTTGATTTGTTAAAGCTTACAAAGGATATATATTATATGAACTTAAAAAAAAGTATTACAATATGAAATTACAAAAAGTGACTATAAAAAAAATCTGTGTTAGAGACTTCTCTAAAATCTTAATTAAGGTCACATTTAATCAAGATCATAAATGCATTTATCTATCAACAAGTGTATAATAGTAGCTGTATCCATAACTACAAAACAACAACAAAAACATACACATAAAGACTTTCAAATGACAATTTTGGACATGTTTGATAGTCCATTCAATGTAAATAAAACTGGAAAGATTTGAGTTAAAATTACTTCTTCAGTATTTTCTTAGGTCATAATTCTGTGTGTTCTTCTGTTTCACCTTTTAGTTTACCTGAAAAATATATATATATAATGTAGATGTACATGTATAAAGTACAAATGTATGGTTCTGAGTCTTCTGACACAAGACATGTATATATTTACAATGAAACAAATTTACGAAAGCTTTATAAAAACAAATACATGTATATGACAAACTTTGGTTAGTGAAGTGGCTCATAATATGACCTGATGTAATCATGCTTCAATGACCTGAAATTTGTATAAATAGTATTGTTGACAGTGAACGAGTTGAAAGATTTAAACTTTTTTAAAGTAATCCTGTCTCCACTGAGATCCAAAATCATAAAAAAAATGAAATTTGAATTTATTACTAAGGTCAGCTGGAGCACTTAAAACAGACAGATATACAAAAAATAATTAAGAAATATACTCCGGTTAAATTGAAAATCATATAATTGTGCTATTCGTAGCCTGATTGGAGTGAAAAGCATTGCAAAGCTTTTCAATTTCAAGTCTGGAAAAACAGAGTGAGCAAATGATCTGAAATTTTGCACTGAATTAGATCTGCTAATCTCAAAAAAATATTTCCAGCCCTATCATGTAAAAAAATCCCAGTGGCATCCCTTTTATATGGATAATTAACTTGTTCTAACATCTTCATCATGCTATCAGATAAAGTAACTTTTATCTAGGTTAGGCTTCTACATCATAATCTATATTTGACCTTGACATTCACTTGGGGAAAAAAACATACATGAGGTTTATATTGTATTCTTTAAAAAAAAAAGACATGGAGCTCTATCAATACCACTGTGTGATCTGACATTGATAACCAAAACTAGAGCTTGCCAAATCATTCTTGCAGTTAACTTAAAGCACATCCTTTCCATTACATTGGCCTGATCACCATCACTTTCATTTAGAACAAACCAAATTTAAACATAACTATCAATTATGAAGAACGATATGCTGTTTGTTGTTTGTTTTTTTTTTAAATCATAAGACTTGAAATATATATTGCTTTTGGATCTGATTTTTTGTTCACTTAATCTAGAACTTAATATCAATAAATATTTACCATCAAACTTATTTAATAATGTTTTTAAATACATACTTTTATCTTTCTTTTTCTTTGATTTCTTTTTGGTAGATTTAGGTTTGTCTTCGTCATCTCCTGCTGAATCTCCCTTTGGTACATAAACCTCGTCTAGACATGCTGTAAGTATACACAGGCTTTATAATATATCTTTCACATAACACTAGTAAATTCAATTACTTTATAATTGATATCCCAACCCTAATAAATTCAAATAATACTTCTCACCAAGAGTCAAAACATGGTTATCTTTAGAAGTAGTATTGGTTGTTAATACATGTATTGTAACTCCCTTCAACTTAGTTAAGTGAATCTGTTACATATGCTGAAGATCAAAGAGTACAAGAATGCCATTGTCACAAAATATGCTGATCACGACTGCTCAGTCTCATTTTGATGAACATTTACAGAAGCATACTTAAATTCATGATCAATAAATTTTTATTAAGTTATACGTAAACTCATCCGTATATGTAGAAGATATGCTCTTGACAAAGTCTGGTTATATCATTATCTCTGGTGACTTTTCATATCTGCTGGTACCCATAATTGTGAACATTTGTGTTATTATACCTCTATTCAAGACTACTAAAGTGTCAATACAAAGATTTTCTATTTTCATCTGATCTTTGACCTTTCACTGTATGTGTCCTTGGCCATAAGAACTTAAATTTTACAAGTTTGCACTCAGACTCACAATGGTGAACACTTGTGCCAAGCTATACCAAAGTCCACTAATGCATGTAGAAGTTTTGCTCTTTATGAGCAATTCCTTTGACCTCTAAATGTGCCCTTGACCTTTCATCAAGAGTAATAATATCTGTCATATTTTGCGGTTCGGATCGGAATATCCGTCCCGAGGTGACCATGGGCGGGTGACCGAGAGACGGATATTCCGATCCGAACCGCAAACATATGTCAGGTATTTTTTCTTGCATATTCTACCATTTTCCATTATATTTTAAATTCTTTATCTTTATTTTCAATGAAAATTTATATCATTACAACCGTAACTACTTTCATTCAACAGCGTATGAATTACAAAATCATTCATAACGGTAAAATGACGTCATCTTTATCGTGCTCATCTGGAACCCCCCATGCCAGATGAAATTTCCGGCATGGGTAAAACTAACGGAAACGCCAGTCTGATATGCAAGAAACCATATTCATGTTTGTTACACTGCGTGTGACAGTGATCAAGTAATACTTAATATCTCCATCTCCATCCATATACCACCCCCCACCCCCGTGGCAATCATTTTATAAAACCTGTTTATCAAACTACTCTATCAAAAATGAAAAAGTAATTTGATATTTTCACAAGCAAGAAAAACAGAGCAACATTTCTACTTACACTGATCCTCATTTTTGAGAACATGTTTTCTACACAAATAATTTATAATGTCTTGATCTTGGTGTTCAAAATACCAATCTTCTATAGTTTCTTCATATCTCTCTACCACAGTAAAACACTGAAATATCATATTCTTCATCATAGTTAAATATTGAAAATATCATATTCTTCATCATAGGTAAATATTGAAAATATCATATTCTTTATCATAGTTAAATATTGAAAATATCATATTCTTTATCAAAGTTAAATATTGAAAATAGCATTTTATCACAGTTAAAAATTGAAAATATCATATCTTTTAACCACAGTTAAACATTCAAAGTAGTGCATCTCTTAACCACAGGTATACATTGAAAATATTATATTTCTTTATCACATTGAAAATGACTTGCCTATGCAACTGGTATACTTGTAGTAGTTTACAATTTGCTATTCTGTTACCTGATTAATTCTAAGTACTGTATTAAGATACCAATATTATAAGCTAACATAAACAAATTTACAGATCCAAATTCAAAACTATCAAGTCCAGGGTCCAAGTTGTAAGTTGAAACTCAGATCTCAGGCATTTTGATTGGTCAGAAACTGATACAGAATGTACACTAACCAATGAAAATCTGAGGCAGATCTCAGTAAATATATCAGTAAATAAAATCAGTATAACCTTGCAGCCTAAATACAAATTTAGCATGATAAATCTTAATAAATAGAACTTGACCAATTTATATGAGTAACAGTATGGTAAATTTCACTTTTAATTTTTTGTCAAGTTTTCCTAAAAACCTCAACCCAACACTCCACAGAGAAGTGCATTTAGATATCCTAAATGCTTGATAGTGAAAATATGAAGAAAAATGAAATCCTAAAATTCAAAATCCATTGCAAACCTTAAAACTTTAAAAATAAGACAGAGTGAAGGTAAACATTCTTCATGTATTTAAGTTGAGTTTGGTTAGTTCCAGGGAGCTCACCCAAGAGAGACAAGGTTTATATAAGCTTCAAACTGTCTTCACTATCAAGCTTAAACAATTATGTTTAAAATAAAATGTATTCTTGGTTAAATTTGAAAGGGTGTCATAAAAAAAAAAAAAAAACAGGTAGAATGAAAACAAAAATATTAATGCTACTGGTTGGGGACCACCAAAACCGGACAACCACCAAACTCGGACGGCCCCGAAAATGCTTAATTTACTATGTTCTTTGTTCAGTGGTTGTCAGTCACTTTTTTATCAACAATAAATGCATGTTTATTCTATAATTTAGTAAATGAATTTATTTCAACCTCCGTAAATGGTAATATTTTAATAAGTATTTCAATGTTGACGTTTGGGCGTCAAGAAAGCAATGCCTGACCTCATATACCAGCTTCAATCATTTGCAGAGTAAACAATAGAATTTCCAAAAGTTCAGCATTTGTTGCTGAAATATTGTATACCATGTTAAAATTCAAAAATGAAAACACACAAGTTATCTGAATTAAATCACGCCATGTACATAACTGTCCGGACACATGGTACTGTAGTGTAGACAATTTAGGTAATTTTGATACCCTAATTGTGGAGCCTCAGAAATAAGTGTCAATACAATCAGAAATAAACAAACTAGTTTGTTAGTAAGGAGAAGAACCTAGCTGTAATGTATCAAATTTTTAGGTCTCTGAGTTCGAAATTATGAAATCTGTATGGAAAAATGTTCAAAAAGTGTTTGTAAGTGAAAAATGGACATAATTTTATCAAAGCCCATGACAAAAAATGATAAAATTCTTTTGCCTGCAAGTCAGGACAATAGTTGCAAAAAATGTTCCCAGTTTCAAGGCAATTTTTATACCACTTAAAGGAAAAGACAGTGACAAAAAACTTAACCAAAGTGTGACATGAAAGTGAAGACCCAAACACCTAGATGACAATGATAGCTTTCCATATTTTCAAATGAGACTTAACATTATTTGAGGTTTAGCAGACAGAGAGATAAAAGAACAATTCTCAAGAAATTAACTTACTGGTACAAAATAAATACATCCGACTCAGATGAACAAAAATAACAGCTTACCATCTGCTTGCTTTTTAAACAAAAGGAAAAAATATGACTTTTGAGCTTTAAATATAGATAAAGAAATCAATTACAAGATAAAATAACTAATCTATGACTAAGGAATCACCTTAAATGCCTTACTTCTCTTTGTAGCTGTGTCACTTCAGCAGACGGAGTATCCCATAATTCATAGGGAATACCTAGATCAACCTTCACCCCTTTATCCCTTAAATATAGAATTTACAAAACACATACACACAGGTACAACATAATATAGACATGGAGAGGTTTTAATGTTCTAATGGTATAAACAGCATCACCAAATAGTTGGGTATTAATAAATGTGTCTTCTAAATAAGGTAAGTACTAGGTATACAACCCCTGTGTTCAACCTTGACTTCACTGCCTTGATTTTAAACATACTTATTTTAGCTTGATAGTGATGTAAGTTCATATAAACCACTGTCAGTTGAAGTTATGTCTGTTGGACTAAAGGAACTGGCATGAAAACAATCCTTCCCCTTAGTTTTGACATATTGGTATATGCTTGGATATGACATAGAGAAGAAAATTAAAACCTCCCCATATATGAGCAAAAATGACCAGTCATCTTAAACAAAGCAGTGATATAGGATGTGTGGAGGGTGAGATAAAATACTGCATTTACTTCTCTCTGTAATTGAGCCACCTCAGCAGATGTTGCATTCCAAAGTTCATATGGAACATCCATCACAACTTTCACTCCTTTGTTACTATAAACAATCAAGTACACTACAACATAGACACAATATCAAAAGATTGACAAAAAAAATAATCTGAACTGACCGTCTAACAATGAGAGCTTTGAGAAAGCATGTGTTTTACAGTACCTTCATTAGAAAAAGAATATTTCACATACTTATTTAAAGAAAAAAATTTTAAAAAATTTGTTTAAATTATTATTTAAATTTTGAAATTATTAGAAGTTTTTTATCCTTTTTGCAATTACTAGTTTTTTACTTCAGTTATTTCTTCCATTTCAATTTCTTCACCAGATCTCAAATGAAAAATCAAACTTTCATATATTAAATCATTTGTTTTCTAATGTGGAAAATAACACAGGTGAAGGTCGCGTAGCCATGACTTACACTATACCCCGTTCACCCTCTACAACCAAAAACCCTTAAACATCATCCAAACATCATAAGTATTGACAAAAATAATTTTTTTTTCCCATAAAATTTATTTTTGTCAATACTTCTGATGTTTGGATGATGTTTAAGGGTTTTGGGTTGTAGAGGAGGAACAGGGGGTATAGTATAAGTCATGGCCACACGACGTTCACCTGTGGAAAATAAGGTTGTAGAGGGGGAACGGGGGTATAGTATAAGTCATGGCCACGCGATGTTCACCTGTGGAAAATAAAAGTAACAGATGCAAAACCATGAGTTGTGCTGAAGAAATAAATTAGTCCTTAAATACTTTTAATATAATGTGCATGTAGTGAAAACTAATAATGACAATAGATATAAGAATGAGAGAAAAAAAAATTAAGCATGCAATGAAAATTAAAATAAGAGGGCTATGCTGGTCCTTTCATTGCTCACCTGAGAGGAGAATAACTGCCTTCATTCAAAAAAGAGCCATAATTCTGCCAAAATACATGTTAGAGTTATGGGCCTTGGAGAGTGACCGCCTATTATGCTCTTAAATAAGTGTGTAAAGTTTCAACTGATACCCTGCAGTGTTTTTGGAGATATCAACTTGAACTCAACAAAATTATGATGGTGACGCCTGTGTGAGTACAATAGCTCTCCCTATTCTTTGAATAGTGGAGCTAAAAACTTTCATCTTTTTTCATTCCATACCATCAACCAAGTTTTAGACTGTAAACATCTCATATTTTACCTGATTTAGTGGTACAAAAATGTACCTTAAATTGTTACAAGGTTTTGGTTGATTTCATCTGGTGACCCAGTTCTTTAACCAGGGCCTGTCTATTTGAAAGACCCTGTCTTCCCCAAAATGACAGATGTATTTGATGAAGGTCCAATCAAAACTCTAACCATAAGTATTTACAATGTTTTCTTGTTATCTGAGCTGATGACATTGCTTTTTTTCACTGCAGATAATCCATATTCAAACTTATACTAGAAATCATTTAGATAGACACTATTATGGCTTGATCAGAAACCTAATTTTGTTTGTTGTTACAACTTTTCTTTGATTTGAAATGGTGACCTTGTATTTGGTTAAATGTCACAGTTTAAAACTTGTCTAGGATATCATTTATCCTTATCTTGCTAAATATGTGAAATAAATTTGCCCTAATTAGAATTTGGAAAAGTCTATGTTATGTTTAAGCTTTTTCAATATCAAAATACAAGGTCAGCTACCAACAGTATAGGTAACTACCAACCGTATAGAGCCTGGTCAAACTGCACAGATAAGGATTAAGACATTCTGACATAGTCTAGTGACTGACAAGTGACTGATCCTAATAACTCATCCTTAAGCACCATGTGCTCAGGTGAGATAAAATCATGTTACTATACAAAGTCAGTAGAGGTAACATTTAAAGAGATATTTGAAATGTAACATATATAAACACAACAGTTACAGTGAGTATCACTCAATCTTCAAAACAGTCAAAAATTGGTGATGATAATAGACCAAATGCCCAAAGATAAACATCTGCTTTTTGATAAATGAGTGACCTCTACTGGTACACAATAAACACTTAACAACTGAAATTTACTTCTTTATGCATTTGTGTAACTTCTGCTGGAGTAGAGTTCCAAAGTTCGTATGGGATGTCCATTTGAACATCAACCCCTTTATTACTATAAACAAAAAGAACTAGTACATTGTAGATAGAGAACTTTCATTAAATACTTAATAGATTGAGCAGTATAATAGACTTTCAAGTTCTCTGCTTTTATTATTTTCATTGAAACCAACAAATGAGGTAAGTTTAAACACAGTTACCACTTTGTTTATTTCTATAAGTTCACTGAGTAATGACTGTGTGGGAACATTATAACACTGTCATTTTAAACCTGGTGAAGTTATAACAGTTCATTCACTGATGTTTTGAACCCTCAACTTTATACATAATGTTTAAAACAACTCTATCTCTCAAACATTAACTCATCATTCAAGATAAGTTGTTAAACATGATGTATTCACTTGACTACTTACTAATACTTACTAATACATGTGCTTTACATGAGCATTTCCTTTTTCTTAATTGTTTACATATTTGATAAAATAATGCATGTCCTTCTATCTATTAACATATTTTGGATGTGTGTGCTTAAAATCTAACATTTTTACAGAAATATTCTTAGTACACACTTTTACTTACACAAGATTATGCAATGTTTGGAAAGTTTCACTCTGTCCCTTGGCAAACCTCAAACTGCCTTCCCTTTCTTTGTGGACATTGTACTGAAGAATTTTATCACATATATGAGGATCTTGTAATGCCTCAATCAATCTTAATTCTCTGAAATACAACAAATAATCCATGTTTATCCCTTTGGAAATTGTAATATTTTTGTAGGCTTTTCTATAGCTCAAACAAAAGAATTGGATGTGCATGTATATGTTTAAATTATTTTTCCCTTAGCAATTTTTCACAGTACTTAGTATGTATCAATGTGAATAATGAATATATCATAATTTCCCTCATAATGATTGCATTTTTTCTAAGTTAAGAATCTACAGTTTATTACTACCATATAATTTTTATTAAATTTTAAGTACATATTTTACATACACTTTTAGAATATAATAACAATATATTACAGCAAATAAAAAATATAATACAATATTATTTCATGACTCTCTTCTATCAAATTAAATCCTTACGCTGTGTTGTATTTAATTTTCTTTTTCTTTTTAGAATCAAGTCCATGTCCAATTTCGAGAACTTCTTTTGTCTTCCCGGTTTCTTCAAGTCTGTCCTTAAGCTCTGTAGCTAGATACTTGCAAACTAAAACAAATATATATGAATGAATATGTGGTGTATATTTAAGGTACATGTGTATTGGCAAATTTTCATGTCTGTTACTATCCTAAATTTCAATATTTACATGTGTGATCATAAATTCAACTTAAACCTCTAAATAGACAAGCTAAAAAAAAATATAAAGAAATCTGAAAAGTTCAGTAATTGAAACACTTTGATTAGGCCATCCTTAAAAAAATGTTTGTTTACAGTAACGCGACCGACTCACAAAATTTGCCCCTACTCAAAAATTTTTTTCATGGTCTGAATAAAAAATTATTTTTTTTGAATCAGAAAATTATGCCTTGTGCTTTGTTTTCGTTCTTTTAAAGGTTAATAGAAGAAATAAAATGTAGGTCTTATTAAATTTAGAATTCAGTTATCAATTTATTAATTGTTACCAGATTATCAAAGCATATATTGTCCAGCATTTTGAAATTCCATGTTTACTTGGGAGTACAGTTCAATAAAAAAAAAAAATCGACCTACCTACCCACCTTAAAAATTCTGGGTAGGGTTACTGCAAACAAACATTTTTTTAAAGATGGCCTTACTTTAAGTAACTATAGTTTTCAAACAAAAACTTGTGACCTGTGATAATAAGGTACAGGTCAAAAAGGTTTTGTTATTAAACCTATTAGCTTTTCATAAAAAAAGAAACATATCAAGGATATAAAAAATTTAAAAACGCAAACAACAAAATTTCCTCCAGTAAATCAGCAGTTAATTAATTAAATATAACTTATTGATAATGAAATTTTTTTTAGTATTAGCATTTTATTTAATCCTTATCATAATTATTTTTTGCTGTTGCGCTATACATCTCTTATTTTGAGTGCCAGGGTACAGAATGTATATTTTCTCTAATGATACAGATTATGTAATTTCCTTCGTTTGTTCAAAAATGTGCAATTGCCTGTAATTCATGTTAATTTTCAAGAAAATTTTGAAAATTTATATTGATTATTTATCAATTTATAAATAAATGTTATCTAACATCTTAATACTTCATGTCATAATAATTCAACATGACCATTGACATATATATATAATTTAACTGTTATAAGTTATTTGACCGCACTAAAACTAAATATTCTGATTCATCAGATATAATAGTTACTACTGGCACGTTCATTATAATGTTACATTGTATAAAGCAATCAACGTCGTATATGAAAGGCGTTTAGCATAGATAAGCTTTCAGCCAATCAGAAAATTCCACATAGAAAATTGAAAAATCCCCTAGATAATTGACACATGTTTAATTCAAATTATCCAATATCGGCCCTGTTTCAAATAAGAAAATAATGTCATTCCAACACTTATATAAGGTAGAAATTGTGTAATAACATATTTTAACTTAGTTAATTAAATACACACTTGAAACGTTGAAACTAACCTAAACTGAAAGTAGAAAAATTGAAACAGGAAGATAATTTGTCATATTTTCAAGAAAATAAAAAATAAAAAAAATTGTCATACCTTCGCATTTCGATGGTGGTATAACGGGTCCTTTATCTTCTTCTTCTGCACAGCAATAAACAACAAAACTCAATAAACAAGTTAAAATTACAAGAGATTTCGTCCTCATTTTGTTGTTGTGGTGAACCCAGTTGTGCATAAAATCATTCGGAACTTCCTCGGCTATTATCTAATAAGTCCTTATCCGAAGACTGTCCGAAAGGGGTGGGGGGAAAATCCCGGGATCGCCTACAGAAAAGCCGGGATCCGGGATCGTATTAAACATATAGTAATCCCGGGAATTGACCACCAGTTCTCGGTGTCGACGATAAATTATATATCGATTATCTGCATTTTTATATAGTATTTTACACGCATTTTAGGTAAAATAAGCATGCCAATTAAGAAAAGCCGGGATCGTATATAAGATATATATATCCCGGGAAATTGACCATTACCAATTTGCTTTCAGAAAAGCCGGGATCTATTAAACAGTACAGAGATCCCGGGAATTGACCACCTGTCATACACGTCAAAAGTTTTTTTTTGTTATCAATTATGTTAAGTATATCTTCTGATCTTTTCTAAAAATAATATTTAAATACATGAACATAAAATTAAGCCAAATATTGTATTAACAAAAACTTTGATATTTCCAAGTATACTATACTGTAATTATACAAGTAATGTGATTTCCGCATTTTAAGTGTGTTAATAAATAACTCGAAATATATTTAAATCTTAAGTAAAATTCATTTACTGTTCATTACATACAATTAAAGAAATAAATAGTTAACATTTAATCGCCTCTCATTACGACAAAAATAAACACAAATATAGTTTATGAGTTTTCCCTATATATCTAATACGATCCCGGATCCCGGGCGTCCCGGATCCCGGGATTTTCCCCCCACCTCGGAAAGGGCCGAGTAGTTGCGATTGCTCAACTGTATATTGGACTTACGGAAAGGGCCGAAAAGTTGCGATTGTTCACGAGTTTGACCTTTACAGATTGGTTCTCGTTTCATTAAACGCCAAGATCTTAAATGTAAAGTCAGGAACCAAATTATTGATGCACACATTTTATATCTTTAATTTTAATTTCCTCTTCCAAAATATATCGTGAATTTTTGTCATGTTTCTTACCTTTATAAACATTTTGTGACTAAATTTAACTTAATAAAAAATAAGTAAATAATTTAATAATCAGAAGTGCATTACAGGTCGGGAGTATTTTCATTTCCGGGTTCGTTTTTTGGTTCCTGTATTTGTGTAATTCGGTAATTCGTGTAGACTGACCAGAGTCCGCGAATTATTATCGAAATTATTGAAAATAACGTGTTGTAAGTTTTTTTTATTACCATTCCTGAATGTTGCAAACAATGAAACATATAATTTAAAAAAATAAGAAATTTATAACTTCCCGACTTGCTTTACTTCCTGAAACTCCTACTTCAGTACTTGCTTGCAAGATATTTGCTAATTAAGATCCATGCTAAAAGGAATCCACTGTGATTTTTTTTTTACATTACGGAACTAGAAATAATTTTTGTATGTTTTATTATATGTTCCATTTGGTGTTGGTCTTGACCTATAAATAATATGAAATTAGGTGCTACCTATGGCGCGGAAAGCTCTTATGATTTCTGATTTAAGCATAACATGTTTAGTGTACATGTTAACCAGATCTATCATGCAATTCGTTAATAAGTTAATGCAGGTATTTTGTACCGTAAACAGGAACGAATAAATTGATGGTGTTCAACCCATTATCGGAAGAGGGACCACTGTGCATGCGTCGGCGTTTGGAAAATCCCGTCTGCCATTTTCTGTTAATCTCTAATCACATATGTTGTTTTCACGTTATTTTTAATGTGCTTATTTATCAAGAAGGATTTAAAAATAACTTTTTACATTTATCATCGTTACTATAGTTCTTGTGAATGAAATGAGTGTTTATTTTCTGATTTCGTTTCGTTTCGTTCAAAGCCTTGATAATGGCCGTGTTGTCACTCCGGTATGTACAGCTAAACTCTGGTATTTCCGATTACGGTAAAAAACTCTCAAGTAGGGTTACAATAATTCAATATAATGATTATGAAATAGAATGTAAACTGAAAGGGGAAAAAAATCTTTTGGATGAAAAAAAAAAAAATTAAAATCTTTTGGATAATTTGACAAATTCATTTGCAATATTTGACAACTCTTGCCTATGGTCTTTGAATTGGTCTTCTTGTATGTCTGAAAGCAATAGTTCTTTTGTAAATACACTTATTCCTGTCTTTAGGAATATTTCTTTCTTCAGGTTTTCTCTTGATGCCTCATACAGGGTACAGTCCTCTATAAAATGTGTTACTGTCTCAACTTCTCCACAATTACATAGACTTGTGTTTTTGGCCCCAATCTTGTTCAGATAATCATTGAGGCAATATCCACTTTGTAGTTGAAGTAACTGTCTTTGGTTGCTCAAGCCATGGAAGTTAATTTTTTTGGGCTGGACTTGAGGCTTGAGTCCATAGAGATGCCTGCCAGTTTCAACAATTTCCCATCTTCTCTGCCATTTAATGCGGACTGATTCTCTAGCTGAGTGGCGAATGTCACTTTGACTTGTTACAAGGAGTGAATCTTCTGTTTCCATTTCCTCAGCTTCTTTTGCTGCTTCTTTTGCAAGTCCGTCAGCAATGTCATTCCCTTTTATGCCAGCATGACCAGGAGTCCAATCAAAATTGACAGTAACATCTGCTAATTCAAGCTCTTTCCTCAACTGGAGTATCTCTGTTGACAGGAATTTGTGTGTCTTATTTTCCCAGCCAAGATCAATAATTCCAACAGCGGACTGACTATCACTAAGTATTTTTATCTTATTTATTTCAAATCTTCCAATCTCAGTAAGTAGGGCTTGAAGTGTTATTTTAATGGCAACCAGTTCTCCTACTAAAATTGATGATAATTTTGATACTGGTTGTTTCAGTTCTATAACTTCTGTGTTTGGAAGAAGAATGCAGGCTCCAGCACCACATGGACCTTTGTAAATCATGGATTTTGTAAATCATTCTTTCACTGGAAGTGTTTTTGAGCATGCGTCTGCTAGCAATAGTCAGAATTATGTAGACGCTCATTAAAAGCGCTGTGATATCAATATTTAGCTCAAAAGGATTTCAAAATGGCGGCGCCCAGTTAACTAAGGATTTCTTGTACATGCATGTTATCTAAGAGCGCTACAGCCCTCGCGGGGCCTTTGGCCCCGCTCGGACTTTCCGCCTATTACTTGTGTGAAATATGTCCTATTACCGAATGTAGGACAAAACCCCACCAGTCAAAACCCCACACCTCAAAACTTTATAGAGTGGACAAAACCCCACACCTAAATTTTACAGAGTGGACAAAACCCCACACCTCCAGTTTTATAGAGTTGACAAAACCCCACCACCTTAAAGTTTTCAGAGTGACATTAAGGAAATGTATTTGACATGATCTACATTTGAATTAATGTTTTTTCATTTGAATGATTTATTACCATTTATTAATTAATTTTTTATGTTTTCATATATGTATATGTAATTTTGGACGTCCGGGGCAATGTCATTTTTCAATGGTTTGACAGTATGAAATTTTTTTTGTAAAGTGTGTAAAACCGTTCAAGCCGAATTAATTAGGCTAAATATACATACATGTCAAAGTCGGTATAAACAGCAATCAAAGTCTTTGACTTTCCCGTATAAGTCATTTTATATTTTGGAAGGAACATGCAAGATACAGATAGACTGAAATATGCTCCAATTCCTGAAGGGACCTTGATTAAAAGTCTCATCCAAAAGATATATGTCACAATCCCCCTCCACTATCTTAAAAGCATAAAAAGGCATTGATTTACAAAAAATGTTCCTTGTATTTTCAAAAGTGTACTGGTACCTAATTTCCATTTCTAAACCCAGCAAGATATACATATATTCAGTCATATTTTTTATAGACAAAATGGAAAAGATATTTCTGTTTTAAAGTTAATATTACTTTAAGAAAAATAGCATTAGGAATTATGGTTAATAAAACTTCCTGTTAGTAAAAATAATTTTTGATTTTGTAGGGGCCTGTTTGTACTGACTGAATGTATTGACTGTAATGTTATACATATTTTCAGGTGATAAGAAAAAGATATGACTGAGAAACATAGTTTTGGTGTAGATCCAATTACATGCCATGCCTTCAGTGGAGATAGGACAGGTAAACATTATACAGACTATCTAGTACCATCTATTGTCAACAGTTTAATTTACACCTCCAGATTGTTGCTTGTAGATGTTTAAAAAAAACATTTTAACCATCTTACTTTATGAAGTGTTGCCCTGCTTCAACTTTGAACTGACCATTTAAGGTTAAATGAATGTAAATATCAGATTAATAGAGCAATACAGCCTGCTGTGATACTGGTGGCAGGGACAAATTTGGACTTCTGCTGCATTCTAAAAGTAAACATGATAGTTATCTTTCTAGTAAAAGCAAAGATACCATTTGAAATAACTTACATGTACATTACTGTCATAAAAACAAAAAAAGTATTACAATTATCTTTGTTTTTAAAACAAATCTGATATAGTATTATGTATATGTAGGATATGTTAGGTAGTAAAACATGTTTACAGGTTTGGCAATGTCACACAACAACAATGATGTGATGGTATATAAGAAACAGGCCAATAAATGGGTACAGAAGAGTGAGTTGACTGAGCATGGTCAGAGAGTGACTAGTATTGACTGGGCAGCTAAGTCTAATAGACTTGTCACTTGTGGCGCAGTATGTATTATATAAACATATTAATATCTATCATGTCTGCTTTATAAATCCTATAACCCTTGAAGAATTTTTTTTCAAACCTGGCTCAAATGTTAACTTTAATAATAGGTTTATGCAAAACTCAGGCTGCCGTTATCACATGTCCACCTCAACAAGGCAACCTGCAGAACCTATGCTTCCCATGTACCTGGTCAAGGTCAAAGTCAATCTTGAAAGCCAAATGTCAGACTAGAATCATCTATAAATCCTATACCTGCTGATGGATTTTCTTCAGACTTGGGTCAACAAGGCAATGTTCAGATCCCAAATTGTCACTGTGACGGCTGAAGGTCAAGGTCACTCTTGAAGGTCAAATTTCTGCTGTTTAAATCATTTACCCTTTTAACTTGGCTCAAATGTCAAATTGTCAGTCTCAACAAATTGATGTACTAAACCCATGTACTGGCTTACGGTTAAACTTAAAGGTCAAAAGTCACCGAAATTTTATGTCTGCTTTATAAATCAAGTACTCTTTGAAGGATTTTTTTCAAACATGGCTCAAATCAGTGTTTCACTCATATTTTGTAGAGAAATGTTTACAATTTTCAATTCACTTTTCAAGGAATAGGATGAGCTATAGTACTCACCCATGGTTAATTCTTGTGTGCAAGTTGGTATCTCCATTACTACTGAAGGAAATACACTCTTACTTGAGAGCATAATATGAGGTCTCTGTCAAAGGCCCAAAACTCTTAGCATTGATTTTGACAGGACTATGGCCCTTTTTAACTTAGTAAATTCTAAATTATTCATGCTTTTGTTTTAGTATCAAGCTCTGAGAATAGTTCAGCACTTTGTCCTACCAACAGCTCTTGTTTTAAACGGATAGCTATTTTATGTGAGGAAGTTACAAAAATCCAGCTGGTTTTCAGATAATTGAATTTAAGTAATACAGATAATATTAATGTTTTATGATTTGTTAAATCAGGACAGAAATGCATATGTGTGGACACAGGAAGGGGATGAATGGAAACCTAATCTTGTCATTTTGAGAATCAACAGGGCAGCTACTTGCGTCCGCTGGTCACCTGAAGGTAATGATCATTGTTACACCAATTTGAACTTGGTTCAAATGTTAAGTGTTTCAGATTTATTGGCATATCAGCATTCAAAATATCTTTGACCTTTTACAAATATAAAAAGGATGGGCAAAGTATCGTGAGTACATTCAAAAATTAAAATTTTAGCTCGCTGTAAAAATCATTTATATTCTTATTTGGGTGGAGTGGGTGGGAGGCGGGGCATAAAGGAATCCCTTCATCTCTTTCCCTTTCAGATTGTTTTTCTTCGATATCTTTTTAAGCATATCAGATATTAACCCTTAACATGGTGAATATTTTAAATGGGCTTGGCCCACTTCCATTTTTGGACTGTTCATTATCAATTTTAGGGATATCAATTTGAATATTTTAAGTTTTTCAGCCAACAGTATAGAGCCTGGTCAGACTGCACGGATGTGCAGACTGGCCTGGCTCTATACTGGTGGCAAAAGCTTAATGCTTTCGGTTCCAGCTTTTTAAGGGTTAACTTGACATGTATATGAAGGGTCGCAAGATTGCTTAGTAGGTCAAATTTCATAACTTTTCATTACTTTGTTTACAAAGATGTAGTATTACCCCATTTTAGAGGTCTATGTTTATTTGAATGTCTCTGAAACCAGGAAAGGTATCAATTTGAAACAGAAATTGGTGTAAAGGTATATCATTATGTTGACCATGCCAAAACTTTATTGCATTTCAACAGAATAATGTCCCTGTCCTTAACTGACCTAAAATTTACATTTACATTGTACTTAAACATCTCAGACACCATATCAGATGTTCACTGGATAGATATTATTTGAGCCGCGTCACGACAAAACCAACATAGTGGGTTTGCGACCAGCATGGATCCAGACCAGCCTGCACATCGGCGCAGTCTGATCAGGATCCATGCTGTTCGCTTACCATCTCTATCACAAGTGGAGAAACTGACAGCGAACAGCATGGATCCTGATCAGACTGCGCGGATGCGCAGGCTGGTCTGGATCCATGCTGGGCGCAAACGCATTACGTTGGTTTTGTCATGGCGCGGCTCATTTATATAAATGTATATGAAACATTACCAGCAAGCTGAGTAAACCAAGTTTTGCGACTCTAATCAATTTTGATATAGTTAAAACACTGTTTGTGTTTGTTTTCATATACAATATTGATCTTCCTTTCATTAGAGAAAATTTCTTATTAGATTTATTTTTCCCACATGTTATTTCCCTTTCCACTAAGACCAGGTTATAAATAGCATTCATCAATGATTTGATTTGGCACTATACTGTTAATTTGCAGAGAACAAGTTTGCAGTAGGAAGTGGTGCTAGGGTTATCTCAGTCTGTTATTTTGAGCAGGAGAACAACTGGTGGGTCAGCAAACATATAAAGAAGCCTATCAGATCAACCATTACGAGGTTTGTTAGTTGAACACTTGTATACTTAAACAATCTTCAATGACTACTGTATGCATTGTTAGAGGCCAGCAGTTCTCTGTCATATTGTCATCAATGTAGAACATCTTAGTGAAATTGTACCAAATGTCTAGCTTCAATTATAATTTCAATAATTATATCAACCAAACAGGTAAAACAAGGACAGCCGGAAACTTGGGTAAAGAGGGAAAATGTATACAGAAATGTCAACAAATATTAATAAATGGCCGATGGTGGTGAAAATTTAGGATTACTTTTACTGATGATCCTGGACAATGAAATAACCCTTTAAGTTAGGGAATTTAGTTTCATTGTGATGTTTTGAATGTAAAACATGCTTCTCTTGGTAATAGTAAAGCTTGTGGATGAACCCTGGTAATGTATTTATTGCATTAGAATAATTTATCTTATATTTATCTGTTTATATATTTCAGTGTTGATTGGCATCCAAACAATATTCTTCTTGCTGCTGGTTCCACAGATTTCAAGGCCAGGTACCATTATTTAATATACTAGACTTTTAAAATATGTTTTCTGTATGATCTGTATAATCTATGATGACAAGTATTTTTATTAGCTCACCTGTCACAAAGTGACAGGGTGAGCTTTTGTGATCGCTTTTGGTCCGTCGTCCGTCCGTCCGTAAACTTTTACTTTAAATGACATCTCCTCATAAACCACTAAGCCAATTTCATCCAAACTTCACAGGAATGTTCCTTTGGTGGTCACCTTTAAAAATTGTTCAAAGAATTTAATTCCATGTAGAACTCTGGTTGCCATGGCAACCGAAAGAAAAAACTTTAAATATCTTCTTTTAAAAAACCATAAGAGCTAGAGCTTAGATATTTGGCATGTAACATCTTCTAGTGAGTGTCTACCAAGTTTGTTCAAATAAAAGCCCTGGGGTCAAAATTGGCCCTGCCCTGGGGGGTCATTGATTTTCCCTATATGCATATAGTAAAAACTTAAAAAATCTTCTTTTAAAGAACTCAAAGAGCTATGGCTAAGATATTGAGCATCAAACATGTTCTAATAGGTGTCTACCAAGTTTGTTCAAATAAAAGCCCTGGGGTCAAAATTGGCCCCGCCCCAGGGGGTCATTGATTTTCCCTATATGCATATAGTAAAAACTTAAAAAATCTTCTTTTAAAGAACCAAAAGAGTTAGAGCTAAGATATTTAGCATGAAACATGTTCTAATAAGTGTCTACCAAGTTTGTTCAAATAAAAGCCCTGGGGTCAAAATTGGCCCCGCCCCGGGGGGTCATTGATTTTCCCTTTATGCATATAGTAAAAACTTAAAAAATCTTCTTTTAAAGAACTCAAAGAGCTATGGCTAAGATATTGAGCATCAAACATGTTCTAATAGGTGTCTACCAAGTTTGTTCAAATAAAAGCCCTGGGGTCAAAATTGGCCCCGCCCCAGGGGGTCATTGATTTTCCCTATATGCATATAGTAAAAACTTAAAAAATCTTCTTTTAAAGAACCAAAAGAGTTAGAGCTAAGATATTTAGCATGAAACATGTTCTAATAGGTGTCTACCAAGTTTGTTCAAATAAAAGCCCTGGGGTCAAAATTGGCACCGCCCCGGGGGTCATTGATTTTCCTTATATGTGTATAGCAAAAACTTAAAAAATCTTCTTTGAAAAAACCCAAATAGCTAGAGTTAAGATATTAAGCATGAAACATCTTTTAGTGAGTGTCTACAAAGTTTGTTCAAATAAAAGACCTGGGGTCAAAATTGGCCCCGCCCCGGGGGTCATTGATTTTCTTTATATGTGTATAGCAAAAACTTAAAATCTTCTTTGAAAAAACCCAAATAGCTAGAGTTTAGATATTAAGCATGAAACATCTTCTAGTAAGTGTCTACAAAGTTTGTTCAAATAAAAGCCCTGGGGTCAAAACTGGTCCAGCCCCAGGGGTGTCATTGTTTTTAACTATATGTGTATAGTAAAAACTTTAAAAAAATCTTCTTTTAAAAAGCCCAATGAGCTAGAGCATAGATGTTTAGCATGAAACATCTTCTTATGGGTGTCTACCAAGTTTGTGCAAATAAAAGCCCTTGGGTTAAATTGGCCCTGGCCTATATACAGGTGAGCGATCTCAGGGCCATCATGGCCCTCTTGTTGTCAACATTGTTTATTTTTACATGCTGCAAATTCGTTTTAACATTTTATTCCGTATACTTCATTGCATTGTAACAATTATTTGAGCTGCGTCATGACAAATCCAACATAGTGCGTTTGCGACCAGCATGGATCCAGACCAGCCTGCGCATCCGGGCAGTCTGATCAGGATCCATGCTGTTCGCTTACAAACCCTATAACAAGTAGAGAAACTGATAGCGAACAGCATGGATCCTGATCAGACTGCGTGGATGTGCAGGCTGGTCTGGATCCATGCTGGTCGCAAACGCACTATGTTGGTTTTGTTGTGACACAGCTCATTTGTTTTCATCAACTTTAAGTACAATATTTTTAAAGGTTGTGTAATAACAGTTTACTTGGTTTGAGAAGGCATAGCATTCTGTTTTGTATACTAACAAGCAATGGTCACAAAATAAACATATATCTTGTGTTATTTAATTCCTGGCTACCATATTTCATCATTGAGTAAATATAACATAATTGCAGAAAGTGTGCTGTTTCAAAAATAGAGTAACTACAGTAGTAGTATGTGGAGTATGTGTATGTGTCTAAGCAATTGATTAGATTGTCATGATTAAATAATGGCAATTAATGTGTCTCTAGAACAATACAATCAAACCAGCTAGCTCTTAGCTAGAATATCACTTTATGGTAATGATATATTTTCTCCACTTTTAACAGAGTTTTCTCCGGATATGTTAAAGAAGTAGAGCCTAAACCATCTTCTACTAACTGGGGAAATAAGATGACCTTTGGTAACCTCATGGCTGAGTTCTCCACTACTGGAGGTAATAATAACAATACATGTATGCAAATTATAACTAGAAACAAGTGAGGTAATAATAACAATACATGTATACAAATTATAACTAGAAACAAGTGAGGTAATAATAACAATACATGTATACAAATTATAACTAGAAACAAGTGAGGTAATAATAACAATACATGTATACAAATTATAACTAGAAACAAGTGAGGTAATAATAACAATACATGTATGCAAATTATAACTAGAAACATGTGAGGTAATAATAACAATACATGTATGCAAATTATTACTAGAAACAAGTGAGGTCATAATAACAATACATGTATACAAATTATAACTAGAAACATGTGAGGTAATAATAACAATACATGTATTCAAATTATAACTAGAAACAAGTGAGGTAATAATAGCAATACATGTATACAAATTATAACTAGATACAAGTGAGGTAATAATAACAATACATGTATACAAATTATAACTAGAAACAAGTGAGGTAATAATAACAATACATGTACGCAAATTATAACTAGAAACAAGTGAATAGGGTCATTTTATTTGCATATTAATTTGTATATTGATTAATGAATTATGAAAAAGACTTTTTAAAAGTGGTATTTTTTTTATTATTACAATTTGATGTGTCTTGCTATTTTGGATAAATTTAAAACGAGGCGGAAAATTTAATTTTTGGATGGTTGTGTTTCGAGTTTCAAGCCATAATGTTTCATTTAAAGTCAAAAACAAAAAGCAGAGACATTTAAACAAAAACTGAATTTTTCACAATATACAATTAAAAATTTTGTTAGTACAAATTTTAAAAGTATTATATAGATGCCAACAAACATAAATATAGTTGATACATTTCATTGAAATATTAACATAATTATGTAATGTTGATATATTAAGGTGGCTGGGTTCACTCGGTATCATTCTCGGCATCAGGGGAGAAACTTGCCTGGGTGGGGCATGATTCCAGCATTGGGATAGTAGATGCTGCCAATGGACAACAGTATGTATAATATTCTATTTTACACTTTTAACTTGGTAGTAAAAGAAATCTGTAAAAATTAAGTAAATTATAAAATTCATGTCCAGTCAACCCAAGTTTTGATTGTTAGCTAGAAAGGTAAGAAATACTAAGTATGGTAAGATCCTGGCAGAGGCATAACTTTAAGTCATGTGTATATATAACTCAGTTAAAGGCAAAAAAAAATGGCATTGTTTCTATTAAAGAAATTATACTGGAACTTATATTAAAATGATTATTCTTTTCACCAATTTCATTTTAATAAAACAATTTGGTCTTCAGGTTGTCTTTGATCAAGGGCTCATTTCTACCCTTTGATGAGATCACATGGGTCACTGAGAACAGTATTGTTGTTGTTGTAAGTTATTTTTGTGTATAATGAGAAAATGATTTACTCATAAATGATTTTATCATTTATGCATTTTAAAGTGGAGAAAAAAACAAACATTTTTTATCAGTTAAGGAATTTTTTGTGTATTATAAAGTTGCCTTTGATGTGAAATTAAATGAATGAATATGAAATTTCATTTTAAGCCAAAACTGAATAATAAAGTTCTTAATTACTTTATGTTAAGGAGATTTAAGTTAGCATTAAGAGGAGGTTGAAATAATTAGTTAATTATGTATATAGTTTATTCACTATAATATATTGAAGTTGTATAAAGTGTTATATTATGGTATCTGTTACTGTTATCAGGGATATGACTGCTGTCCCAAATTATTCACCCATCAATCTGGAGATATTAAGTTTGTACATGACCTTGATGTCCCAAGTGCTGGCGGGGAAACTAAAGTCACGTAAGCCAAAATAACTCAAATATATGTAGCAATATTTACCTTATTTTCTCTATAGATATTGCATTTATGTTTAAACTATATGAAATCATAGATAATGTCACTCATTTCATTTTCCATTTAAATTATAGTAAATTTCTAAAGACTGCTTTTCACTCTATAGATACTGTATAAGTGGTTAAGTTAGCGATGCCAATTCACGAAAATCGCTTAAATATCCTCCAGCGTAAAAATCAACCATCCTGTCATTAATGTAATGTGTGAAATTTTACATCTGCTAATTTTTCAACATGCTGAAATATCCACTATACAGTAAATGATAAATAAGTTTTAAATAGGCAGTGAATATTTCATAAAAATTGAAAAATGAAGAGAAGTCATGTAATGTTGCTTTTTATACAAGTAATATGAATGTTTGTTAATTTGTAGTGCCATGAGTCGTTTTAAGAGTTTGGACAAGAAGGGAGCATCTGGTCAAGCAACTGACACAGCACTAAAGACTCTACATCAGAATACCATCACGTAAGATATTTGACATTACTGTAAAATATTGCTTCCAGTGATAATGATATACTTGCAAATTATTTTAAACCACGCCTACATGTGTTAAAACACGCCTACATGCACATCTACATGATGTGATCTTAGTCTGCACTGTTGGTTGCTCTATTTTCATACTTTGAAAGTTCAATAACCTGATTCTACTACAAACTGTAGAGAAGTTGGAAATCTAATAACAATAATAACATTATTCAACAATAAACAGTAGCAATGTTGGCAATCTAATAACATTAATACCATTATTCAACAATAAACAGTAGCAAAGTTGGCAATCTAATAACATTAATAACCTTATTCTACCATAAACAGTAGCAAAGTTGGCTATCTAATAACATTAAAAACCTTATTCTACCATAAACAGTAGCAAAATTGGCAATCTAATAACATTAATAACCTTATTCTACCATAAACAGTAGCAAAGTTGGCAATCTAATAACATTAATAACCTTATTCTACCATAAACAGTAGCAAAGTTGGCAATCTAATAACATTAATAACCTTATTCTACCATAAACAGTAGCAAAGTTGGCAATCTAATAACATTAATAACATTATTCTTCCATAAACAGTAGCAAAATTGGCAATCTAATAACATTAATAAACATATTCTACCATAAACAGAAGCAAAATTGGCAAGGCAATCTAATAACATTAATAACATTATTCTACCATAAACAGTTGCAAAGTTGGCAATCAAATAACATTAATAACCTTATTCTACCATAAACAGTAGTAAAGTTGGCAATCTAATAACATTAATAACCTTATTCTACCATAAACAGTAGCAAAGTTGGCAATCTAATAACATTATTCTACCATAAACAGTAGCAAAATTTGCATGGCAATCTAATAACATTTAAAACTATTCTACCATAAACAGTAGCAAAGTTAGCAATCTCACTTTGGAATGCTTCAAGACAGACTTGTTGATTAATGATGAAATTTTGTAAACATATTGAGAGCTAGAATATGTAAAACCTGAAATTAAGACAGAAAAATATGAATAAAATCATCTAAGTTGTCCATGTTTTATTTTCATTGGTTTATCATGCAAGTGCACATCTATGTAAATCACTTATTTTTTGTTTTCATAGTTTAATTTGGCAAGTGTCCATTCGTGCAAATCGTCCATGTTTGATTTTCATTGTTTTATTTGACAATCTCCATCCTTGTAAATTATCCTTGTTTGATTTCATTGTTTTATTAGGCAAGTGTCCATTCATGCTGGATCTAAAAGTGATGCCAGTAAGATAACAACATCTGGAGCTGATGGACAACTCATTATCTGGGACCTGAAGGTAATTTATGATAATTATTTATAATCTCAATTCCTGAAAATAGCCTACCAGGCTGATAGGCTTAGTACAGAAGTTTTAAAATGTTCTGCTAAACTGACAGAAAGATGTTATATATAAGTATATATCAAAATGTCCGAGTAGCAGAAGAGGTGTGTCTTCAAATCACTTGCCTTTCAACGCTGTGGGTTTGAATTTAACCAGGATTCTTTCATGTAAGGAAGCCATCAAGCTAGCTTCGGAAATGTTGGTGTACTAGTTTGTTCCAGAAATAATACATTGGAGGGCACTAAAGGTCTTCCTCCACCAGTATAGGTAGAAAGTTGCCTCTTCTGTGTTGTTGTGACATAAAACCCTATGCAAAAAAGTAGAAAAAGGAATTCTTGTGCTTATGTATTTATGTTTATTATGTTATGTATTTGTCTTATTGTAATAAAGAAATTAGTTTGTGTAACCAGATGTCATGGGTGTTCATTAAAGAGTTGATCTGTTTTAACATTAAAATCATCTTGTGATATTATAAAAGATAGAAATGGCTTTAAAACTGATCATGGGATTCATACACTGCCTGAAACAAGGAAATGGACTATAAATGAAATTGAATAAACACACTCAAACTATGTAATTGTCTTTCTATTTTAGATTATATATCTTTCTATTTTAGATTATATATTTTCCTCCTTTGTATCACCTTTGAATCAAGTAGTCATTGCTGTATTTTATTATTTTAGAGTCTTGAGAAGTCAATGGCTGGCCTTAAAATTGCCTAGATGTCAGGAACTACCAGAAGTCTTTCAGCAAACAATTATACATTTTTTCTTACATGTGTAACACTTAACAATTGATATTATATGGACACTGTTTTCATCAAGAATTTATATTTATTTTGTATCATTCCAGTGTATAATAGTGAACAAATGTGTATAATATACATCAAACAAACATTACGACATTTACATTTTAATGACAAATTACTATGATTTGTCTTATAAATCTGTATATTTCATTTTGTTCCTTAAAATTTCTTCTTTTTTTTTGAAAATTGATTGCCAAACAAAGTTACTAATTTGTAGTAATTTCAATGAAATTCCTGTTTTTTTACTTGTACTGTTACAAGCCTTCCATTGTTGAATCAGTTGGCATCTCAGAAAAAAAGGAGCACGTTTGTGTTGAATGTGACCATTAATAAATATCTTGAACTATAATTTGTACTATAAACAATATACAACTTTCAAAAATTGTAACCACAAATGACTGTGTTCTAAATAATATATTTACCACAAGTTATCATGTATCAACAATAACCATCTGTTAATCATTTTGTAAATGAAAGTTTTGTACATTGTTACATGTTTAATCATGTTTCACCTTTTGTAGCTGAAAATCATATTGGACTTCTGTTTTTATTAAATATTAAAAAAATACGTTTGTTTTGGGATTGTTCTATACCTCCCGTTCAGTATGAACAACTTAAAAATGTAGACATAATGTAAGGAAAAAAAGGTCAGTAACACAGATGTAAAAGCCAAATCAACAAAATTTATTGATTTTTATGTCATCCTGTTCCTTCACTGTAGTTAAAGATGCAAAAATGACTCACAATTCTTGAAGAAATTTAACAACTGTAAAATTTAAATAGATACCTCAAAGCTTTTTTAGAGATAAACAGGCTAGAATTCTAAAACAGTCATTAAACATGAAGTTAAGTGTAGCTCTAGTCATTTGATTACAAACCGTTACAGGATTTCCATTTAAATTTAACCTGGAAATCTCTAATTCTGTGTAACACAGCAAGTTAAGGTATTCTTTTTCAAATATTTTTGTACTATAGACCAAACATTATGTATAATTAATTACTCATTAAAGACAAAGACGCATTATTCCTCGGAATCATTCTGAGTTTTATAACATCTAAAAAATGAATAAATGGTTTTTAGAGCATTTTAGATGCTAATCACCTGAAAAAGTAGCACTAAATGTGAAATCATGTCCCATTGCAGTAGCAAAATGTAAACTTGGTAGTATTTTGACTTCCATACAAAATTCTTTAACACTATAACTGTTCTAATTTCAAACGTTTATTGGCCAATAAGTATCTTTTAGTTACCGTAACTATAACAGGACACAAAAATACATGTAAATAGCTTTTAAATGATCAAATAAAAGCATTTATTATATACTTGAAAATGAAATATTGAGAAATATTGATTAAATAAAATGTGTTTTTTCATTTTCCATATTTTCACTGTAAAAAATTATTTTCACTGCAGTGAAACATTTTCAGTATTTTCACTGGTGTCTTACCGGACTACTTTCTTCTAAATTCTGCCAGTACACAAAATTTATGGAAAGTTTTTCAAATTGTAATGTATATAATAAACAGAAAATTCAAGTTTTTTCTATAAATACAGGATTTATTTTCATCTTGTGGTATGAAAATTATGATATTTCACTCGTGGCTATGGCCACTCATAAAAAATATTTATTTTCATACCACTCGATGAATATAAATCCTGTTTGATAGAAAAAAACTTAAATATCCTCCATTTCTGGGACATAATGCACCTTCAACGTCCCGACGTTCAAACTAGGAACTACTTCGCCTTTGTTCATTATGATGTTAGTGTTGTGGTAGGGAAATTTACGGTGGCACAAAGGTGACATGTGCGTTTTTATTTATCTCCTGCACACGAGATACTATGTTGTGGCCACGAGTCACTAAGTCGTGGCCACGAGATAGCTAAGTCGTGGGCACGAGATACTATGTCGTGGCCACGAGATAGCTAAGTCATGGGAACTAGATACTATGTCGTGGCCACGAGATAGCTAAGTCGTGGGCACGAGATACTATGTCGTGGGCACGAGATACTATGTCGTGGCCACGAGATACTATGTCGTGGCCACGGGTTTCTAAGTCGTGGCCACGAGACAGTTAAGTCGAGGGAATGAGATACTTAGTCGTGACCACAAGATACTATGTAGAGGCCACGAGTTACTTAGTCGTGGCCACCAGATTATTAAGTCGTGGGCACGAGATACTATGTCGTGGCCACGAGTTAGTAAGTCGTGGGAACAAGATAACTAAGCCGTGCGCACGAGATAATTAACTAATCAGATTACACTATATATATTATGAATTTCTTTAACTTAAAAAAATTCTGTGTTAAGTTTTACATGCAACATTTATCTTTTAAAATACTGAAGATATTCACTTGAACATGTCTTGAGGATCATATTAGAAAGTCACCTTCCAAGGCCCATCAGACATACATTTTGACTAAAGCCCTTTGTGGGGACAATTTTGTGATCGAATTGGTCAGTTTGTACGTACTACGGCCTGTTAATCTTGTTTATACGATAACATGAGAAGGAATAAGTCTTGGTTTATTTTATTTGGTAGGGACATTGCCCATGGACAGAAGATAGCCTATAAGGATGTTTGAGGTCAAGGTTACCATGACACTTCATGTAAAATCCTTGTCTGATTAATAATTTAGAAGGAATAAGTCATGGTTTATATCACCTAGATCATTGCACCTGATCAGTAGACCTAATAATTTCGAGGTCATTGGGTCAAATATCAGGGTCTCAATGACGCTAAATGTAATATTATTGACCAATCAATAACTTGTATAAATTGCACTTTTAAATGCAAGCGAAGTAGGGGCGTTCTTGCACTATAGCACATGTCTAGTTAAATAGGAAAATTCATATAATGGTGTAATCTGATTGGTTATTTATCTCGTGGCCACGACTTAGTAACTCGTGGCCACAACTTAGTAACTCGTGGCCACGACATAGTATCTCGTTCACGCGACTTAATTATCTCGTGGCCACGACTTAGTAACTCGTGGCCACGACATAGTATCTAATTCCTACGACTTAGCTTTCTCGTGGCCACGACTTAGTAACTGGTGGCCGCGATATAGTATCTCGTGCGCACGAGGTAAATAAAATCACACACATGTCACCTTTGTGCCACCTATTTGTGCCACCCTAGGAATGCGTTACGGCGGCAGTTGGTACGATTTTCATGCTTTGCGACTGATTGGCTAGAGATAACTTAAATTGCACTATTTGATAACGTGTTTAAATCGTAATAGTTGTCTGACCGCCGCGACAGTCTTTAATTATCCTAATTGACCAAGCAAAAAAAACAAAACAACTTATATTGTATGGAATTTTAGCATTTACATTTATTTGTAACGTTCGTCTATAAAATACAGTGGACTTTATTCTTTTAAAGCAAAACAATAAAGTAAGCGATGCGGATCCGGCTGGCGTATAGCAAGTACGTAACTAAGTTTAAACACAAAATACATAAATGCGAGCCTTAACAACGCACCCGGAAGTAATTCTAAATAGTGAAGAAAAATAATGTAGAAAATTATGTTTTAAGTGGTTGGATAGCGAAATTTGTAACGTGTAATATAAAACAGATGTAGATTGTTCAAGTACAATAAATCTAAAAAAAAAATAATAAGAAAATGAATACAACAGGGATGGAAACTTCTACAGATTCGGAATCAAGTCCAGAGTATATGTTTATAGGTCGGGATAACGATTTCGCTGTGTTAAATGAGAAGTGGTCTTCGTGTAGGATATTTGGAATATTTGGTTTACGTGCAGTAGGCAAATCAAGATTCGTGAGAGAGTTTATCAGACGGAAACATATTGATGTGTTACCCGTTCATCTAGACACGGTGAACGATGCCCGTTCTCTTTATTCTGTCCTATGTGCTTCACTTAATACAGAACCTGAGATTCAAACTGTATCATCAATAAGATGGATGAAACATGTAACGGACGAGCTCAAAAAGAATTCAAATGACAGACAATTGGCCGTTTTCTTTGACAACGCGGAGGATACCATTGAAAGTTCATTTAAGGACAATCTTTTGTCATTGATTGTTGCTGTAGCCAAACAATGCCCACGAGTGAAGATCTTTGTAACTTCTACTACAAGAATTCAGTTTAGTCAACTTAGCAAGGTTTATTGCTTGCATGAATTAAAACCAATGAGGTACACGGAATCTAGAATTATGTTACATAATATTGCCCCTGATATTGACCTTGGTACATGTGAAGATGTTATAATAGACCTTAGTGAAGGACTTCCTTTGTTGATATTAATGATTGGTGCAGAGCTGAAAATTAATTTGATATCTCCAGAACAAATGGTTGACCTTTTGTTGCTCAGCAGACTCGAAACCCTCAGCAAGGAACACTACCCGGTTGAAGATAGAGTAGGTATGACTCTTGTTTTTGTTGTTCTTATAACAAAACAAACAAACAAAAATAAATAAATTGCAGATATTTTATTTTAGTTTTGCAGCGATATAAAAAGGCCTAAGTCACCAGACACAAGAAATGCGAGCATATAAATATGTTCAAACTTTGTAATCTCTGATTTTATTTTGGTATTGAAATCGCTAAAATAGCAATATTTTATCATTCAAAACAGGACGTATATATTTTGCACAGAGTTTAAGCTTGAAGAGTTCGCCTAATATTGACATTTCTCTTTATCTTATATAGTGAAATGAACACTATGATAATCTTTGTTAAATTGTTGTCTATATAGTGGAAGTATATATATTTCAGCTGATGTTTACAGAAGCTTTATTCAGCGTTTATCGACTGTATATCAGCAGTACTTGTCCAGTCTTAACTATATACCTGGGTCGTTTAATGCAGAAGAAGTCAGTGGACTTTTAGGTATGACTGAGTGTTCTCTAGCGATTGGCTCACCGTTACAGTATAATAATTATTGCTATGTAAATCAATTGTCAATTTATTGTATAGGCACCAGTTTTAAGATTAAAAAAACAAAAAAAAAACAAAGTGAAATCTAATGCTGATCAGTTCAAATAGCTGGTAGCTTAATTATCACAAACATGTATAATGACCTTACTCCATCAAACTTTTAAAGGGACTCCACTGAGGTTTTTTGACATGATGGGACTGAAAATATTTTTTTCCAGATAAATGTACCATTTGATGTAGGTTTAGACCACAAATCTTTGTGCAAACTTTCAGATCATTCGCGTTCTTCGTTTTTCCAGAATAATTATTCAAATTGTAAAACAATGACCCAAAATGAAAGCGTTTAAACGCTTTTCAATCAAATTAGGCTAAGAAAAGCATAAAACTACGAATTTCAATTAATTTTAAAGTATTTTTCTTAACTATCTTTGCATATATTTCTGTTTAAAGTGCCCCAGTTCATTCATGTAAGAAATTCTAATGTTATGTTTTTAGGCTTTTAAACCTCAGTGGAGTCCCTTTAACTTTTTATTCCGTTTGTTGTGTTCATTTTACATGTATTTTGTGCATACACACTTTTTTACAGTGCACTACAGCAATAATCTGAAAACGATATACATATGTATTGTTTAAATTGTCTAATATAGCAGTATTGACCTTACTTACTGAATTCACTTAGTATCTTCGTTTTTATTCAGATTTTGGAAGTGTAGCAATAGCAAAGCAACAAGGATTAAAGCAAATACTTATCAGAAACGTGATTAACTATGACACGTCATCCCAGCGTTTCAACATTCAGGGAATACTTCGAGAGGTGATCAATGCAAACTTTGTTATCAAAGATTTGCCAGGTAAAAGTTCTCTTCTTATCTTATTTTAGCAAAATAACATTAAACTATTTATCATAGCTATAAATAGATATCCCCTTTTAGGGGCTAACTCCTTTGTGACGGTTGTACCACCCAGATATGTTTTGCTTATGCTTTATGACATTTAATACAATTTTATGGCATTTTACAAAAATGCCCTTTTTCCATTCAAACATATCTCTTTTGTATACCCTGTATCCATGCAAGTTACTGCTTGCTGTGACTCTTTCCATGTACAAAATCATAAAAATAGATGTGGTGACTTTGAAGCGTAAGAAAGGCTATACAGTTAGAAAAATAAGTACAGCAGTAATATAAGTGTATATCATACAAGATCAAAATATAATTACAGTGAAATGGTTTATGTCAAATTAACTGGTTTTGACAAACTTATAACGACGAATTTAATATATTACCAACGGTTTTGAAATATTTGTTGTCAATGAATTATACAGTCAACGCAGTTACAGTGTACATTAATAAACTCTAGCTATCAATGTTTGAACTACATAGTCAACAAGATGATATCCATTAGTTATTATTTCTTTTATTTTAAGCTATAAGGATGAGATATTGTAAAGTGTTCACTAAAGTTATGAAAGATATCGCCAAGAAAATGCCTACAGATGAATATACACGAGCACGGTCAATATTTGTTGATGAACAAGCAAACTTACGGAAACTTCTATACGAAGTCAACAATATCAAACAAGAAACATCTACATACCCATTCTTTATCGAAATGGCGTCATCTTGTACTGAGCTCATCGAAATATTTATGCCAAGTAATTTTAAACATCTTTATTATTGTTAATTACACAAATTGAATTTCACAAACATGTCACTTGGATAATTTGTTGCATGCATGCATTGGACTGCACGAAGAAAGAATGGTTTTTTGATCAGATTGTATACAGTAGATGACTATTATACATACTATGCTGAGAATACTAATAAGTAATAAGTTAGTTTTCAAAGTTTTATTCAATATTCCATTAGGCTAAAAAGCCCATGAGGATAAACATAGCACAAATATCTACATACAACGAACAGTGCATGAATTTAACAAAAAGCAATATGACACCCATACATTCCCAAAAAGAATCTATATGGGAGGAGGTAACATATATAAACTTGTATTTAATTTAGATACATATAAAAGAAATGTAATTATATACATATAATGGCTGCACGTATAAATCATTTTACATCTTAACATATTGCTCTGTTATATATATACATCATTATTTTCTCTACCCTACCTTACACGAAAATGAAATGCAAGGTAATGATATATATCCTTTCATAATACAGGTTGAAAAATAATGTTACCAATAAACATCTTCTAACCTTTAGAAAAATGCGAAAACAAAGGTTATAAGACAAAGGTAAATAATCTTACATGAATAATTTTTACAAACATTACTTATATTCTACCATGTGCATATTAAATTCATTTTCTTTATTAGTTACTGAAAAAATATTCATTTCTGAGTATGAAAGCCTTGTGAATAAATAACCCTAATTTCTGTACAACTTTTTTGTCTTCAGATTTTAACAATTCAATAAACTTTATCATATTTGGGCGTTTCCAGAACTTTTTATTAATATATTGTTTTCTTAGATTAATAAATAAGGGACATTCCATGATAAAATGATACTCATCTTCCAGGGAATTACAAACACTACATTTTCTTTCATTAACTGGTGTTCTGATTGGCCTTGTCCACCTTCCTGCTTCTATATTTAATCTATGAGATGATACTCTTAATCTGGTCATTGATTGACAAAATTTGTTAACATTGAAAAATTCTAAATAAGGCTGAAATTGAAAACAAGCTATGTTTCTATAAAATAAGGCTCTGCTTGATTCATTAATTCTACTATACCAGTTTTGTATAAATTGATCATTTATTCTTTGTTTTACAAAATACAAAAATAAATCAATGTTGCCAACACTTTGCTGTAGCCAAGCATCAAAGAAACCAAGAGTACATAGTAATTCTTTTAATGATGAACACCAGTTTAATCTATTTGGAAAATTCTCATAATCATTTTTTAACATATGATAAACTCTATGAACATATTTGTTTTCATGTGAATGAATAATTTTTATCCAAAATTTGATAATATTTAAAAAATGTGTACATTTTAAGCTTGTTCTACCTAATTCCCCGTATACAAAAATCATTTTGTGTTGTTTTCTTTACCGCTAAGATTCTTTTACAAAACTGAAGGTGAATTCTTTCAATTGCCACATTATTAGTAAAACCACATACTTCGCTGCAGTAATTTAAAATAGGGGTAACAAGTTTGTCAAATAAATCCAATTTATGTTTAGGAGATATAAAAGTGAATTTATACAAATATCTATTTAATCTAAATATCGCTTTTTGTGCTTGACCTGCTAATGTATCTTGTGCTGTTGAAAGTGATCCACCACATGTAAACACTATACCTAAATACGAAAATTTATTTACAATTTCTACTTGCTCACCATCGAAATAGAACTCTAAATTTCTTGGTAAATTACCGCCCTTTTTGAAAATCATTACTTTAGTTTTTTGAAACATTAACTTTCATCTTCCAAGTTTTACAATAATCATTTAGTAGATTCATACACTTTTGTAATTCTTCAGCTGAATTTGCAAATATAACAATGTCATCAGCATATAACAATAAAAATATCTTAAACCATATTAACATCAATACCATTTTCTCCATTTTGCAGAAAAATGTCTTCTATATCATTTATAAATAATGAAAATAAAAAAGGAGATAAACATTCTCCCTGTCTAACGCCTAATGTACATGTGAATTCATCACTTAACTCATTTAAATATTTAACTCTTGACTTAACAGACTTATACATAGACATAATAATATCTAAAATTCTACCCCTGATTCCTAATTTTATCATTTTATACCATAAGTTATCTCTTGTAACATAATCAAAAGCTTTGCTAAAATCTACAAACAATGTATACAGTTTTTTACCTTGATTTAATACATGATTTATTAACCCACTCAAAACAAAAACATTATCAGTAGTACTCATATTAGAACGAAATCCAGCTTGGGCTTCGACATACACATTATATTTTTCCGCCCAACATTTTAGCCTGTTATTTAAAATACGAGTAAAGAGTTTACCCAAACAACTAAGTAATGTAACACCTCTATAATTATCTACATTATTAATACTGCCCTTTTTATGCAAAGGAATAATATAACCTTGAGACCATTTTTCTGGAAAATATCCTAATTCAAAAATTTTATTGAATAAAATAGATAACACGGGAGCAAGTATTTCTTTACCAGCAATAAAAAATTCGTTTAAAATAAGATCCGGACCACCCGATTTATTATTTTTAAGTTGTTTTATTCCTAAATAAATTTCATCTATTGAAATGATGGTATTTAATTCTTCGAACATAATTTTAAACTCATTATCACAATATCTTTCATTAAAATATAAAATATCTTCGTCAGGATTAAAAAATACATCATTTGGATTATTAACAGCTTTAAAATAACTCTCAAAAGACGATAATTGTATATTTGATCTTTTTATACCTGCAGACTCTTTCAACATAGACCAATAAAGACGTGCATTTTTAAATCTGCTATCTAAAAGCTTACATGTTTTCTCCTTATCATAATTGTATCTGTTTTTTCTCAAACATGATTTATATTCTTTTCTAGCAGTTACCATATTTTCTCTATTTTCATCCGAATGAAATAATCTATATTCATTAAGAGTATGTAAAAATTTATTTCTCTTTTCATAACACTCTTCATTAAACCATGGACTATCATTCTCACAATTATAAACAATCTCGTCCGACTGTGGTTTTAATTTCTTTTTTAAAATAGGTGATGCTACTTTATCTAATATATTTTCAAAATTAGTAAGACAATTATCAATACTATCATATGTACAGCAATTTGAAATTTCATTTGACAACAAATCAATACTTTGTGATACTTCATTATCACTCAAACTGTCAATAAATTCCATTTTCAAACTATTTTTCCATATGTATTTTGATTCAACAAAATTTTGTACTTGATTGTGTATTTTAACATTCTGTAATGTACAAATTCTATTAAATTTAAAGCAACATGATAAAATACAGTGATCCGATAAAATATTTGGATCATCAACTTTGAAACTGTCAATTAACGTAAACATGTCTTTCCTGCATAATACATAATCTATCAAACTGCAACCCCGATGATTAACAAATGTATATTTGCCTAAATTTAAATCTTCATCTATTCGACCATTTAAAATTCTTAAACCAGTCTGTCGGCAAAAATCTAATAATAGCCGTCCATTATTATTAACATGACCTTGATCTTGAGACGACCGCGGCATTTCTGTATCCACTATATAATCTTCTGGTAGCATAGTCATGTGATCGCATATGTCATGTGACACGTAGTCGGGAAGGGTAGATGTTCGCGAGTTAAAATCACCAAATAAGGCCAAATAGCAATCATTTTCACAGTTATTTTCTCCGTATACTACGGAATCTAATAATCGATCAAAAATACAGTTTTCAACTACCGATTGTCGGCTGCTGTCGTCGGGCAAAACATAACATAACCCGACCAAAAGATCTTTTTCAATACAGAGTTTTTTCAGCAGAAATTTTGATCCATATAATATCATCTTGACTTGTAAATAACAACGTGTTTTCGGATACAAGATAGTCTTTTACATAAATGATAACACCCCCGGAATTGCGTTTACATGTACTCTTAGTCAGAGTTCTGTTTAAAAACGTAATGCTCAAACCCTTCCATATAAATATCTGAAAATTCATTTGTCCAAGTTTCTGTAAACATAATAATGTCATTTTCTTTAAAGATATTTATTAATAACTCTGATTTTAATTTATTTATTCTTTTTGTAACTAGACCTTGCACGTTTAAAAGTACACAGCGCAAGCGCACCTCCTCCAGTTCATCCTATATATTTTTAGACACATGACCTTGCTCAGCTGACAATGGGTTTTCCACCTGTCTATTATTAGCATTGGTGGTTTTTTACTTCTATTATTAGATACTCCTCTATATGGACTTGCTGACACTGATCTACGCATACTACGGTTGTTTGCACGAGAAACATGAGATACTCCTGATTGTTTTTCTGTATGTGTCGAGCCATTTTTGTGTACTGAATTCAAGGAAGTGTTTACAAATTGTGTATCGTTACTCAAATTGCTTGGATTATTTGTCTTTTGGTGTTTGTCAGTTGGGACTGAATTATCTTGTGATAAAACAGAGGTGAGTATTTTATTTAAATATTGAGTTTCATTATTAACAACAATTGCACTCGATATTAAATTTGCTGTATCAGACAGGGATGTACTAGTGAATGTGTCATTCTCATTTGAAAAAGTATTAATGAGGCATGATTCGCTGGTATGTGTTGGATCTGAGACAAAATGTCCGTTGCTGTTCTCTTGAGATAATGTAAAGCTCGAACTCGCACGGTCCCCAGTATTTGTGTTCGTATACGATTTGTGTTCTGTATTTACACCGTATATTTCTGTGTTATTTAATGTGTGAGGCTGCTGATGGGATTCATAGTGCCTCAACTCAGTATCTTGCTGTACAAATTGATTTGTGTCTTTGTGCACATGTGATTTTGGTACTGGAGCCTCTGCCATATTCTGTGGCGTGACGTTTTCAAATTGCGGATTGGAATGCTGCATATGTATAGGAGTGTGTGTCGGATTATCCTGAACCGGCTTGTCAGTGCTGACTTTACTTTGTCGAATGGGTTCAGACATCTGATGTTGGTTACTGTGATCATTTTGAGCGCCAATATATTCTATATCCTGTAATCGATCTCTTCTCAGGTAGTGGTTCCAATCCGGTAATTCACCATGAATTAAGTGACCGTCCATTATCAGTTTTGCCGGATAAACGATGACAACTTTGGACCTCGGGTTTGAAGCTCTATAATGTTTAAATTTGGGCCAAAGCCTTGACCTTGCTTCCTGAATTTCTTTCGGAAAGTCATAATCTATTGAAATTCCTGTCTGAGCATATTTCAATTTACTGACCCTACTCATAATCAGCTCCACATTTCCATAATCACGAAAGTTAGCTATGATAGGTCTTTTGCTAAAATTTTTCCCTTGGACTCTACTGCCTAATCTATGTGCTCTAGTAATATAAATATCACTTTCACGCACGTCCAAGCTTCTCTCTAGGAAGTCAACTAATATTCTATAGCAGTTCTCATTTCTGTTTTCGGTGAAACCACGAAAAATTAAATTGTTTCTACGTGATCTAGCTTCCAAGTCTATTGATTTGTAAGCGATTGTTCGTAAAAGGGATGTCTGATTATTTGTTACATTCATAACATGACCTAGTTTATCGTTCACCTGTGACAACGATTTCTGGAATGTTAGCATACTAGTGCTACAACTAACCTGCTCGTTCCTTATGAATTTCAATTCATCGAAAATAACTGTCAATTTCTTATCAATGGATGAATTTTCGAATTCTTGGCGTGATATACAACTTGTATCAGAGTTCAAAATTGATGTTACCTCCATTTCCCGCTCACCTAAAATTTCAAATTGGTTTCTCACGGGCACTTGAAAATTCGTAATTAAATCCATGTTCTTGCGTAAAATATGTCCAAAACACTATATATTGTTTACGAGAAATATACTGTCATAGAATTACACATTTCAGCAGAATCTTATACTTCTTAAAAGCGTAATATCCAAATATTTTTAACTGATCACAAACGCACATACACTGTCCGCCATATTTAATTATTTATAGATATACCATGGCTGTGTTGACGATTTCTTGGTTATTTGCTTGTTTTGATTGATTGATTGATGATTGATTGATTGATTGTGTTTACAATATTCATCAGGTGAAAGTGAACAATTTTACAATGGCTGCCTAAGATTAGCGGATAGATATGGAAAGGACGTTGACAAGGCTGCCGTATTGATAGCTGTTGGAACCATGGAAACTTACACAAAGGTTGGTGAAAAATTTACCTCAAATAATTTTTATATTATTAATAACATTTTGCTTTATGTTTTACTTATGTTCATTGAGAATTTTATAAATTGTTGTGTCATGAAATGTTGTGTAATGAAAAAATGTCTTTTTTCTAGGGCGACCTTCACACCGGTATAATGAAGTACAAATCGGCGTTAGATATCATTGAAGATAAAGGAGAACGTATGCAACTATAGTCTGTCCCATCAAATTTGAACATTCCATTTTTTATTTAATATAATAGTAAAATCATTTAAATTAATGTCATGTTAACCCTGACGCCAATATCTCTAGGCATGTTTTTCATTTTTTTCATAAAGTCAGTAATATAGTCAAAATGTTAAAATTATATTTTTTCCCGTAGACTTACGTTGAAACCTGACGTGACGTTCATTTCAAAATGGCGGCGCCCATATAGACGTCATTTAGGGTTCGTCTCACAATTAGCGTGAAATGTACTCGGTAATTATAAAAAAAAATATTATTCTTATTTACTTACTGATCAATAGCTAAATGTTATCATTAAAATGAAAAATGACAACAGAGTTGGTGTCAAAAAGGCAATTGTACTAGCAAACCATTATTTAAAATAATCAAAATAATCAAAACAAGTGAAAATATCAGTAAGCTTTATAAATTCTAACACACAAAGGTTAATAAATTACCATGATATACTGTCGTATTTTATATTCTTTAAGATAAAAAGAACAGTGCAGTGATTTGATTAGATAGCTTTTCAATTAAACGCGTATCTTGAATACCGCAACGCGTCTTAGGGGAGCGGGAATACTAGCTAGAATACGCTTATTTATGTTTAATTTACATAATTCTGTAGTTGTCTGAATTATGTCCATAAGTGTGTATCACGTCTATTCAAAATTAAATAAATTGACCAGGTTCGATGGGATACAAAAATATGTTACCCTTCTTATTTCGGGTGCGATGTTTGTGCGCTAAAACTTTTCGTATAGGTTTTAACTTTCACAAGAAATCGCCAACAAATACTACATTATCATGCAAATCTGACAAGAAATATAAAGAAAGGAAAACTGATTCATTACACGTTCAGCATTGGTTTGCTTGTTACCACAGTGTCTACTTTAACTAACTCCCTCGCTAACGAGAGAACACAGACTCGCGTTCGAGGAAAATGTAAATTATAAGAATATAATATCATGCTTTTTAGTTTAAGCAATCAAACGTAGGCCTATACACTTTTAGCTCGTAAATACAGTTTTAACTTTCCGTCTCACAATTCAACAAAATGTCCAGAAATACTAGCAGTGGTTTGATATTATTAAGAGTAAATTTGAATTGGAGTGTTCAATGAGCGACAGTAAGTGTTTTTTTGTTGTTGTTTTTTGTAGACTCAAAGTGTTACATATAATTATTTTGCTATGAAGGGTAGATCGAGTCAAAGAGAAACACCGAGTGACGTTCTCAATAATTTTAGCTTTACTAAAATTTGAAATATTCAGTGAAAAAACAATACTGTAGAGCTAGCATAATTTTCGCGGGAGGAAAAATACCGCGTATTGTATATTTTGTAGCTTAAAGAGTAGGATTTACAGAAGTCTTGAACAACGAGATAATATGTAGGCAAATTTATTCTGAGAAATATATAAAATAGTTTAAAAACTCTTGTCAATGCCGCAACTGGAATCATCCATAACTGGAAGCGCGAGGTATTTTTGTTACGTCATATATTTCGTAAATTGTTGTTGACGTAATAAAGTTTTTTTCGTCAGGAATCCATAAGCATTGTGATGTTGACAACTAAAATTGATGGGCCGTTCTTGAATTATGGATTTGGAACATGCTTAATTATGATGTGTTTCATTTACATATTTCATTTGCTAACCCAGATAACTCCACAAATTGAACAATGTTTTAATAATGAAAAGGATTATCAGTTTAAAAAATCTGGATCATCAAAAGTGTAGGAGTCAAGTCATTCAGGATTTTTGATCTACAGTACGGAACTTGACAGAAACTGGCAATGAAAGAATCTTCAGAATGCGAATTTGTCGTGACTTTTATAAAGTTCATAGGGATTCTATTCAGCTTAAAAGTAAGTGCAATTTCTAGATCTATTCCATGTGACTCAGTGTTCTTGTTGCTTATTTTTCATTTTTTAAAGTTTTCCATCATGCATTGCAACTAAACTGTTACATCTTGTAGGTCCAGCTTTGTAAAATAATCATGAAACGACCCCGAGAACATCATGTATATTTTAGAAACATGACACGTGCTTTCTCCCGTTCATCTTCAAATGAAGAGTACTTCGGCAATGGCTACGAAAAATAAACAACAGAGATTTACCATAGAGAAATCAAAATTTGCTTTCACAAGAAAAGGAGAAACTTTAGAGTAAAATCCTAAAAAGTCTCGAGGGTGACTTTTTTTTAGTTTACAAAAAAGTTTTATTTTTTATTCAACGTCGTTTTGTTAATTCATACCAGGCAAAAGTTCATTTCCATTTTTAATGGGACAGACACCCTCTATCAGAAAATGGGATATAATTTATTCAAACAAGGCGATTGTATGGAAGCCATAAGGTAATTACTCTAATTAATAGTCTTATAAAAATAATATGCGTGTCTTCTTCTTCTGAAGATTTACGGAATGTAAGTTATAATATTAAAATGTAATGAAATTTTGACATACAAATGAGCCGCGTCACGACAAAACCAACATAATGGGTTTGCGACCAGCATGGATCCAGACCAGCCTGCCCATCCGCGCAGTCTGATCAGGATCCATGCTGTTCGCTATCAGTTTCTTTACTTGTTATAGGGTCTGTAAGCGAACAGCATGGATCCTGATCAGACTGCGCGGATGCGCAGGCTGGTCTGGATCCATGCTGGTCGCAAACCCATTATGTTGGTTTTGTCATGGCGCGGCTCAAATGTATCTTGACAGAAAGCGTAATTAAGGTGCTCAATCTAAGCAAGCGTCATTTTTGTCATTGCAGGCTGTATAAAAAGTCGTTGGGTATATCGTCAACTGCTGGAAAGGACTTTGAACCATTGACATTACAATCTGTTAGTTACTTAGGGGTTGTGCACGTAGTTCTTGGTAATAACTGGCTTATGTTTCTTCAGAATCAATATTATCCAATGCAACAATTCACCTCACCAACCATGTCAGATGTATACAAGTTGAAGCTATTATATGAATACATTTAGTCTGTACTTTTTTCTTATTGATGTATGGATAATTCATGACCAATGTACTGTACATATGATGATCATGTACATGAAATATCTTTGTTCTCATTTATTAACAAAATGTACGATATAATTTCTTTACTATTTAAATTATTTTGCATAATACTTGAACCGCTTTTATTGAACGTCTTTATTTCCTTACAATTCATTCTTCAATTTAGGAACTTCTATATTTTAGGTAACTTTGATCTTGGTGAAAAATACCACTCAACTTGCTTGCGACGAAGCGAAGCGCTCCAGGGGAAAATTCACCCTAATGTAGGTAATGCTTTAAACCGGATGGGATTGCTTTATGACCAACGGGGCGACTCGAAAACAGGACTGGAGTTCTTCAAGCAAGGTCTTGAAGTAAAGAGAAAATCAAAAGCTGCGCCTATATCTGTTGTATATTCATTAAGCAATGTCGCCAATGGTTACAAAGATATGGGTATGTTCAAGGAAGCTCATAAGCTTGTTGATGAAGCCTTTGCTATTCTGCAAAATCAGAAAATGAACATGCTTGATGGATTTTCTCTTCTGTATAATACTAGAGGTAAAATATATGCAAGGGAAGGAAAATTTAAGGAAGCATCTGAGGCGTATGGCAAAACTGTGGAAATAACCAGGCAGGTAGAACAGACCAGTTATATTTACATGAAAAGATTGGTTAATTTGGCGGAAGTCCTAGAAAAGAGGTGTAAATTTGCCTCTGCATTAAAACTTACAAAAGAAGCAATAGGATTAAAAGATAAAGTTATAAAGGCACTTCCACACAACTCCATTGTAACCGAATGTTTACAATGTATGTCTCGAATATACGACCTTACTGGACAACATGACAATTATAAAGAAACTTTGTACAAAATAGATAAAGAATGTAATAGACTTGCTAAAGAGTGTACACTACTAAACAATCAGCAAAAGCTAGACCAAGTTAATGAGACCATTCAAGACTTACAGATGAAGTTTAAGAATCTGAAAGTGTAGAGAAAAAAAGTGATTTACTGATCAGTTGGCAATCATGTGAGCGTAATAATATCTGATAATAGCTGTAATACACAAGAAGCACGATGTAAAGGATCACATTATTTTGCACACCAACTATCCAAATTTTAGGGGTTTTGATATATAGAGGTCAGAGTGACAAACATTATCCACAGGATATGATTTAAATAACGTTTGTAGAGGTCCGCTAGCACATGCTACATGCCAATATAAACGTTTGTTTGTATGTATCACCAAAGCGGTTAGTTGAGAGTTGTATTGCAAATAACCGTTTATAAACGGCCATAAAGTTCCAAACTTTCTTAATTGGAGAAAAAATCAAATAACTTCATAAAGTTTGACATAAGCCATGTATAGTTCTAGTTTATAAAATAGCGACATTACAAATGTGCATTAATATTATTTCCAGGACCAAACCAAGGACCCGATAATCGGTTTCATATCATGTTGTAGAGGATCACAGTTATGTTACAGGCCAAATATATACTCTATACCACGTTGATTTAAACAAGACATAAAGTAAATGTACACATTAAACATTAGATTTTGTCTGAGAAAGTCATTACAGTTGTGCCCCTTCCATTTTTACATACGACCATTTTAAGTCTTACACCACATAACTGGCGACGACAATTTTGAATTTAGAGGTAAAGTTTGAACATTAATAGGCATGCGTCAAAATAGTCTGCATATGTTAAACTAAAGTATAATGGAATATTGCCTTGGCAATGTGTTAAACTAAAGTTAAATGGCATATTGCCTTGACAAAAGTGATATCCAAATAATGTTTTGTCCAGCTTTAGACATAACAGTCCAGTAAGGAATGCTTTATTTACAGATACATGTAATTGGTAAGACCTGAATTCCATCTTCAATCATATCTACTTCATAATCTGCATCGAATATGAAAATAGGAAAACATTAACAAGAAACGCATTTTCTGTATTCAGACAAAATCTTTATTCAAGAAGTCCAAAATGACAAGATAACAAAATCATGCATATTCCAAGATTCTACTGAACCATCTAGGGGATAAGTAGATTCAAAATCTAGACTTCAGTCTACCATTCCACTTATAACCAAATAAACATGTCAGTTTTCATTTTGAACATAAGGACATATAACACCCACATGTAATTACAGTCCTTATGCTTTAAATCCCCAACTTCACACAACTTCCTCTATTTCTCTGAACATGTGAAGTACCATTCATAATATGATAAAACACATCTATGTCAAGTAATGATCCAATTCTCTATTGCTATTGGTTATATAGAATCCCTGTAACAAGTTATATAACCTTACAGATACACCAGTGTAGTAAATCCTCTAGGCAATTACTGTTATATTACAGGTTTAAAGAGATGTATCACACCTCACCATGTATACCAATAGTATAACCAGAGCAGATTACTGAGAAACGTGTCTTACATTAACATATGGAAACTGACATCTTTAATGGTTATGTAAAAACAGCAACTTGAAGTCTATATAAACTTTAGAGACAACTATAATGTTATACAAATGTCCATAAATACTTGATTAAAGTATTGACAATACAAATGTAAAACACCAATATTTATATATATGTAGCTAGGATTCTAACCTCAAAAGCAAATTAAAATCACCAAAGCGATTAACAATGTAAAACTTGACATGGACAATATTTCAAAAATAAGAAAAAAAAGTGTAGACTTAACACCATCAAATGATATCAAAATAATCATCTGAATTAAATAAAGTATTACCTCTTAACTTCTTAAGAAAGGGCAAACATGAACTTTATAACATCTTAAAATGAGTAAATGTTTTTTAGAGCATGTAAGATGCTTATCACCTGAAAAAGTAGCTCTAAATGTGAAATTATGTCCCATAACAGTAGAAAAATGTAAACTTAGTAGTATTTTGACTTCCATACAAAATACTTTAACACTATAACTACTAATTGCAAAAAACAACAGAGCGAAAAACGTTTATTGGCCAATAAGTATCTTTTAGTTAACTATAACATACATGTAAATAGCTTTTGAATAATCAAATAAAAGCATTTCTTGGACATAATGGACCTTCAACGTCCTGACGTTCTAACTAGGAACTACTTCACCTTTGTTCATTATGATGTTAAGTGTTGTGGTAGGGATATTTGTTAAATTGTTTGGAAAATTCTTTTAAAATCATAGTGTTATCCAAGAAATCTTCTATTTCAAAATGTGCACCTAAAATGCACCAGAAGCCACCATATAACATGAAGATTTCATTTTTTTCATGGGGGGGGGGGGCATATAATGGGGGAGGGGTTAATTTCGACTTTCAAACAAAAGCCCCCAAGCCAAATATTTCTGGATCCGGCCCGTAAGCGTATCCAACTGTAACTTATAAATGTGCATGAAGATCAGTTTTTACATATTGTGTGTCTGTTTTTTCTTCTACTGTTTGCTTGCATTAGCATTGCTTCAAATAGATCAGAACTGGACATTTCCCATCATAACTTTATCATACGACCAGTTATTTAGGACAATACAGGAAAATAAAAAACAATTCTAACGTTCTGACCAGGAGTAAAGCCTTAAAGTGAATTGGTCTATAATGGAAGGTATGTAATACAATAATAATTATGTTGATATCATTTAGTATCAGGCATAACAACAAAACCACAAAATAATTAATATTCTTGGCAGGTGTGAGATACATGATGTGATCTTAGATATATTTTTGATAAAAATTAAATCTGTTACGATGAGATATGCTAAATCTGGCTAACAGCAACAGGTATATTGAGCTGGCTAAATGTTAGTGTGGGCAATAAAACACTATTAGGGGATAGGATTTATGCTGGAACATGATTTTGCAATCACAGAACGTTGGATTTTAACGATACTACATCCTTGCGGAATGCGTTACGACGACAGTTGGTACGCTTTTCATGCTTTTAAGGCTGCTTGGCTACTGTACTATTTGATAACGTGTTTACATCGTAATAGTTGACTCGACCGCCGCGGCAGTCTGTAATTATCCTAGTGAAACAACTTATATTGCACGGATTTTTAGCATTTACATGTATTTGTAAAAATACAGTGGACTTTATTTTTTAAAGCAAAACAATGAAGTAACCAGCGATGTGGATCCGGCTGGCGTGTATAAGTTTATACACAAAATACATAAATGCGAGCCTTAACAACGCACCCGGAAGTAATTTTAAATAGTGAAGAAAAATCATGTAGAAAATGATATTTTAAGTGGTTAGATGGGGAAATATGTAACGTGTAATATAAAACAGATGTAGATTTTTCAAATACAACAAATCTATAAAAAAAAATAAGAAAATGAATACAACAGCGATGGAAACTTCTATAGATTCGGAATCAAGTCCAGAGTATATGTTTATAGGTCGGGATCACGATTTCGCTGTGTTAAATGAGAAGTGGTCTTCGTGTAGGATATTTGGAACATTTGGTTTACGTGCAGTAGGCAAATCAAGATTCGTGAGAGAGTTTATCAGACGGAAACATATTGATGTGTTACCTGTTCATCTAGACACGGTGAACGATGTCCGTTCTCTTTATTCTGTCCTATGTGCTTCACTTAATACAGAACCTGAGATTCAAACTGTATCATCAATAAGATGGATGAAACATGTAACGGACGAGCTCAAAAAGAATTCAAATGACAGACAATTAGCTGTTTTCTTTGACAACGCTGAGGATACCATTGAAAGTTCATTTAAGGACAATCTTTTGTCATTGATTGTTGCTGTAGCCAAACAATGCCCTCGAGTGAAGATCTTTGTAACTTCTACTACAAGAATTCAGTTTAGTCAACTTAGCAAGGTTTATTGCTTACATGAATTAAAACCAATGAGGTACACGGAATCTAGACTTATGTTACATACTATTGCCCCTGATATTGACCTTGGTACATGTGAAGATGTTATAATAGACCTTAGTGAAGGACTTCCTCTGTTGATATTAATGATTGGTGCAGAGCTGAAAATTAATTTGATATCTCCAGAACAAATGGTTGACCTTTTGTTGCTCAGCAGACTCGAAACCCTCAGCAAGGAACACTATCCGGTTGAAGATAGAGTAGGTATGACTCTTGTTTTTGTTGTTCTTATCACAGACAAACAAAACAAACAAACAAACAATAATTTGTCGATATAGATATACCAATAAAAGAATAGATTTTATTTTAGTTTTGCAGCATATAAAAAGGCCTAAGTCACCAGACACAAGAAATGCGAGCATATAAATATGTTCAAACTTTCTAATCTCTGATTTTATTTTGGTATTGAAATCGCTAAAATAGCAATATTTTTTCTTTCAAAATAGGACGTATCAATTTCACAAATTTTGCACAGAGTTTAAGCTTGAAGATTTCGACTAATCTTGACATTTCTCTTTATCTTGTTCAGTAGTATGTACCCTATGATAATTTTTGTTAAATTGTTGTTTATATAGTGGAAGTATAGATCTATATATATTTCAGCTGATGTTTACAGAAACTTTATTCAGCGTTTATCGACTGTATATCAGCAGTACTTGTCCAGTCTTAACTATATCCCTGGGTCGTTTAATGCAGAGGAAGCCAGTGGACTTTTAGGTATGACTGAGTGGTATCTAGCGATTGGCTCACCGTCATAGTAAAATAATTATTGCTATGTAAATTAATTGTCAATTTATTGTATAGGTACCAGTTTTAAGATAAAATCTAATGGTGATCAGTTCAAATTGCTGGTAGCTTAATTATCAAAGACAGGTAAAATCGACCTTACTCCATCAGACTTTGAAACTTTTAACTTTTTATTCCGTTTGTTGTGCTCATTTTGTTTTGCGCATACACACTTTATTATTTTACAGTGCACTACATGAAAACAATGCACATATATTATATTTCAATTTTCTAATATAGCCGTATTGACCTTACAAATAACTTTGTATCTTCATTTTTCCCAGATTTTGGAAGTGTAGCAATAGCAAAGCAACAAGGATTAAAGCCAATACTGGTCAGACACGTGATCAACTATGACACGTCATCCCAGCGTTTCAACATTCAGGGAATACTTCGAGAGGTGATCAATGCAAACTTTGTTATCAAAGATTTGCCAGGTATAAGTTCTCTAATCTTATTCTAGCAAAATTACATTAAACTATTTATTAAAGCTATAAATATAGATGTCCCCTTTTAGGGGCTAACCCCTTTGTGGCGGTTGCACCACCCAGATATGTTTTGGGAAACTTTATGCTTATGCTTTATGACATTTAATAAAATATTATGGTATTTTATAAAAAATATGCCCGTTTTTCATTCAAACATATCTCTTTTGTTTCGTCTGCATCCATACAAGTTCGATCATCTTAGCTGTGACTCTTTCCGTGCACAAAATCATGAAAAATGGATGTGGTGACTTTGAAGCGTAAGAAAGGCTATACAGATAGAATATATAAGTGTATATCATACTGAAAAGCAGTAAAGATCAAAACATAATTACCGTGAAATTGTTTATAAATTTTATTTAAGTACAATTAGGCAGTTTTGACAAATTTGTAACGACCAAATATATTACCAACGGTTTTGAAATATTTGAAATACAGTGTACATTAATAAAGTGTAGCTATCAATGTTTGAACTACATAGTCAACAAGATGATATCCATTAGTTATTATTTCTTTTATTTTTAGCTATAAGGATGAGATATTGTAAAGTGTTCACTAAAGTTATGAAAGATATCGCCAAGAAAATGCCTACAGATGAATATACACGAGCACTGTCAACATTTGTTGATGAACAACCCAACTTACGGAAACTTCTATATGAAGTCAACAATATCATGCAAGAAACGTCTACATACCCATTCTTTATCGAAATGGCGTCATCTTGTACTGAGCTCATCGAAATATTTATGCCAAGTAATTTTAAACATCTTTATTGTTGTTGATCACACAAATTAAATTTCACTAACATGTCACTTGGAGAATTTGTTGCATGCATGCATTGGACTGCACGAAGAAAGAATGGTTTTATGATCAGATTGTATAGATGACTATTATACATACTATTTGTGTTTACAATACTAATAAGTTATTTGCTTGTTTTGATTGATTTATTGATTGATTAATTGATTGATTGATTGATTGTGTTTACAATATTCATCAGGTGAAAGTGAGCAATTTTACAATGGCTGCCTAAGATTAGCGGATAGATATGGAAAGGACGTTGACAAGGCTGTCGTATTGATAGCTGTTGGAACCATGGAAACTTACACAAAGGTTGAGTTTTTATATTAATAATAACATCTTGCTCTATGTTCTACTTATGTTCATTGAGAATTTTATAAATTGTTGTGTCATGAAATGTTGTGTAATGAAAAAAAGTATTTTTTCTAGGGCGACCTTCACACCGGTATAATGAAGTACAAATCGGCGTTAGATATCATCGAAGATAAAGGAGACCGTATCCAACTAGCCACCCTCTATCAGAAAATGGGATGGAATTTATTCAAACAAGGCGATTGCATGGAAGCCATAAGGTAATTACTCTAATTAATAGTCTTATAAAAATAATATGCAAGTCTTCTTCTTCTGAAGATTTACGGAATTTAAGTTTTAATATTATAATGTAAGGAAATTTTGACATACAAATGTAACTTGACAGAAAGCTCAATCTAAACAAGCGTCATTTTTGTATTGCAGGCTGTATAAAAAGTCGTTGGGTATATCGTCAACTGCTGGAAAGGACTTTGAACCATTGACATTACAATCTCTTAGTTACTTAGGGGTTGTGCACGTAGTTCTTGGTAATAACTGGCTTATGTTTCTTCAGAATCAATATTATCCAATGCAATTATTCACCTCACCAACCATGTCAGATGTATACAAGTTGAAGCTATTATGAATACATTTAGCCTGTACTTTTTTCTTATTGATGCATGGATAATTCATGACCAATGTACTGTATCATATATGATGGTCATGTACATGAAATATCTTTGTTCTCATTTACTAACAAAATGTACGATATAATTTCTTTACTATTTAAATTATTTTGCATAATACTTGAACCGCTTTTATTGAACGTCTTTATTTCCTTACAATTCATTTTTCAATTTGGGAACTTCTATATTTTAGGTAACTTTGATCTTGGTGAAAAATACCACTCAACTTGCTTGCGACGAAGCGAAGCGCTCCAGGGGAAAATTCACCCTAATGTAGGTAATGCTTTAAACCGGATGGGATTGCTTTATGACCAACGGGGCGACTCGAAAACAGGACTGGAGTTCTTCAAGCAAGGTCTTGAAGTAAAGAGAAAATCAAAAGCTGCGCCTATATCTGTTGTATATTCATTAAGCAATGTCGCCAATGGTTACAAAGATATGGGTATGTTCAAGGAAGCTCATAAGCTTGTTGATGAAGCCTTTGCTATTCTGCAAAATCAGAAAATGAACATGCTTGATGGATTTTCTCTTCTGTATAATACTAGAGGTAAAATATATGCAAGGGAAGGAAAATTTAAGGAAGCATCTGAGGCGTATGGCAAAACTGTGGAAATAACCAGGCAAGTAGAACAGACCAGTTATATTTACATGAAAAGATTGGTTAATTTGGCGGAAGTCCTAGAAAAGAGGTGTAAATTTGCCTCTGCATTAAAACTTACAAAAGAAGCAATAGGATTAAAAGATGAAGTTATAAAGGCACTTCCACACAACTCCATTGTAACCGAATGTTTACAATGTATGTCTCGAATATACGACCTTACTGGACAACTTGAAAATTATAAAGAAACTTTGTACAAAATAGATAAAGAATGTAATAGACTTGCTAAAGAGTGTACACTACTAAACAATCAGCAAAAGCTAGACCAAGTTAATGAGACCATTCAAGACTTACAGATGAAGTTTAAGAATCTGAAGTGTAGAGAAAAAAAGTGATTTACTGATCAGTTGGCCATCTTGTGAGTGTAATATCTGATAATAGTTGTAATACACAAGGAGAAGCATGATGTAAAGGATCACATTATTTTGCACACCAACTATCCAAATTCTAGGGGTTTTGATATATAGAGGTCATGACAAAAATTATCCAAAGGGCATGATTTAAATAACGTATGTAGAGGTCCGCTAGGACATGCTACACTTAAACGTTTGTTTGTATGTATCACCAAAGCGGTTAGTTCAGAGTTGCATTGCAAATAACCGTTTATAAACGGCCATAAAGTTCCAAACTTTCTTAATTGGAGAAAAAATCAAATAACTTCATAAATTTTGACATAAGCCATGTATAGTTAGTTTATAAAAACGTCACGATTATCTAATAAATAGCGACATTACAAATGTGCATTAATATTATTTCCAGGACCAAACTAAGGACCCGATAATCGGTTTCATATATTGTGTAGAGGATAACATTTATGCTACATGACAAATATAAAGTAAATGTACACATTAAACATTAGATTTTGTCTGAGAAAGTCATTACAGTTGTGCCCCTTCCATTTTTACATACGACCATTTTAAGTCTTACACCACATAACTGGCGACGACAATTTTGAATTAAGAGGTAAAGTTTGAACATTAATAGGCATGCGTCAAAATAGTCTGCATATGTTAAACTAAAGTATAATGGAATATTGCCTTGGCAATGTGTTAAACTAAAGTTTAATGGCATATTGCCTTGACAAAAGTGATATCCAAACAATGTTTTGTCCAGCTTTAGACATAACAGTCCAGTAAGGAATGCTATATTTACAGATACATGTAATTGGTAAGACCTGAATTCCATCTTCTATCATATCTAGTATATCTACTTCATAATCTGCATCGAATATAAAAATAGGAAAACATTAACAAGAAACACATTTTCTGTATTCAGACAAAATCTTTATTCAAGAAGTCCAAAATGACAAGATAACAAAATTATGCATATTCCAAGATTCTACTGAACCATCTAGGGGATAAGTAGATTCAAAATCTAGACTTCAGTCTACCATTTCACTTATAACCAAATAAACATGTCAGTTTTCATTTGGAACATAAGGACATATAACACCCACATGTAATTACAGTTCATGCTTTAAATCCCCAACTTCACACAACTTCCTCTATTTCTCTGAACATGTGAAGTACCATTCATAATATGATAAAACACATCTATGTCAAGTAATGATCCAATTCTCTATTGCTATTGGTTATATAGAATCCCTGTAACAAGGTATATAACCTTACAGATACACCAGTGTAGTAAATCCTCTAGGCAATTACTGTTATATTACAGGTTTAAAGAGATGTATCACACCTCACCATGTATACCAATAGTATAACCAGAACAGATTACTGAGAAACATGTCTTACATTAACATATGGAAACTGACATCTTTGATGGTTATGTAAAAACAGCGTCTTGAAGTCTATATAAACTTTAGAGACAACTATAATGTTATACAAATGTCCATAAATACTTGATTAAAGTATTGACAATACAAATGTAAAACACCAATATTTATATATATGTAGCTAGGATTCTAACCTCAAAAGCAAATTAAAATCACCAAAGTGATTAACAATGTAAAACTTGACATGGACAATATTTCAAATGATGTAAAAAGTTTGATAAAACAAAAACCCAACATTTAGTAATGAAAAAGTACAAATGCATATTTACAAAGCTATTGTACAGTATAAATCTCCAGTCACATGTTCATTTTTCAAAATCATTTTTTCATGGGTTGCATTTTTAGACGATGTGTAAATGTATACACACAAATAAAGCATGAACATTTTAATTTTCATTATTTTTCTGAATTTTCACTTAAACATAATGAATAACTTAAATCAAAAATTAACCTTGTTGTTAAAATCAAGTATATAATGTTTACAACTAGATACCGGTGTTAACCTGTATACATCATGGTTTTCACAGGGTCAAATACTTGCACAATATAAGCAAACTAATTATTTTTAACAAAAATTAATTCCCAATACAAGAAAATTCTGGCCAGTACTTGGTATATGACAAACAAAACATGCTACCTAATGTAAGCTGAGCAATATAACCCAAATATGGAATGATACAGAAGCTTTCCAAATATATACTGGCAATATAATATATAACCATGGTTTGCTATATATACTGGCAATATAATATATAACCATGGTTTGCTATAAACATGTCAGCAGCAAAGTTACTAAATAAAATCCTTGCATAAGGTGCTATTGTAAAATAATACAAGAGGACTTTTATAACAGCTGACAAAATAAAAGTTGCATAATAAATATGAGATAAAAATTCTAGTTCAGCATTCAAATATTGTAAAATGTAAGTCAGAACAAAGTGACTTTAAAACAAGAATGTTGCCATTCTCATAGTGATGGATACTTGGTGTTGTTTTTCTTTCTTTCGGAAATCACTCTGACATTTTAGTTAGCCATGCTTAGCAACCCTAATATTGGCACCAACATTTCACTGTACAATCTAGAGGTATCAACATAAATCAAATGCAATATATACAGCAGTATACTTATATACTAGGGAAACACATAATTCACAGGGAATACATTTAGAGTATTATTAGTTATAAAACATGATAAAAAATTGCATTTTTTTTCCTAAATACATAGAAATCAAATTGCTGAAAACCAAAATTTGTCTCAGAGAACAAATTAAATGTCTAAGTCACCAAAGACCTTTCCAAAGTGTCCCACAATTTCACAACTATTCAGCAAACAATAAGCAATACGTAACTATTTTCAAAGATAACTGAACAATATTTATCTAAAGGGTGGTTTTGTAATACGGGACATTAATGTTGATAAAGATTATAGGTTAGGTAATACTAAATGTTAAACATAAGCAGTATGAAATCAAATCACGTAAATTAAAATATATATTGGCATACTAAATTTGATTAGTGTAGAATGTATTTAATACACACTGTTTGCACCAAAGATATCATTTCTGATATATATCACCCATTTCATATGGCTTCTTTATTACATGATTTTGTTTAATATTTATCATACCATATATTTAGTAGGAAAAGTATAGTTTTGTCATGACTACAGACAGAACTGGTTATTTACTGGTCATCATCATCACCACCACAATCATCATCATGATTCACTTAACATTTATTTCCAATGTATTAATGCACACAAGCACATATTATAACTCTCCCTTTAAAATCACTACAAAAATATTAAAGGTCCAGTATGACTCAGAAATGCAAGCATTTTTATTTCTCAAAAATGTTTGGGATCTTGTTACAGTTTCCAAAAACATATTCATTTGCTATATACATGAACTATCTTTTGCATATTTAGTTCTGTTGGCAATTGGTTTTTATAATATTTTGCCTTTCAAACAAAATACCATTTTGTTTACATTTTGCTACCTTTAAGATACATAACTCATGCTCAGCGCTTTTTTCAGTTGTAAAACATTTAACAGGCACTTAATTCATTATTTAAACATAATTAAACAGATGTTTGACATTTCTAAAGAATTTTTAAAAAATTCTGAGGCATAATGTGCCTTTAAATGATATGATAATAGCCATGTTAAATAGTATGAAAGTAATATATACATCACCAATGAAGCACTATGAACATCAAAATGTTATTGATAATAAATTACCATGTACATCAAGGACTTGGCGCAATCTACATATATCAGCATTTTATTAATATGGCACCAAGACATCAACATAGTTTCAGACATTTACATCTCACGCCAACTGGATGTTCAGTGGCAATGTTGATCATTGGAACATAATCTATTACCATTTTAGTCAGGCAAGGATCTTCCTGTCATGTGTCAACTGTACACATATGAGCCGCGCCATGACAAAACCAACATAATGGGTTTGCGACCAGCATGGATCCAGACCAGCCTGCGCATCCGCGCAGTCTGATCAGGATCTATGCTGTTCGCTTACCAACTCTATTACAAGTAGAGAAACTGATAGCGAACAGCATGGATCCTGATCAGACTGCGTGGATGCGCAGGCTGGTCTGGATCCATGCTGGTCGCAAACCCATTATGTTGGTTTTGTCGTGACACGGCTCATATATCTGCAGTTTTAATCAATTATACAAGAATATCACATACATTATTTACTGTATTTAAGACAGATTTTGACAAACCTGGAAATACTTTTTTATGGTGTCAATTTTCATGTTGTCTACTGAAACAATTAAGATCAGCTACTGACTAGCGAAATACTGATACTCTGGATTAAAAAAACATTTTTTTTAAACATTCTTTAATAAGTTACATAGGATTTTTCAAAACATGACATTGAAGTGCTGCTCACCATACTTATAGTATGAACAATTATGATAAAATGGTGACAATTAGAGATCATTTATGAAAATTAACATTTATATGACAAAAGAAAAGGTCTCACTTACATAATTAAACTAATAAAAGGACACCAAAAAACCCGAACAGATGTAATGATTGAGTTGACACATGTGTATACTACACATTTATAACATGTATACAAAATACTATCCTAAATTTCATTCATACTCGTATAAAAATATCACAAAATCCCTGACAAAATCGTTAATTTTAAGACCCATTCTTCATTAACACAAACTCATCAACAACATTTAACATAAGAAATGATACCTAATGACAAAAAAAGGTTACATGAATAAATGAAAATGAAAAAACAAGAAATATGTACAAGTAAGTGATATATTTCCCCTTATTTTTTAAAATTGTTACTTCAGTTTTATGACATGTTTTTCTCTATTATAGGTGCAAAATCCCCAAAATAGTTAATCAAACTTTCATAACAATAACTTTAGATATATGAAAATTACTTAAAATGTAATTCATCATTATCTTTAAAAAAGCAAAAATTCAAATACATCTCTATGATTTTAAGTTTAGTATTTGACCTAATGCATGTACTATCATAAGATTTTCAGTATTAAAACATACCAATAAATGTAAATATTCTCATAAATCTAAGAAAGTATTGTCTCTATGTTTCACTGACTAGAAAAGTTAGCTTATTGACTTTACTGATTAACAAATTTAAAGCTTTAAAAGTTACAAAACAAACGATCAATTCCTGACAATTATTAACCCAAAATCTATGCACCATATATACGTAATGAACTGCACCACAACATTTAGGAACTATTAAATCAAAACTATCAAAACATAAAAAAAAAACATGAAAGTATGTATTTATGAAATAATCTTTACAAAATTTCATTCACATTTAAACAATTATACATACAGAAAGACCCTTGCGAGTATTCTATAAACTACAGAAGTACAAAAATACTGTAAATGCCCTATCACATAATAAATTGAATCACAATTTTATATTGAACAAATCTGAATAATTCAGAAATTTATATCGAGCTATTTTTAGCTCTGAATCATCAAATGACCTATCTATATAGAAAGGTTACCCTAACAAAGTATAACATGTTAGTCCACATCTTCTCAGATAATTGTGAAAAGGGCAAAGCTTAATATATGTCACCTTACAACAACAACAACATGTTAGTGCCTTTATCTTCAACAGCAAGTATCAGCAGATAGAATAAGTTTTAGATATGGAAGGTTTTAGTAATGGTCATAATGTTTGATCACATAACAATTTTGGAGAGGTACAAACAGTGTGTTCTCTTATGAATCCCTGTATGTATGTATATCAACAGCTTGTACAAAACACCATAGAATATAAGCTCAATTCTCTCTGAAATAGCAAACTACAACAAAGGAATTCAAAATGCTCAATAAATAAACACCTTCAAATAATCCTATATTGAAAAATCTACTATACCTTTACAACACAAGTCTTATCCAGCATACAAATTGTTTCAACATATTCAACATATTGTTTCTGTTGCCTAACAGACCCAATTAATTAAACTAAGGAAAAATCTCCCAAACTTTTAAAACAGGTCAAGACATAGAATCACAAGAAAAATTTAAATCCCAAAGGCTAGTCCACAATTTGTCTCTAATACAATGTTGATCAAAGTTTGTATAATATCACTACTGTCCGTGTCTACAGCTGTATGTCAGATTGTGTAGTTGTAGTATAGGTTATCACTACTGCTGTATGTCACATATTGTAGGTGTAGGTTATCAGATCTAGAGGTACAATTACTCCTCCTCTTCTATCTCAGCAGCAGCCTCCTCGGCCAAGGCATAATACTTGTTGGCCAATCTCCCCTTCATAGCTGCCATAGCACCTTCTGCTGCCTGATTATACAACTCCGCTGTAATATATAGTTGAATAATTTTTCAAACATAGAGCACAAATATCATCTCATGATATATCATGTTATAAACCCAACAAGAAACTGATATATTCAATTGGTTTTAGATATGTAAATGTTTAAAAACTACAATAATATTTCTAGCATACCTTCACACTGAACTATTATATTAAACATACCTGCTCTCTCTGGCATTTTTTCAAGGCCATGTCCTCCTTTCATATACATGTCCGCCATACTGGCCATCAGGGTATAGGGAGGATCATACATAGTACTGTCATACTCTCCGCCTTCATCCTGCTCGTTGACAGAGTTTAACGCCTCGTCATACCAGTATATAGCATCTTCCCATGACTGCTCTCTAAACATATAAATATTACACCTGTACTGTCTAACATCATATATAAACAATGACCTAAAGTCTGCAGTTTTCCTCATCCAGGAGTCACACTATCATTGTTCAAAAGCTATCATTCAACCATGCATTTTGTTAACCATATTTAAGTGCAGGACTGGTAGAAACTCATTAATAATCAATTATTGTAATTAGATACAATAGATTATTGTAAAAAGATCATACATTAATGTGAAAGAATACCTCTTTTTGCCAAGTCCATCTCCTGTCTCAAATGCCTTAGCAACATAGATCATAGCCCCTCTATCTCCGGCATCTGCTGCTTGCACCATGTAGTCTATACCTATATCAAGATTCTCTTCTGGATCCTGTAATATAGCACAGACAAAAAATTCAAATAACAATATAACAAATTTGTCCTTACATCAGAAAACAAAATAACCAAATTTGTTTAACAAAACATAGAAATTACTTCAATACACCCTAAAAATCATTTAAATAATATGAAATAATTCATACAGATATACTTTGAACAAATTGCATGCACCACACCATATGTATCTTATTTTCAGACAAAAGAGACATCTTTTGTTTTTGAAAATTTATATGATTAATTAACATATTGCAAAAGTTTAATGCATATTTAAAGACTCATGATGTTTTTTATGTTTAAATGTTAACATTGAAATATCTTTCACAGATATTTGAAGGTATTGTCAAGTAAAACATACCCCATGTACTTGACAATTCATGAGGACATCATGTTCCATGCCAAGATAGAGTTTAGCTAATGTCAATATGGCTTCCAGCTCTCCTAGCTCTGCTGCATGTACTTCGTGGAAGAGTGCCGACTCCCAATCTATATCCTCTTCTTTCTTATCACAGAACCGACCTATCTCATGATACTTGGCTAGCTCATGGTGTACCTAGTTTTACACAATTTATCTCTGTATATTTTATCATTTAATTGATAGATTAAATATACCAGTTCTTGCACACAAAAACAGTGCTGGAATCAAAAGTATTAGCCTTCGCCACCAGTATAGAGCCTTGCCAGCCTATTCATCCATGCAGCCTGACATTGCCCTATACAGTTAGCTGACAAACTTTAAATTTTAACCTTAACATCCCTAAAATTGATAATTGACAGTTCGAAAAATTAAAGTTGGATGAGTCCATTTAAGAAATTCAGCAGGTTAAATGGTTTATTTGAGAACTATTTTTTATGATTCATTCAATCAAAAGCATTAGTTTATTAGTTTAATAACTAAGGCATACTTTTCTCTAAATGAAAAGCTGCCTGCTTCATAAAGTAGAAAATAAACTTACTTTGCCAAGAGCTGAATCATTAAATTTGACATTGAAATTCATTTTTCTGAGATCTTTTTCTAGAGCGACACAGGAAGGTCTATGCATCTGCTGCATTTGTAACTGGAAGTTGCGGATATCTTCTTCCTGAAAATATAACATCAATATATTTAACATATATGGCCTCTAGCTGTTTCAAATATATCTTATCCTCCACCTTTGTATTAAAGTATGAGGCAGTGAATAGTTTAATTATATACTGTAAAACACTTATTTTTCGCGAGAACCTTATTTCGCGAATTTGAGGCAAAATGTCCAAAATAATTATTTCGCGTCAACATGAATTCGCGACTTCCCGAAAAATGTGAAACTGGAAACCCGATGTCATTTGGATATTTTGCTGCCCTGTCCGTTCACTAACATTGCATCTTTTATCGTGCGACGAATGCAAATATATCCGTATCGAATTTTCTGATAGCTTGCTAATTTTCTTATTAAGTGAAACCGTCTGTCTAAAAATATGTCAATGAAGTTTGATAATTATATGAAATGTGTTCACTGTGTTTGTCATTTATAGAGGATATTGAATGAGTGTAAGTTCAATACTGAATTTATTGCACGAGTTGAATAAAATTATATTATGCGAGCCTCTGGCGAGCATAATATTATTTTATTCAACGAGTGCAATAAATTAAGTAATGAACTTACACGAATTTGATATTCTATTTATCACATACCCAAAATAAAGACCGTTTAAAGTGAAATAAGAGTCATTTTCATTGACGCGCCTTTGTATAACGCTAACATTCAGCGCGTCTTTACACTATGTTTGTATAACGCTAATGACGTCACGTCAAAATATATGCACGGCCGTGCAATACCATATTTACGGAGTCGCAAAATCGGCACGGGTGTGTGATAAATTGTTTTATTTTATTATACTCTGTACCTCTAGCATTGTTATTAGTAATGCAGAGTGTTAAAGTTTCACTGATTGGCCATTCAAAGGCAAGCAGACGAAAATCAATTAAACGGTACTGTAATTTGCCTACCCTGTAGTAAACAATTATGTTTACCCTCTGGCTTAAACTGTAGTTTAATACAATAGGATACAACAAATAGAAATGTTACAAAGAACTCGCAGGTGCTTAAGCATTTGTTCCAAATACCAAAACAGTTATTCTGAAACACTTAAATAGCTACATGGTGTAACTAGAACTGGTTTTGATACTTTCCCGAACATAATTATATATCCATGTGTACGCATTTTTGGATAGTATTCATTTTCGGACAAGTGTAAAGACAAAGTGAATTATTCGCGAGAAATATGAATTCGCGTCACAGAAAACTCGCGAATATTAGCGAAAATAAATTTCTCGCGAATAATAAGTGTTTTACAGTACTTATAGCTCACACGGAATTTCGGTCAATAACAACAGTTTAAACGAAATTTTGAATTGCACAGGCATACTTTAAGGCAAATATCAACCATCATTTTTTAACAGATTTAAAGGGATATTCAGGCAAAATAATGACAAGAATATTAAAATGATATTTTGCACTCAACTCGCGCTAAAATGACATTTCTAAAAGTTTCAGCATGAATTTCTCTTTAAATTCTTTATATTTTGGATTTGAAACATAAATATATCTATATATGTTGAACAAAATTTAGACACCAATAGAACAAGATATGTTTGTAAAACATGTATGCCCCCTATCAGCAGCCAATTATTCATGTGATAAGGTAATTATGCATGACTTCTGACCCAGTGATCAAACAATTAATAAGGGTTATCAAGTATCTACTGGTCATGACCTTGACCTTTGACCCCTTGACCCAAAACTCAATAGGGGTCATCTGCTGGTCATGACTAATCACCATGCCAAGTTTGAAGTTCCTAGGCCTAAGGGTTGTTTTATTATTGATCCGAAACCGTTTTAACATACAAGGTCAATGTGACCTTGACCTTTGACCCCAAAATCAATAGGGGTCATCTGCTGATCATGACCAATCATTATGCCAAGTTTGAAGTTCCTAGGCCCAAGTGTTCTTTAGTTATTGATCAGAAACCGTTTTTACTTACAAGGTCAATGGGACCTTGACCTTTGACCCCTTGATCCCAAAATCGAAAGGGGTAATCTGCTGGTCATGAAAAATCACCATACCAAGTTTGAAGTTCCTAGGCCTAAGCGTTCTTAAGTTATTGATCAGAAACCGTTTTTACTTACAAGGTCGATGTGACCTTGACTTTGACCCTTGACCCAAAACTCAATAGGGGTCATCTGCTGGTCACCACCAATCATCATACAAAGTTTGAAGTTCCTAGGCCTAAGCGTTTTTAGTTAATTGATCAGAAACCGTTTTAACCTACAAAGTCAATGTTACATGACCTTTGACCCCTTGACCCTAAAAACAATAGGTCATCTGCTGGTCATGACCAATCACCATACCAAGTTTGAAGTTCCTAGGCCTAAGGGTTCTTAAGTTATTGATCGGAAAGCATTTTTACCTACAAGGTCAATGTGACCTTTCCCTTTGACCCCTTAACCCCAAAATCAGTAGGGGTCATCTGCTGGTCATGACCAATCACCATACCAAGTTTGAAGTTCCTAGGCCTAAGGGTTCTTTAGTTATTGATCGGAAACTGCTTTTACCTAAGAGGTCAATGTGACCTTGACCTTTGACCCCTTGACCCCAAAATCAATAGGGGTCATCTACTGATCATGACCAATCACCATACCAAGTTTGAAGTTCCTAGGCCTAAGGGTTCTTTAGTTATTGATCCGAAACTGTTTTTACCTAAGAGGTCAATGTGACCTTGACCTTTGACCCCTTGACCCCAAAATCAATAGGGGTCATCTACTGATCATGACCAATCACCATATCAAGTTTGTAGTCCCTAGGCCTAAGGGTTCTTTCGTTATTGATCGGAAACCATTTTTACGTACAAGGTCAATGTGACCTTGACCTTTAACCCCTTAACTCCAAAATCAATAGGGGTCATCTACTGATCATGACCAATCACCATATCAAGTTTGAAGTCCCTAGGCCTAAGGGTTCTTTCGTTATTGATCGGAAACTGTTTTTACCTACAAGGTCAATGTGACCTTGACCTTTGACCACTTAACCCCAAAATCAATAGGGGTCATCTGCTGGTCATAACCAATCACCATACCAAGTTTGAAGTTCCTAGGCCTAAGGGTTCTTTTGTTATTGATCGGAAACCGTTTTTACCCAAGAGGTCAATGTGACCTTGACCTTTGACCCCTTGACCCCAAAATCGTTAGGGGTCATCAACTGATCATGACCAATCACCATACCAAGTTTGAAGTTCCTAGGCCTAAGGGTTCTTTAGTTATTGATCGGAAACCGTTTTTGCTTCCAAGATCAATGTGACCTTGACCTTTGACCCTTGACCCCAAAATCAATAGGGGTCATCTACTGATCATGACAAATCACCATACCAAGTTTGAAGTTCCTAGGCCTTAAGGTTCTTTAGTTATTGATCGGAAACCGTTTTTGCTTACAAGGTCAATGTGACCTTGACCTTTGACCCCTTGACCCCAAAATCAATAGGGGTCATCTACTGATCATGACAAATCACCATACCAAGTTTGAAGTTCCTAGGCCTTAAGGTTCTTTAGTTATTGATCGGAAACCGTTTTTGCTTCCAAGGTCAATGTGACCTTGACCTTTGACCCCTTGACCCCAAAATCAATAGGGGTCATCTACTGATCATGACAAATCACCATACCAAGTTTGAAGTTCCTAGGCCTTAAGGTTCTTTAGTTATTGATCGGAAACCGTTTTTGCTTACAAGGTCAATGTGACCTTGACCTTTGACCCCTTGACCCAAAATCAATAGGGGTCATCTACTGATCATGACAAATCACCATACCAAGTTTGAAGTTCCTAGGCCTTAAGGTTCTTTAGTTATTGATCGGAAACCGTTTTTGCTTACAAGGTCAATGTGACCTTGACCTTTGACCCCTTGACCCAAAAATCAATAGGGGTCATCTACTGATCATGACAAATCACCATACCAAGTTTGAAGTTCCTAGGCCTTAAGGTTCTTTAGTTATTGATCGGAAACCGTTTTTGCTTACAAGGTCAATGTGACCTTGACCTTTGACCCCTTGACCCCAAAATCAATAGGGGTCATCTACTTGTCATGACCAATCACCATACCAAGTTTGAAGTTCCTAGGCCTAAGGGTTCTTTAGTTATCAATCGGAAACCATTTGGTCTACGGACCGACGGACCGACGGACCGACGGACCGACAAGTGCAAAGCAATATACCCCCTTTTTTTCAAAAGGGGGCATAATCACCGAATAGTTTTAAAACAACTCAGGTGACTTGAACAAATCCTTGAAGTTACTTTAACATATACTGTGGATATTGTATGATTGAAACAAGTCAAAATCATTCATTTGACATGTACTTTAACGTTTCCAGATTTCACTGTGACAACTATTGTAAAATCCTAGCGCTCTAACCTGACCCACGCGGGTCAGGTTAGGAAACCACCATTTTACTCTTTATATGGAGAAAAGTTTTGTTCCTTTGACTGTCTAATATATTCATTTTGATGGCATTTACAGAATTAGGAATGAAACAAGAGCTGTCACAGGAGACAGCCAAGCTCGACTAATAAAATACTGGACGCAGTAAGGAGGACAAAACTATGAAAGAAAAATCAATTAGTATAATTATGCATAAAACTATAGTAAAAAAATAACATTTGTTAAAATAAATTCCAAGATCAAGGGAAATAATTCTAGAAATAGTCACGCTAGAGTTATGAACCTTGTCACACAACATGTATGTAATGATAAGAAGTATATATTTGAAGTTTGAAGTAGATACCTTAAAAAGTAACAAAGTTATAATATTTCTTAAAGAAAATCCTAAGTTCAAAGAGAGATAAATCTGTTAAAATTACTTCAAGAGTTATGAACATTGTCACATAAAATATAATTGATTATAAGGAATAAGTATTTGAAGTTTGGGGTAGATACCTTTAAAACTAAAAAAGTTATAGTAAAAAATAACATTTTTCTATTAAAAAAAATCTAAGTTGATGGGGAGATAATTCTTGCAATATTGGTGCTAGAGTTATGAACCTTGTCACATAAGATATGGATGATGATAAGGTACATTTATTTGAAGTATGAAAGTGATCCCTTTAGAAAAAAATAAGTTCCAGTAAAAAATAATATTTTTTAAAGAAAATTCTAAGTTCAAGGGGAGATAAATCTGAAAATATTGGTGTTAAAGTTATGAACCTTGTCGCATAAGATGGGGATGATGATAAGGTACATATATTTGAAGTATGAGGTTGATCCCTTAAGAAATAAAGAAGAAACAGTAAAAAAAAGTATTTTTTAAGGAAAATTCTAAGTTCAAGGGGAGATAAATCTGAAAATATTGGTGCTAGAGTTATGAACCTTGTCACATAAGATGGGGATGATGATAAGGTACATATATTTGAAGTATGAGGTTGATCCCTTAAGAAATAAAGAAGTAACAGTAAAAAATAGTATTTTTTAATGAAAATTCTAAGTTCAAGGGGAGATAAATCTGAAAATATTGGTGCTAGAGTTATGAACCTTGTCACATAAGATGTGGTTGATGATAAGGAACATATATTTGAAGTTTGAAGTTGATACCTTAAGAAATGACAAAGTTATAGTGAAAAATATTTTACTGCACCAAAACTTTAATCTAAAATCTGGACGCGGACGCGGACGCCGACGCCGACGCCGACGCCGGGGCGAGTAGGACAGCTCTCCATATACTTCGTATAGTCGAGCTAAAAAATCAAAACTAAGAAATGAAAATTTTGCCTGTGTCTCCCTTTAAATGTTTGTTATTTATCTTGATTGTGCAAGGAGGTAATATGTAGGAGGAAATTACAAATTCATTTTGATGATGCAATTTTTAAAAAAATTAATTATCAAAATAGCAGTTTCATTCAACACCTGAGATTTAAAACATAAAAGTTACTTAAGTCTGGAGACATTTAAAAGTTGATCTGATCAGGTTGACCACCTTTACAAGAAGAAATTTCTACTACAATAGTCAGAGTGTCTAAATGTGAAATAATCAATATACAGGTGTATATATCATTTAAACTAATGAAATACAATGATATATAATCTAATTAAGCAATTATAAATATGTTCTACTTTATTTATTTAAACAAAGTTTCTTATAACTGTTTATATAAAGCATCTAAGTTCTTTGATTATGAAAAATGTTAAAATTAGTGATTTTTTTTACATCATGGTAACTGATACCAAATAACAGGTCCATTCACAATCAACAATGGTCCTTCACAATTTTGAGACTAGAAAAATCCTTATATACATTGTAAGTGGAAATGAAGAACAAGCCCATTTATAATCAACAGTCCTTCACAATTTTCAGCATGGGATTCACAATTCTAGTGAAAATTCACTGTTTTACCAAATTACAGAAATAAAACTGCTGCCATATCAGAGCCCATTTAATCCATGTTATTATGTCCAGCTAAGCTAAATAGATGGGAACTTAAGATATATCTCATAGCACATTAAAATAGGTGTCTTCCTCATTTTGATCATCTAAAGTGAATACTGACTTATATAAAAGTATCTGCAATATGTAAAATAACATATCTTCAGTTGTACAGATACATATCAGGGGAACTACCTGACAACTATACTTGTTGCCATGGTATGGTAAAGGGGGCTGCTTATAAAAAGAATAATAAAGCATTCCTTTTATCTCTGTATAGTGACTGTATAAGGTGGTTTGTTTTCATCATTGGAAAAAATGGAATTTGTATATATAATATCTATCAGCTTGAGCAAATGATATGACCATATTGTAGCTGGTAACAATGTTGGCAAAATTCTCAGGCTAACTTGCTATTTCACAAACTTAACATGCAGCTTGGTGCATAAAGTTATATAGATTTCGCAAAGGTCTACTACACAATGTAACACGCCATATCTCAAAGCTCAATCAAGCAGTTTTTACTATACATCAAACAGGTGGCCCTATGGGCATTCTGAACCAAGGGATTTTATTTTTACATCTTTTGTATCGGCCAACTAGAAACTTCCTAGCCAAATATAAGAGCTCTTGCACAGGAATGCATCAATATGTTTAACTTGTAAGTCTTGCTTAAATAACAGACATCAAGGTGGGATCACTTATGACCCCAGTTACGTAATTAATATATTATAAAATTTCTATTAGTAATCAATGGGTGTAGAATCTGACTAGAATTATTTTCTGGATTTCATTTTCATTTTTTTTTTATGCATCACTCATAACCATTCATAAAACTTTATAGAATACCATCAAAGGATCATTGCTGTAAAGTTAAGTTCAACTTGACCAGTTTTTTGGGAGAAAATACTCACTGTATAAAGGAGTTTTCAAATAAAAATAAGTAATGGGCATCATGCCACCATATAAGCTCACCACTGAGCACTTTGAGCTTGGGTAAGCTAAAAATCTAACAAACTACTTGATCTTTTCCTATCATAAACAAGAATATAATCTATGATATATACAAATACATGTATCTGTTTTCTGTAGCTCTCTTAAAGTTTACTTTTAAGCAATGTATTAATATTTTTGAAGAGATTCATTTAGAATAGCGCAGATTTTTCTCTCCATTAAACTATTAACTTAGCGGCCATATTTGATCACAAGTAAGGCAAAGAAAATAGAAATTAGAGCCAAAACTGTATCACTACCAAATTATACCTCTATAAATCTGTACTTTCTCAAATGTATATTCAAATGCTCAAACAATATACATTAACAAGGAATTAGTATAAGAAATACAATAAATCATTGTAAAGCAACAAGAAATTGCAAGTTATGTTGAGGGTAAAGCACTCAGTAACCTGGGTTAGAAGCGGCTAATATAATACCTCCGATAATGTACGATTCCGCTGGAATAAAGTAATTTGTCATCAACGTAACTTTTAATAAACTGACTATAGTAAGTTGGAAATAATTAAGAAATAATATATCCCAAACAGTGATTTTATCGCTCAATAACATCACTTTTTGGAGCCCGGTTTGCGGGGAATTTTAATCGGAGGCGAAAGCCCGAGTGATAAAAATAAATGCGCACCCAAACGACAAACAATATGTTACCCAAGAGATAAAAACCACTTTTTTGGAATTTTTTAATTTCATTCTAACACGAAATAAAAAAAAATAAATTGCCGTTTTTGAATAAACCCAAATTTTCCCCCGCATTGATTTGTTTTGGGTTTTTATTTTCAGGCCCCGCCCATTTTTTGGTTCTCCGTAAATATAAAAAATTTACCCATGCCCCCAAAATTATAGGAACGTAAAACTGTAAAACATCTGTTTTTTGCTTTAATTTAACCACATTTCCTTTTTTTTCTATGTTCAATGGGGAAAAATTGGAGGGTTTTAAAATAATTTTTTTTAAAATTCCCCTAAAAAGCCCTTTTTTGTTTTAAAAACCTTCAGTAAATGATTCCTTCAAAAAACCCAATTTCCTTTTCATTTAAAATACTAATTATTAAATTAAATTCAAAAATAAAGTTCTTGTTTTCCTTCCCCCGGGTTAAATTATAACAAAAATTGTTTCCCCCTAAAATTACTTCTTGAAACATAAAAGAAATAGGCCAACCTAGGTAAAAGCTAAAGCGCGTTTAAAACAAAAGTTCAAGGGGCAAAAACTACTTTTAATTTTGGTTTCCCACCCCCAAAAAGGGCATGCTCATCTTTTATTTGAAATTTTTCCCCTTGGTGAATTTCAAAATTTTAAACAGAGTTTTGAAAATTGATTTCAAAATATATCTGTATTTAAATTTAACTTGTTTTTTTTTTTAAGTATAACTAAATAACTAAAAAAAAGTAAAAAATTTTGAATTCAAAATTACTTTCAGATATAGACCAAAAATTTTTTTCCCAAATTGACTTTTTTTTCAAATTTGGGTAAATTTTGGCGGGGAAAAAAGTTATTAAAAACATTTTTAACCCCCCAGGTTTAAATTTTTTAATCCCCCCCCAAGGCCTTAGGTTTTTACCCCGTTTGTTATTAAATAACCAATTTTTTGAAATAAAAAAAGCCCTACATTTTTTCCCCAGTTTTAAGGGACCCTATTCCCAAAAACTTATAAAAAAAAAAAAATTCCCAAGTGTTTTTAAAACTAAAAAGAAATGTAATTCATGAAAATGTGAACACTAAATTTAAAACAGCACCTGCACTCCACCCCATTTTAAATTTTTAAAACACACCTAAAAATGAAATTTAAAAAAAAAAATTAAACACGTGAATTTTAGTTTTATTTTTGAAAAATTTATCTGTTTTCACACAAAAAATTATAAAATTTGAGAAAAACCAGATATAACTTTCTGAAATCTGAACATCACGTTCCAAATAGGATGATCAACATTGGAAACACATGTCTGTGTAAAACAATTTAAATTTTCCATAATTTTAAATTTTAAAAACATTTTTTTTTTCCCCCCCAAGAAATTTTAAAATAAAAATTTAAACATATATTTCCCCTAGACTTTTGGTTTTCAAAAATTTTTAAAATTTATAATTCATATTAAATTTATCGGGGAAATCAGGTCATTCGTTTCATCCCCGTCTGTTAAACAAAAGAATTTTTCCCCCCGGGAAATTTCTTTTCCGCCCTTAGAAACGGAAATTAAAAATCCCAACACTAACATACAGTTTATCTTTCAGTAGATATTATCCTTATATATACAAAAAGCAAAATCCCTTAAACTTTTAAATGTGCAAAAACCCTTGATAATCTAAAAAATTCTTTCATTGTTATCCCAAACAACTTTAAAATTTGATCATCTAACAGGAATTTATACTACTCTCCCATGAATTTTTTTCCATTAAAATCAATAC